GGTTTAATATAGTTCTTTACAAAATACAGAGCTTTTTGTTGATACACGGTAAAATTTAAAAGAGTCCCTTGTGAGTTCAAGTAATAATAAACCAGAATTTGATGACGCTGATTCGCAAGCTATGTAAACCTCCAGGAACTCGCGCCGATCGAAATCCACAGTGAATCAAGTCGTACTAATTTGAAAATGGTTTCATGCTGTTAACATGGATTTTACGAAGTTTCCTAAACCGTTAATTCGCGTTACTTTTGAAAAACTGTAGCTGTTAAGTTGATCGTGTTTACTTTTCAGCCCTACGCTTTAATTTGATATTGTTTTACTGAAGCAATGTCTATGTACTAACTCAAATTGGGACATTTCCACTGAAATCTTTACAAAACTCGGCCTATTTTAAATTTTTGCTAGGGAACGATTTCACCCCAAGAGCCCCCCAAAATTGTGAGATGTGTAAGAATTTGCGTGGCAAGATCACAGTTTGATAATTTGCGTTGTCACATTTGCATGGTTTTATCCTGTATTTACGCGATAACTTATAATCGTTCCGTGCCAGCTAACTTTTTAATGATCTGTTCACGATTGTTTTCCAATTTGTTCACACTACAATTGCGCTGTGTGAACGAGCCCTGCTGCTGACATGTAACGATTCACTTGTAAATTGTCATTGTCAGGGTCCTGCCGGCTGTTAATTTCAGTTGAGTGGGATATTGGGGAACGGAAAAGATCTCTTTTTTTAAACTCAAGTTGAGTTTCAATGAGCGGCTGAAATGATGATTAAAGTTACGGCTGGAAAATGTTTTCAAGATTCAAGAGTGTGTTTTGGCATCTATCTTTCTTTAACTCCATTAATATAATGAAGAGAGCTAAACTTTGATGGTGTATACTTTCAATGTGAGCAAGTTAAAGGCCAAATATAACCACATATAGCGTCTCTTTACTGCTTTGATGGTGTATGAAGGCCACTCATCCTATATATGATTGTAAATTCTCCTCTCTGATAAACTATTTGTTAGAACTTGGATGTGTAATAACATAGTTAATCCTTGAATTCTTTTGCTATGAACCTACAATGTGTAGATCAATATTCGGCCATTTTAGTTAAAATCCCTTGTATCATTCTTCTTTTTCTTATTTTGAAAAACATCCCCCATCTATATCTGACTCTTGCTGCGTTTTTTATTACAACGCGGTAATTGTCCCTGAAGTATGGTCGGTTAGTTTATGGCCAATAATCGTCACGATAGTCAACAAACTGTTCGTGAAATTGACTTTGACCAGTTGTTCGGTAGTGCATCGCGACTATCATCTCTTTACGATGTTTTAAATATTGTGGCGCCGAACATCGTGATCAAGATGAAGACATTTATAAGGAACATTTCCCAGGGAAGCCGATCATGATAATTTCGACAAATATTTGGAGTCATGGCAGATGGCGTGAAGAGTTCGAGGGAGGGGGGTCTTGTGTATTAAGAAACATTTGATGAAATAGGATTATTCAGGTTAGAAACACTGAATATGGTGTTAAAAGCAACCTTTACGATCTCCTAAAACAATGGCTAGTTTCTGCTATGAATTCAATTGTGATTATTAAGAACTGGATTACATATTAACAGCCTTAATGTCGAGTCTTAAACGGTGTTAAGATTGAAAAAAGTTGAGAATTCGATTGGTGTATGTCTCTCACTGGTTCCGTTTTGGCCTTATTTTCGGTCATTAAGAATTCTGTCGTATTTTGAAGACTGAAGCAGCTTATCCTGGTACATAAAGAAATCCCCGAGGGCGCGATGTTTTCAATTAGCTTTGAGAATAGAATTTTCGGTATTGTTTTCGACCACGCACAAAATAATTTATAATTAATCGAGCTGTTGATGAAGGTGCTTTATCGTGTCAGAGGGCTTACTGTGTCTCGTACACGCTTTTGCCATCCTTTTATGTATTTTTTTTGCAGCTTTATGATGTACTCAGAAGTAGCAGCGAGCAACAAAGTGCAAACACAACATAATTCAAACTAACATTACATTTAAGAAATGGAGACAAAATTATTTTTCATGTAATTTTTCATGTTATTCTGTGAAAGCGCGGGTTTCACTACCTTACCTATAGATCATGAAATACCTGTAACGTTGAGAAAAGGCACCTATTGCTGAAGCTCTTGCGGAAAAAAAATTGAGCTAACGAGCGAGTCTTATCTCTAAATTGATGCAAATGACGGTTATGTTAAATTGTTGTTAAACTTGACCAGTGTCGGAAGTACCCAACTCCTTACTTCCTGAGCAAATTCTGCATATACCTCCAATTGAGACATCTGGTTTTGAGTAGCTTTTGGATGAACAATTCCTTTTAGTTTGCTGTAATAATTAAATGACCATCATCTTCTTCAGTTTATAATCATCAGATGTGGATTTCATCTGCCCATTTAAGTAGTAAGATACACTTACCGTTATAAACTCCATTTGACACATTTGTGCACGAGAGAAAGACAATAAATACTCCGGCCAATAACTTGAAGTTCCTCTGATACTCCATAGCTAACTCTTGCACTGATACAAGTGCCAAATTGTAGGCTCTATGAGGGACGTGGCAGGTCTTTTCTAGTATCCAGTTCGTGGGTTTTGATCGCCTGTGCGATAGTTAACCTGTTTTGTACTTGCTACAGATCAATCCAGACAAAGAGTTGGTGGTTTTCGTCCCGTAGGACCCCTGTGTCTGTGCTTTCTCAATGATTTCTTTGGCTTTTGTATTTTTCTCAGATCAAAAAGATCGTAAATACATGTTTTTAAGTTTCGGAGTTTTTGGCTGATCATGCAACCGTTTTAATAAAACTTTTATCGGTATTTTCACGTTTTTAGGAGTCATGATAAACTCAAATAAAAGAGAGCTATCTCGCAAAAATATCTATTTACTGGAAACCGTCCCTCTTTATTTCTATGAAGTACTGAAAAACAACGTAACGATCCCTTCATTGCAGGCCACATATCTGACCTCCATGTAGTGACAGACACAAGAACGACAGGGAGACCTTCGTGTTGTCAGCGAGAGATATCAGATGAAAATAAGAAAGGATGAAGAAATCTCATTAATCTTTTATGCTTTCTTTTGAATTTGAGTTCATAATTAGAAAGACTTAAAATTCTACCAGAGCTTTACGTGTTTGGCTTCTCTTGTAGGTCACAAAAAAATAGGTTTAGTTTTGAATTGGGTTTTTCTGCCTGTGGTGATCTTAGTGGTCGGTAAAATGATTGATTGAAAAAGTAGAATACGCAGATGTACTCAAACAGCCAAAATTTCGGTTTTGCGTTCGGTTTCTTCAATCGCATTTTGAAAAGTTTCTTTTTCTTGATCTGAGCAGCTTGCATAAATGTAATTTTCGATGGAACTTAAGCAATATGCAATCAATATCGTGCGCTTATCTCTTTCTTAGATTTTGTTTGAGTCAACATAATAGCATAATTTGAATTGAAAGAGGGGTCTCATACTCTTATAGACTGAGGTAGGAGTACCTTGTTTATGTCCAATAATTCCCCGACTAAAATCATCCTAAATGCATGTGTATGAGAACTTGATAACTTCATGCCGCGTCCACGATTTTTTTCTTGTCTTGTTCTGGACGTTTGTCTATTTTATGAAATGAAAGACGATACGAGAAAATGACAATTTTTTCCACTTTGGCAAGCTCTGACGATGACGAAAACTCAGGAATTCTATTAAACCTTTTCATTCCTGATTTTGACTTGCATCTAATTTTCCGTATAGTATTATTGCCGAATCATGCAAACACTAGGCTCATGAGAATAAAGGAACATGAAATCGCCGACCAATGAAGCTCTTGATTGTTAAACAAATTCTCCTCGTCAGTACCATAGGAAATGTATGGAGTACAGTATAGAGAATTTGCATACAATAAGCAAAAGGTTAGCGCGCGTGAAATTAAGCGCCTTGAAGTAGCAACACAACATCAAACTTTAAAGTAGTTTAAAAAATAAACGATCCAGAACTAGAGGGAATCAACGTGCTAAACCCTGCGAATTAAAGTGTTTTTAAAAAGCAATCAATCTTTGAAACACCGTGTTAATTTTCCGGTTTTAATCTGCAGAAGTCTTGTGGCCCTTTTTCCTTAATCACCCATTTAACTGATTGGCGAGAGGTCTGCTAATGAGGTGTTTCCCAAAAGGGTTGGTAAGAGTGTTACCTATTTATGGAAGCCACCGCTAATAGTGAAGAATGATGTTAATCCTTGTCAAATGTGCGCATATTCGCTATAATGTCGTATTCTTCCTTCTTTAACTAGCAGATCGGCTCAGTTCTGCTCTCTTTGGCTTGCATACACACGAATCACCAATAGATGTTATTTTCATCGCTATTCCTCCCTCTATGATCGAGCTTGGTGTTTTTTTAATTATATACTCGATTTCTAAGTAAATGAAGAAAGTATCAAACAGGAACCAAAGAATTCTATCCGTGTGTCCTTTGGCCCTCGTGTTCCGCCTGTCTGACATGAGGTTGGGCGGGAACGACGTATCGACTACACCTGATCGGCTTTCGATAATCATGGAATTAAACAATAATCATGCAATCTCGTGCAATCTCTCTAAGTCATCACTTAGTTTTACTAATTTACTAAGTTTGTGTCAAATGCTGATTCCAGCGGTATCGAGGACGATTGTTACGCAAGTGCCTGCCGTTATTGTTTGGCCTATCTTAACAACGACTCATCTGAAATTCAGATAATAGACCATCCGGAGGATTTGGGACTCGAATTGTTGCAAAGGACTCAGATTTTATCTTTGTTACAGGTTCGTGACAAAATGGTTAATACCTTCTCTTTAATCTCCTGATTACGGAAAATTGTAATTCGCCAAGAGGGGATTGTCCTTTAATCTTCAGCTGTGGCTCCTTTGCCAAGAAAAGCTGAATGACTTTTCTGCTTAAGATACGCATCTGTCAATGCCAAAAGGAAAGTTTTCGAATTGAAAACACCACCAGTTTAAGTAAACGTCGTAGAAAATTTTAATCGATTATCAAAAATTGAAACTGACTATCAGAGATAACCTAGGATTGCGTCGATGTTGCGTTTTCTCCATGTAATTGGCGCTACTCTCTTAACCGATCACTTTAAGAATAAACCCAATCGCCACTCCATCACGCGCATTTTTTAACTATTAACCCTTTTAACCCCTCAGAGTGACTAGCATCTTGTTCCTCCTTACAATATCGGCCCTGAATCAAACATGACGGTCACGAGAATAAAGAAAATGATCACCAACTAAAGAAGCTGTTGACTGTTAAGAGAATTCTCCTTTCATGACAATTCAAAAAAAGTTTGGAGAAGGTGCATACTGATGTAAGGGTGTAAAGGATTAAAATCGAAGTTATAGGCTTGGAAAGATTGTCAAAATGGAGCCAGCAACCGGCGCATTTCACCGTCCACTCTGAAATTTTCAGCCTGGAAGCATGACATTGTACCGGATACCTTGTATCACAATCCGGTTTCTCAAAAATGGTTTTAGCAAACCTGTTACTTGATTTTTTTCTTTTTCGTGGATCGATATTATATTTTCTTTTGTTGTAATAAGTCGTCGCGTGAGTTTCGTTCTGGTGTTACGGAACACGATAAAGTGCGGGCAAAGGCAGTGACATAGGAAAAAAAGGAGAGCTCTTTGACTGCTCGCACCCCTAAGCGCTTTACATAAAGGTAACGCGTTTTCTCATTTGATTGCCTTTCCTACATGTGTATTATATGTTTTTTTTTTACAGTTTTAACACAAGACAAACAGCAACATTCGATAATACCCTCAAATTCATATCTTTGGAATTGTAACGATTTGAGACGCTTTCACTGCCGGCGCCTCAGACAGTTGGCAACTACACAACAATCTATAGCAACTATCTACAAGCAAGTTTTTTACAAATCTATTACGAAGATGTTTCTTTTTAGTTTCTAAACTGAATCTTTTTTGTAGAGTTGATTACAAACAAAAGCTTTATTTCTTTGTAGCAAGTAGAGAGTCCCAATCACCCTAGTCATATCCCAAGGAGGGTCCTCACACTAACAGCACTTTCTGGAAAATGAGAAAAGGTAGCAATACGTTAGTTTAAGTTTAACATAGAACAAGAAGGCGTAGCAGGATTTCTCTTCGACGCAAGCATAGACACGGTGCAAGCATAGGCAAAATGTTCGTGCTCGAATTTCATGAGCAATATTTCCCCAGAAACATTGCCGTGCTAAAATAGTTTCCTCATTCCGTTGGGATAAGACCAAATCCCAGAAGAAAATGTTTTTATTTACATATTTTATGGAGGCTAGCACAGTGTTCTATTTGCTACAGATTGAGAAAAGTGTTTTAGATTCCTAGTTTTGATAGGGACGTACCCTTGTACCAAGAGTTTTCCAAACTCAACGCAATGCCCGCTAGCAGGCTGCTGAAAATGTTCGGGGACCATTCCTCGAACGCTCATATGAACTGCAAATTGAAGGAAAAGTGACTCACCGCTGGATTTGCAGAAACCACATGTCTTTCTACAGTTCTCTTCCATATAAGCTTTCCATCCCCTTATACCCGTACACAAGCCTCTTCCTGCCCAGTTCTCGCAATTGGAGGTCATTCTTTCATCAAAGCACTTTCCTACACGAGACATAGATTGTTAAAACGCTATTGACGCGATTTAAAAATCCATTTGGTGTTACTGACGACAGATCTCCGCGTCGCTAATTGCTCCGTCCTTAGATACAAAATTTCTACTTAACAAATAGATTCCCTGTTGCAGTGCGTCTGTTCAGTGAAGAAAAAAAAAAGAAAAAAAAGAAAAGGTGGCACACGAGGCGCAGCTGAGTGCGTCACTGGTGTTCTTACCGGTGATCAGTGATCTGTTCAGTGCAGACTAACGGCGAAATAAAATCTATTGGTTTTATGTAATAAAGAGACAAAAAATCAATCATCCGTCTGTACTCCGATAGATCACAAGTAAGAGGTAATCATTGTGAGTAATTGAGCTCATTATATTGATTATTTATAACTGAACCAATTATAACCATTTCAATTTTGTCAAATGTGATTGGTGCATTGGCTGCTTTATTTTTTACTAATCACTCTGTAGAGTTGTAATCGCACAGTTGCCTGTAATCGGACAGTAAAGCAGCAAATTATGCTCTGTCCACTCTGTCAAAAATGCCAATCACAGAATTATAGTTACCATAGCAACAATCACTTACCCTACAGAACTGGGGAATTTCCCTAATGGAAGAATTTTTCAGACAAATAATTTTTTTTTCGGAAATTGTTATGGTAATGATTACTCGTGATTGATCGTAATTTACAAATCAGACTCCCACTTTGTGGTTGTCCGATTTTGAAATCACTCGTATGATTACCGACCGAATTTGATGCCACTCGTTCCTATTACCATTATGGATCAAAACTATAAAAATATTCTGGAAGATGACTGGTTATCACCAGACCTATTTGAGAAATGGTAGGAAAGTGTACGCGTCATGCTTGTAATTGGACACTACGCGTCATGTATGAATGCATATGCTGTCACCGCGCCTCTCGCCGAGTCAACCGATGCCTTTTGGGAAAACGTATAACCATTGGCTCGTTTGTTTCGCAAGCTTTTGTCATAGTTTTGATTAAATGGTAAGCGGATATCGTTTAGTCACTAATGAATGAGACTCCAGTCGGTCGTATTACCTTTACTCATTCTGAAGACGAGGCAGTAAAGCTGTATGCCACTTACCACACTTTACTTATTCTGAAGACGAGGCAGTAAAGCTGTATGCCACTTACCACACTTTGCTTATTCTGAAGACGAGGCAGTAAAGCTGTAAGCCACTTACCACACTTTACTCATTCTGAAGACGAGGCAGTAAAGCTGTATGCCACTTACCACACTTTACTTATTCTGAAGACGAGGCAGTAAAGCTGTATGCTACTTACCACACTTTACTTATTCTGAAGACGAGGCAGTAAAGCTGTAAGCCACTTACCACACTTTACTCATTCTGAAGACGAGGCAGTAAAGCTGTATGCCACTTACCACACTTTACTTATTCTGAAGACGAGGCAGTAAAGCTGTATGCTACTTACACCACACTTTACTTATTCTGAAGACTAGGCAGTAAAGCTGTGTGCTACTTACCACACTTTCCACATTTCTTCGGACAGTGAGTTTCTCCAAAGGTTCTAGCGTTGTAGAACGGAGAATTGCAGGTCTTAAACAGCCGACAAGCTCGTGGATAGGTGTCCTCACAAGCTATCACAAGCAGAAAACAACATAATTAGTTAATAAAACTTTAAAATTTATATATCGTCGCCGTAAATATGAACCTTTTACACCGTAAAATTGGTATCCATATCCTCTACAGTCATCTTTATACATTTCCTTTTAGTACCGACGAGAAGAATTCGTTTAACGATCAAAGCTTCTTGGGATGAATATCATTTCCTTTCTTTCCTTGATCTTAATTAATGATTCAGTGGTATTATTCAGGGGAATTTACATTCTGATCACCCTTAGGGTTTAAAAGGGTTAACTACCCACCGTGTTTTCCGATTACTAAGAGAAAACTAGCCGCTGAAGAATCGTGTTTAAATGCGTAGAATTTTAACCTTGGGCGCCGTTATTTAAAAAATGACGAGGCGGCGAAATTAGCACTTACGTAAGCATCCTTTTTCATGCGGACCCAATGCTTCTTGTCCATTCCAACAACATCCATACCTTGAATTGCGAGCCTCACAATCTGCGGTAGGACTCGGTGCCTCTGTCGTGAAGAATTCAAACCTTTAGTTACGAAGACAACTTTTAACCACACGAGAGATTACGTGGAAGGTATAACTATTCTCTTCATGGTGCTTCACTCGGTTTATGAAAAATTTTCGGAACGATAATGTGTTTCTGGGAAAGTTGCACTTGTTACGGATACTTTTTATTTTTCTTCTATTTTCGAGTTTGATGGTGATAGCCAGATTAGTAACTTGAAATGGTAGATGAAAAAACAAAACAAAGCAAAAAGAACTCTGGCTTTATTTGGTTTCGAATTTACAGTGTAGCTAAGTATCTTCGAGAAATATTAAATAAGCATAGAGTTTTTAAAAACTCCAAAAAGAAGAGTTTAACCTGTGTGTCGATAGTAAATCCACGGAGTTGAACTCAAATGTGAGCAAATCCTGCGAGTTGCAGGGTGGAGAGCTTGAAACCGGGACTAACAGATTTCAATCTCAGCGCCGCTGAGCTCGAAATCTGAAACCGTGTGGTTAGGCTAACCACTCGGCTACACTGCCTCCCCATCTAACGCTCACAAGTTCAGGAAAACTCAGGTATAAAAATCAATTCATTAGTACTTACTGCATCGCCTGCAAGTGTAAGCGCAGTTATTTCTGAGAAATTTCTTTCTGTAACTGGATATGGAATCGTCGTCACATTCGTCTTTATATTTGTTACAGTCCCTCAGGTCGATGCACAACTTAACTACATAAAGCACAACAAGGAAATAAGTAAACAAATGAGTAAGTAAAGAACGAAACAAGACGTTTAGGAATTGACAATACTAAGAGAAATAGTTCTCATTTTCAATTGAAAAAAAGAGTGAAACGAACTTTTCTCCTACTCATCTTTTCCAATAAGATAACTGTTATTTGACCGTCTCTTACATCTGATCTAAACCCTTTACACCCCTACATGAGTATGCATATTTTCCATACTGTTTTCCATATACTTCTAAAGGTGCTGACATGGAGAATTCAGTGTTGGTCAATGGTGACCAACACTGGCATGGACATGGAGAATTCAGTGTTGGTCAGTCAAGAGCTTCTTTGGTTGTTGATCTTTTCCAATAAGATAACTGTTATTTGACCGTCTCTTACATCTGATCTAAACCCTTTACATCCCTACATGAGTATGCATATTTTCCATACTGTTTTCCATATACTTCTAAAGGTGCTGACATGGAGAATTCAGTGTTGGTCAATGGTGACCAACACTGGCATGGACATGGAGAATTCAGTGTTGGTCAGTCAAGAGCTTCTTTGGTTGTTGATCATTTCGTTTATTCTCGTGACCTTGATATGTGATTCATGGGTGATATTGTAAGGAGAAATTAGATGTAAGTCACTCTTAAGGGAATAAGGGTAAACAAGAGGTATAACTGTTGATATTAATTAAATGTGTACAGCTTTGAATGTATGTATATGAACCCCACCTACCTAAATAGGATGTGCATGTTGGTCTTTCCTCTACATTAGGTGGGATATATGTTTTTACAACATTGTCAGTTATGTGGTCAAATTCTGAAATGACGTTTTTACTAAGTTTCTTCCTGTGCACTTCTTCTTCTGAGTCAATTGAAGATCATCCTTACAATAGGCACAATTTTCCTGGGGAAGAAATTGCGGTGGGGGGGGGGGGGGGGAGAGGAAGGGCTAAACTGTATAGTTCACTACATATTTAACAAAAGGACTGTCACTCGTGCTTTTATAAGTTTACCTCCACAACCGGCCTGTAAAGGCCCCTCAGCAGCAGTTTTTTGATCTGGACAACAACCATACTGAGTTTCCCAGCAGTTTTCCTCTGTTGAAGACAGGAAAGATGACAGCGTCAACTTGTCAAATCGATGAGCATTTCGTGTGAGCTAAAGACGCGTTTCCTGGCGTTGAAATGAATTTGGGCGAGCCTCAAAGTGTGCTATAAGTAGGTCAATTCTGATTTTCGATATCCACTTTTTCAAATTTAGGCTATCTGCAAAACCTCTCTAGTGCGAAAACACACATTCTAAAAAAAGAAAATTTTCCTACCAACGACTTAGCACCTGCCCCTGTTTTGAAATAGAGGCTTTGCGAAGTTCACAAATGCATGGCCATTTCTAGAATGTTTTCGTTTAAGTTGTTCGCCGCGGTTTGAATCGAATCAAAAACGAGGGAACTTACTGCAGAATTTGCAAGTTTTCCTGCACCTCCGTTGCATCCATGCTTCGTACACTTTTTCATAGCACATATAGTTGTCCGCATACTGTTGACAGTCGGGAAACTCGTCGATGCACTCTGTATGACATTAAGTTTAGAGATAAATATAAACAGTGAACCAGTGACTGACTCTAAGGACTGCCTTAGAGACAAGTAAGAGAATTGTAAATTTTGTGCGTGGGGTGGAGCTGTGGAGTAGTTCATTTGGCCATGTGGCCAGAAAAATCAAACCAATTGTCGAAGAACTTATTCAAAACATCGGAAAATAGTGAAAGTATGTAAGCAAGGACATTTTTGAAGGGAATTGCATCTGGGCAAGCTTGAGCCCTAAAATATATCCTTATCGTAATCAAAAAATTAAGCGCGATTAGGGTGATGAACCGACGTGCGGTACGGGAGAGAACAGGCTCGATGCATTTTTCCCACAAAAGCGTTTAGCATACCTCTGAAATCAAGTTTGGTCATTTTGCATTTAACAACGCCTACGGATTTTTCAAGTTTAAATGAATCGTTTTCCAACTTACTCCTTTCATCATGAAGTGTCTCGTCCTGCTGTGGTTTGTACCAAGCCCTTGGACCCTCAGATTCATCTGTAGACTCGTCCGATCGGACAGACATCTGCTCTACACTTTCGAACAATCGTTTTATCTCAGCCATCGATGTTTGCGCTGTTATAAGCTTTTCTGAGTTGGCAGATGGGAACACTTCGCCCTCACCAAATTCCGTCTGGGGAATGTCGTGTGCGTACCATGGAACATCTGGTAAAACTGCAGCGAAAATATATTTAAATCTCTGTGAGGGCGTCCTTAAGTGACTAGCTTCCCACCCTTCTTTCCACGATGTCGGGTAATTAATTGGTGCCACTCCAAGTATTCAGTCACTTTCCCTCCCTTTTCCTTAAGGTATCTCCCTTTATTTCTACTCATGAACGTCAAGAACTTTACTTCAGCTTCAAGAAGGGTAAGTTTTAGTTTAAAGACAGAGGTGACAATAATGGACAGATCCTCCTTATCTGTGGGTTGCGTTACTTTGGATTCTCGGTTTTAGTGGCGTGACTTGCGCACGCGACAAGCTTTGTCGCCTGATAGACAGAGACGACAAATAATAGAGAGATCTTCCTTATCTATAATTGGCGTTACTCTGGAGTTTTGGTTTTGGTTGCGTGACTTGGCGTACACGACAAGCTTTGTCGCCTAATGATGGTCATTAAAGAACAGATGTCTTCATGACCTGACCGCAAACAAGCGTTCGTTTTACGATCATTATTAAGTAGTGATCGAGGTCATTTTTTAAATAATCTTATTGACAGCCACGAATTAACGAAGACCCACGAAGCGTGAATGGCGCATTTAGGGTGGGTCTTAACCCATAGTTAAATAACTATGCAGGGATTGAAAAAAATGAACAATCCATCAACGTAAACCAAAGAAAACCGTGACGGCTCAAACACAAGTGATTAATCTTTACGAAACTGCGTTATGAGACCCCACTGCCATCCGAACTATTTGTTGTGGTCCTGTCACGTTTCCGACCCACAAAGTTATGTGGGCACGACACATTCATCGAATTCAGGGTGGTTGATGTATAAATATGGTTCTACTTTTCCCGTTAACTTTGACCGAAATTCTAACGACGAATTCAATCTTAGGAATCTAGGTACAGTCTTGGAAAACAACGCCTTCCCTGGCCACAATTTGCATTTTCAGAATTTTCTTTAAAAAGATTAGTTGTACAAGTTATTTTATCCCTGCGTGCCAAGCGGGCCGTAATATGAGGATGACTAACGAAGTAGATCTTTAGCCTCTTAGCAGGTTGTCACCCCGAGCTTAAGAGTGAAAACAATCGAATAAACTCCTTCAGTGTAAATACGTTAGAAAGCAATTATTGTTATTTAACAGTCTACCTCAACAAAAATATATCCTTTAATGTATTTAAGGAGTTGATTAGCCCTTCGTCTTTTTTTATTTCCAGTTTGCGCGTTCATGGAAGGAAGGACTTGAAATCGTGCCTGCATCTTAGTAAGGTATTGTAAGAACTTTATGTCTTTGATTTCGGTGGTTTCTTTTTGCCTTTTCAAGGTATAAGCCGCTCGCGCGCAATTTCCGGAAAGTCTTTAAATAGACAAATTTGATTAATGAAAGATTCCAACCATTATCACCCAATACTCTTTAACGAATAAAAAAAGATGTCATAGAGCTAAAATAATGATAGCAATTAAAAACCTAACGCCTTGGCAGTAGTAAACGAGTGTAAAATATAACCTTTCCGTGACGTTCTCTTCTGTTTCATGAATGATAATTTTCGCCACAGCATGTTTAATACGAGATCAATGATGTTTTGCGCGCGCGCGCTCAACGGAAAATTTTTGAAGTACTGTAATCTCAAAATCAACTGCGGATGGAAATTGACAGATTTGGTGCTCTCTTCGTTAAGAAATTATAAATTAGTATTGAAAAGAGAACATTTCAGTCAGTGATGAAGAGGAACTTCGAACTTTTGTACGACCACAGAACCGTTATAATTTTAGTAAGGCGGCAAGAGCGCGTAATACGGTGCACAGAAACCCAATCTTACATCAATTATGAAAGACCACCGCTCTACCTACCGTATTTTGCGGCTATACATTCCAAGACAAAGAGAAAAACTATAACTGGTAAGTGGGCCATTGTAGAGAACTTCTGTAGAGATCTGGATGGCTGTATTACGCTCTCGCAGTGATGTACTCTATGGAGCCGATCGCCGATGGGAACTCCTATATACGCTGGGGAACAATGGTCACTTTTGAACAGTTTTGAATTTGGCGCTCCGCAGTGTTGAAATCTGAAACGAGAATTTGGCATCATAATAAGTTCAGTGAGGTTATTAGATTAAAATGTCACCTGCACTCTCAAGCTGAAATGACAAAAAGCTTGGTTTTCACCATTTAAGTGGTTACCGCTTGAGATTGGAACGTTCAGGAAGTCACCGCCTTTGTCTCAAGGTTATCTCGTGAACACGTTTGGAACATTTCTGTCATGATTGCATTAGTGTCACCACGTAGTTTGCGCCAATTGTTTTTTTGACCGTTGTGAAATTTCCTTTTTACGATTAAAAGCAATCTTGGTGTAACCAACCTTGCGCTGTCTACTGTGGTGGGACATAAATGTCACTATGGTGCTCTTTGGATGAATTTTAAAACACAAGGCAGGAACTGGGCGCGCCTATATCATTTGAAACATTGAATAAGTACTTAATCATATTTTAACGAGTAATCGTCCTTTGGCACTTTTCCTTAGTTAAAAGCTGTTTATGACTTAAAGAGTGTCGATTTGACTCGTGTTTATCACGCGCACCAGACATAAGGACTAGTGTAAAGCTTTTATTGCTAAAGGCACGAATATGGGCGTTATACGTTAAAAAATAAAGAGTCTGGGATTGAAACACAAACCACATTTAATTCGAATTTGCTGAAAAAAACCAGACAGTCGTGCTGTGTGTATTTTAAAACAAACACGCTGCATTCCGAGCATATATTACCAATCGTTAACCTTTTTTCTCAGTCCGTGGTTACGCCCGCGGAAATGAACAAAAAAAAATTGCAGCGTTTTGCCGCCGATATCTCTCCGCCCACAAGTTTGAATAAACTGACCACTTGACCCTAAATAGGGTTTTATTGAAATATGCTGAACAGCATTTCTTTTTTCAATTGTTGGCTGCGATGATGGATCTCCTCCTGGCTAAAACAGCGGCTAGAATTTGTAGATATCACGTTGTTGGTGACAGTTCAATGTCGTTGTTATCGTAGCAACTATTTACTCTTTCAACAATTGTATTGTCTTCAGGAAATGGAAGAGAGTAAAATAACTTAGACTAGTAACGGAAGAGTGTGATTTTGAGAAACAGACGCTGTCTACCTAGTGTCAACGACGAGAGATATGTGAATTAGATGAGCGGCTGCTTTTATTAAAAAAAAATTGTATTCAGCGTAATAACTAAAGCTATCATCGGTAAAATGAACAAAGGGAGTAAGATTCTAAAGAAACTGCAGTGGTGCGTCAGTAGCCTACCCTACTCTGAGAGTATAACTGGGTAATTTAGTGTTATCAACTGAGTTCATAATGCTTAATTACTCTGTTATTTGTATAGTAAAAGTACGTTTAGAAGTCAAACTTGAAAATCTGAACCATCACTGTGACTACTGCTAGGGGATATATGACATCAAGAACATGCATGTAACAACGAGAGCCCAGTTAGAATATGTGTGCGGTTTGTTTCCTTGTGTTTTTGTTTTTCCAGATAACTTGCTCGCAGTTTGGCAAGGGTCAATTCCGGTTTTCAATTTTGCGCATCATGTAAGAGAGTGCTGGACAAGAGATGACATCAGATGTAAAACAGATCCTTTCTTCAGTTGCCATAAATTCTTGACAAAAATTCGTTATTTCATTTTTGGCATAACTTGTTGTAGATCTCATCTCGTGACGCTATAGCTTCGGTATCGAGAATCTAGCGAACAATCGTAGACGCGCCAACAGGCCAGCCGTAACTCTCGAAACGTCTTCTTTGGAAACTCTTTACGGTGGCCAATTTACATTATTAACTCAGTTCATAAAACCAAACTGTCTTCTTGTATTCCTCCGAAGCAGCACCACAGTTTCTTTAAAACTTACCACCTTTATTCATTTGCAGGCTATTGTCATTCGTTGAATTTTGGTAGCGTTGTAGTCTAAACAATGTCCTTTTTATTGGATAGCCTGTACTAGTCTCCTTTTTAAATATCGTAGGGTTTTCAACTGAAAATCTGAACTTTACAAGGTATTCTTTCTTTTCCCTGTCTGGAGCCCTGAAAATCGATTAGCCTCAGGCAAGTTTATTTTTGAAGCAGTAGATGCAAACAAACAAGACGACATAACATAGACTCTCTTATCGACTATAAACATGGAGGCTTTTTTTACGTGCATTATCTCGTTTCCGTTCGGTTTGTGTTTTCTCTGAAAGGTTTTTCGATTAATGCTTGTGATATCCTGTTGTTTTAAAATTTATTATCGCTTTGTGCTTGATATAACTTAAGCTACTTTTATGACTCAAGGGTGAAGCTTCCTAAAGTATAAGAAGTATGTTCATTCCATTTTATTCTGGCGTTAATTTTTACCTGCCTTGGCCGTGTAGTGAATACGTTATTCGGACCGAATCTGCCCGAATTTTTTACAGCGTACACAAGACAGAAGTGGCTCATAAAGTTCAAAAGCAGCGAACAATAATTATTGACAGACCTAGAAATAAAGCTTGACAATCCGCGAAATTTGCAAGAACTTCTTTTGAAATGGAAAGTTGTACTTAGCGAACATTTTTAAGGTCCCGCCTCAATGTACAGAAAACTAATCTGTGCGAGAAAATGGAGTTTTATCTTTGTTCTTGCTCTTTCAGTTCATAAGGTTCCCGTTTATGAGTAACTACACTGTATATTATCCAGCTACCCATTTTTCATCTCTGCCTCTGAGAACCGGCATCCATTAAAGGTTTGTTTGATTATCCCACCCGGAGGGATGTTTAAAAAAATTCAAAGAAACACCTCACAAGAGGTCCTCCAGAATTCTTTATCGTGAAATCTTTAGCATGGTTGGCTGCATCGAACAATGGCATTCGTATATTCTACCGATAAGTCTACCATTCACTGTTCTTTAGCCAAGTTGGTTCACATTAGTTATAGCTGTATAAATTTAACAGCCAGTCAGTTATTTTGTTGCACAATGTTAGTTGTTTTGACTCGTACTCTCCTCGTTCGCTTTCCTCTGTAAGTAACTTCTTTACCCGTGTGTTCTGACTTTTGCATGTTGTGATACTGCTGATGGTTATTCTTGTTATCTTAAAAACTTTGTATACTCATCTACAGTAGAGATAAATATAGTTGTGCTGGATTGTATGGGATTTTACGCTGGCACATACTGTAATGACAAAACGAGTGTGAGATTGAAAACCATTGAAGCTTATAAACTATTATAAGTTATGCGCCAAGTTATGCGCTTAAAGATCGCCCTTTCATAGCATTAAATGAAGCTGATGGCATTTAGAAGAATCTACACCCATATAATTTGTTGTAATGATGCTAATATAAGAAGCTTAGAGTTAAACCAGCGCTACTTACCTTTTTTAATGTCCTTCACATCTGATTGTTCAACCACTCATCTGTGATTGTGCATTCTAACACAAACACGAAACCTAACTCATTAGCATATATAATCAAATGTATCGAGTTAATTACTTTAAATAATTTCAATAGTTTGTCTAGAAAAAAATCGAAAGTTTGTAAACAGCATCAAATCAAAACCGAACTCATTAGCATAGAAAATAAACAATTGATTAAACCGAATCTAATAATTGTTTTATTATACATTAGACAAAAAAAATATGGTTACCACAGTAAGTGGAACTGATTATTTATTTCAAGACGTGTAAAAATACACAAATCAGCGGCACATAATTCGATTAACAAAAAAGTCTTAGCATTTGACAATATTATAAAAATTGAAAAAGAGCTGCATGACTGAGAAAGTAAATAGCAAATAAGTTTAACTGAAGAAGACATAACGATTGTAAAAAGCCAAATTAAACTTTTTTCCGATGTCCTGCTTAGTCAACGAAGCAAATCTAGAAGTCCTGTTTTTTCTTCTTCATTGACGGCAAGCAACACAAAGCGCGAACTTGACATTATTACCCTTCGATGTCATGCACCGTGGTCATACGTTTACGTAACATGGTTACGCGTGACCATGAATGACCTTGACATGATTATTGTATAATCTGCAGTTAGATGACATCCCAGACGCTGATTTCGAAATACTGTAAGCTTTTGGCCAATCCGAGAAGAGATAGTAAGTTAAATGCATAATAATCAAATATATCGAGTTAACTACTTTGAATAGTTTCAATCGTTTGTCAAGAAATAAGATCGAAACTTTGTAAATGGTGTCAAATCAAGCTTAAGTCTTCCACAGGCTTTGAGTCGAACAAATTTGTTTTTTTTCCGGTACGTCAAACCACACAGCGAAGATTATTCAAGGTTGTGGGTTCCGTCGGGGAATTGCTTTTAAGCTATCTCTGAGTCACTGCACCCTTACACTTGATATCGAGTGTCTTTATTGACTAGACGAGCGAATCCACTTAAGTCTAAAAAAGGACGCAGTAAAAAAATGGCAAATTTCTATGAAATTCCGTCAAACCGAGTGAATGTTCATGGATTTGACGATTTTGGCGAGTTTTAGTCCAATTCGTCAAAGTGAAATCAACTTGGCAAAATTGACGATTCTGACGAATTTTAGTCCAATTCGTCAAAGCGAAATCTGGACATATAGAATCAGAGCATGAGACATATAGAATCAGAGCATGAGGGAAATTATGTGAGGTATCGGATACCATCCAATGGCAGTGTAAACGAAGCATCCATAAGTTACTCGTTAACTATGGCCAAAACAATCAAGAATGGCAAAGTAAGCAGAGGATAAACACGTATGCGAACGACTAAGTTGAAGAACTTTTCAAATTTGCGTAAAACGCGAAAAGACTTTTTAAACTTGATGTTTTTTTTTGTGCCTATGGTGTTTGCTTACGGCAATTTTTATTATGTCGCAAGCGTCGACGAACATTCAGAGACTTCACTTACAAAAATTAAAAAAAACTTCTTGTATTCGTACAGTTTAGTTTTCAGTATATTGTGGCAGGACCTTGAAAATGTCCGCTTTGAACAAGTTTCCCTTTGCAAATTTCGCAGTATTGTCAAGCTTCATTTTAAGGTCTGTTGTTATTTATTGTTCGCTGCTTTACAACTTTTTGAGCCACATCGTTCTCTACTTCTGTCTTGTGTAGGCTCTTTGATGGCGGATCCCTTAAAAGAAATTTGAGTGTTAATGCTAATAAATACCTTTGTGGTTCATCTCTTGCATTTCGTTGTTCCAACTGTATCATCTACATTTATATAAATATATATATATATATAGACATATACATATATATAAAACATAATAAAATTTTGAAGTATTCGCTTACGCAGCTTTTTGGTCGCAAAATTACTCAAGTTTAGTGTCCCAGTCCGCATAATAACAGTTTCCTTACCTGTATTTTAACAATAGTTTAATAGAGGAATTAGTACACGTAGACTGGATAACCATATCTGCCTTAAAAGTCATTCTTGGGGACGCGAAACCCTTAGCATGTCAATGGTGCTTGTTTGACGTTCGAATCGAAGTTGGTGGCGTGTCACTAAAGGTGCGAAATATTTGCTAATACTGTCACAAGTTTCTGGTTATCATTTTGATTTAATGCTTTTTACCTGAAGATTATGGAACCCGCTTAACTAATCAGCGTTAAACTAGCAATTTTACCTTCTTCTGTGGCAGCTTTTCGCGCCCTAATGGATAAACAACTACTAAAATGTAGCGCGCAAACGCTCTTTTTCTTTTTAGTCATGGTAACCACAGTTGCCTCTCTGGGTCCTCTAAAACCGATGCCAATCGAGTTCGCCATCTCCCAGCTTAGTAAAATTCAGCAAGAGCAGTTTGTTGATGAACACAACAAGTTTCGGAGTCTGGTGAATCCGCCCGCCGCTAATATGGAGTATATGGTAAGAGGAGGCCTTGTTCTTTCCCGTTTCTGTGATAACTTACGCCACGCGTCGCAAATGGATACACAGAGTACGCCTGTATATGATTTCAGATAGCCTTCATTTCGTGCTAATCGCGTAAACTACTAATACTTGTATATATCTCCCACCGAGAGATTTTAAATTGCAGTTTATAAGATCCTGCTCCAACTAGCGTGGGGTGTGTCGCGTTTATAGGAGAGAAACGAGGACTGAGTTCATTTCTGGCAATTCCGTAGGATATTAAGATGAAATATAAAACTGGACATCGCAGTCTTTCTGAATTCAAAAGTCGAGTTCGCAAATGTGGTTGCAGGTGTTTTGGAAATGAAGTGTTGGTGCACTTACCTGAACGATACATTTGAAAATATCTTATGTAGTCCTTCGTCTCCTCTTATTTTACAATAAAGTTGGTGCAATTTTTGCCCGGGGGTGGGGGGAAGAGAAGGTCTCGAGAGCCATTACACCAACAGAGTTAATGTCAGAATACAAAAAAAAAATTAAGAAAAGTTCACGCCTTAAGTCTACTTTTCTGTTAACTGACGGGGTAAGCGTGCCCTGTTATCATTGTTTTTTTTGTTTTGTTTTTTGTTTTCAAATTCTCATTATTGTTTCTTTTCTCGCAGTTTTGGAATGAGGATTTAGGAAATCTTGCCCAAATGTGGGCAAACAAATGTACGTGGGATCACGGTTTTCTGGAATTTGGAGAGCTGTATCCTAATCCACCTTTTCGAGGTCAAGTTGGTATGTGCGAGCAAATACGTAGTCGTTTGGTCGTGTATAAATGAAGTATAAGAGTGAACAAAAACGTAGTCGTGTTTGTCGTGTATTGGTGAAGTATATTGCAAACGCAATCGCTCACTAAGTCGGAATAATTTTGTCACATGGTTTTCTTTTCCATTCGAATGAAACATTCTCATTCCTACCATCGCCATCTTACAACAGGTCTTCATGTTGGAGAGAGTTTTAGAAATGATTCTCTCATATTCTTCTTTACATTTCTGTTCCTTCTGCGCAGCTGGACGCATTTATTTTTCCAATCAATGTCCACAACTTTATGTTACAGTTTTGAGATAGTTGCATCGCTTATTCCGCTTGGTTTTTGTTCGAGCATATCGCATCCGCTATCTAACTACACTAGAATAGGATTGTCGTTCTATCGCAGAATTTGGAGCAAAAGTTCGAAGGAGGTTAGGTTCTTCTTTTCATACTTAAAGCATTAGTTGTGATAACGCGGCCAGTAGTTTGTACATTGTTTCATGGGGGTAGCCTAAAAATAGCGTAACAAGAATGCGAACATGAAACATTGCGAGATGTTAAACCGTCTTTTTGCACTTTATTTCAGGGCAGAATCTTGCACGAGAGTGGAGAAAGCTTCAAAATCCGGCTGATCGAGTAAAGCTTTGGTATAGAGAGAGCAGTAACTACGCCTTCAGCAAGTTTTTTTCCCCAATGGTACCTCGTCAGTGCTCCAACCCTCCATGCAAGCTGTATACGCAGGTATGCCCAATTTCGATACACACAAACGGCAGAGCTAGTATCTGCAGTTATACCATTGCAATTGGTATATTGTACTTTGAAGAACTGTTGCGTCTTAAGGAAAGGATAAGTTTAAAGTTAAGATGAAGTATAAGGTTGACATTTCATACACTGCCACACCTTTGATTTTAATCTCGTGGGGTCGCCACCAAACCATGAAGCATCTTAAATTTTACATGCTTGTACTTTACGAGGTATAGTCTTTCCAATCGATCTATCATTTTGATAGACCTTTAAAACTTTGGTGATTATGACTACGAGTTTGAAATTTTCAAAAGTAAAGCCTAAAAAACATAAATAAAAAAAGGAAAGAAACTGAGAAAATAAAATACGGAGCTGTAGAAGCCATCTTCGTTTCGTGACAGGTAGTTTCTAAGTTTTCAAGTTTTTTCGTCCCGATGAGTTAAATCTGTCCTTGATTTTTATACTAGCTTCATCTAAGTCGCTTGCAAAGAGCAAAATGAGGCGTTTCGAGATGCATGTTTATTTGAAGTATCTGTCGCACACTTATGTAAATCTAGATCACATGTCGAACAGTCTTCTGTGTCAAAAAGTCTACCTAAACTGACGTTTCCAGATTTTCTGCTGGGATATCTACTGAGATATAAGGCCCGTTTATTCGTAGGCGTCGCGCTTCTGCCCGAGTCTGCTGATAGCGGCGCATGCGTCGTATACGGCTCAGTTCCTCTTGCAGGCTACGCTGCATCAGAGCGGAGGGACGCAACTGTCTTCCTTGTGACAAATCATCAATCTCCTCTTCGTCTTCCTCATCTTCTTCTATCTTACGACACATACAGATAAGCTTTAGAGCGACGTTTCGAAATCTGCGAGAAAGGGAAAAATAAGAGTTTGCAAAGTGGACATGGTGATCTACCATAAACTCCTTCCGGAGTCACCAAACGCCGGATCACAGACAAAAAAAGACGTCTTTACAGTTACGATCAATTGAAACTGTTACATTTATTAGAAAGTGTATCATAATTGAACTATGACGTTCAATAATAGGAAATAAGCCAAGATTAATAACCGAAGAAAGAAGAGGGTTGGTGAGAGATAAGCGGTTTTTTTAGATAATGAGATACAGAAAAAGAGAGAGTTTTGATCACGAGGATTCATTCGATTTAGTGCAATTCGTGATATTATCGCGAATAGACACTTTAATAAATAGCAAATAGAATCTTCTTAAATTTACTTGTGAGTAATTAAGTTAGCAACAAGTAACTAAAGATCTAAAGATAAAGGGAGACGGAGCAAAAAAATTATGTAATGATACAAAAAGAATATTTATCGATATTAATTTTGCAAGTTCCACGATTCTTACCCTTCTTACCGTGTGCTTGCTAGCAAGCAGAATAAGGGGTTGAACACAGCACTGGCTTTAGCGACAACGCCAGGAATAAACGAAATCTCCGGATTAAACGTCTTCGAACCTCCAAACAAAGCCATCATGGCGCATACACAGTAGGGCATCCAGCTGACCATGAAGATTGCCACGCCAATCCAAATTATAACGACCGCTTTCCTCGCCTTCTCCCTTGCTCTCAATGACATTCCGTCATCCCCTCTATCTTGCAATAACTTGTTGTATATTTTGCCAAAGTAGGCCGCGGAAAAACCTAGAGGAATTACGAATACTAAAAGGATTAATAGAACCATATAGATGCGTCCGGCCGAGGATTCTTCCTGCCAATTCGGAGCACACACTGTATCGCCTGATTCAAAATTGAATGATCCCCATGTCACCATCGGAGGAAACATCACTGCGATACCGTACAACCAGGTTCCTGTCAGGGTCTTAATGATATTGTGACGTTCCCACGCATAGCGCTCGGCAAATGCTATCTCAAATTCCATGGCGTCGTCTCTTAACTTACGATGAGTTTTGAGGAGAGTCAATACGAATGTAGCTATGGTTGAGATACATCCGACCCACGACAAGAAACCTACGATCTGCAATTGAAAAAAACAGTCATGCTGAATGAAGTATTAAAAGGGACAGTTGGCTGATACCTCAAACCCCCCCCCCCCCCCAACCCCCTCTCCATGCTACTCTGACGATGAATTCCGCTAAGCTTGTCGAAATGTCAGTCACCCTAAATCCGGACGATCAGACAACACAATCAACTCAACCGTCCAGACATGAAGCAACTGACAAGAACCCTCTTCGTTCTTACTCCTTGGAATAAAAATCGTCATTTTGGTGTAATACTTGCTTACTTATTTTTTCTAGCTGGCCATGAAATTACTTCCGATATCCAGTCACTTCTCCAATTTGCGAGCGGTAACTTTTAAGTAACAACCCCTTCCCCACTCCCACTTCACCGGAACTGTCCAACCACAGCCAGCTTTTAACCAGGCGGTCTCATTGACGTGAACTCCTTCGTAAAAAAAGTCTTACGCATCAACTAGGTGGACATTTGCTCCGTGTAAAGATTTCAAGTTATTTTTACATGTGGCAGCGTACGGTTTACCATTACATAAATGACTGTAAATATATGAAAATCATATATGTGAACTACAGATAAAGAAATGAATATGGAAGCGATTTTCGCAGTCGGCTTCCAGTTGGCTTGTTACCTCAGCTGGTAGAGTGTTGCACTGGTATCGTAAGGGTCATGAGTTCAAATCCCGTAACGGCCTGAATTTTTTTATATTTTTCATATTTTAGTAGTTATTCGAAAATTATTTTCCATTTTTCTAACTTGGACGTTTTTTGTGGAGAAGACTTCATTTTATATCAGGATTGAGTAGTTAAAATCATATGAAGTCTCTCGATATTTCGACTTACTTCATACCAAGGCCACATGTACGGCAGAAACAAATGTGTCGCTCAAATGAGCGATTCTTTGCTGTGGATTAAGTTTAGTGTAATTTATAGTTACAATGTTGTATTGACCAGGAAATCCTGACGATTAGTCAACCGCTTGCCTCATAAACTTCCATGGCGGTCATCCTACAACAGGTCCCTTTTTCGGTATCTAGTTGACAAAACAGTCTACTGAATTTTTTGCTTTCACCACTTTCAGGCTCGTAATCACACAAACGTTTCTCAATTCGATGTTTCCTATTATAAGACTTAGAGAAGGAAATTTCAAACCCACGCAAAAGCGCAGTTTCTTGGGCCTTCCTTCAACAACTATTCCATGAACATCAACACCAAAGAATGAAAAAAGAAAGGATTTAAGGGCAAGGAAAATGAGTGAATTGCAAAATATCAACCGATCAATTTTAATCAGTGGAAAATGAGCGTGCATTATATGGGCAAAAAATTTCCAAATGGTTCTAGGTTTTAAGGACATAGACAAAACTTAGATTTTTTTTTCCTTGTATAATTATTTCTTAGTTTAGTATGCTTTTCAATATATTTCATATACTAAATATTTTTCGGTCGTTTTTCCTTTAGCAAGAAGTGAACTTACGCGTAGCTCTCACCTGACAATATATCTCTCCAAGCATGTTTCTCTGTGCCCAAGCAGACGCGATGATCGGTGGAAAATCAACCAATATCACAACACTGTTCGCGATGATGATGTTGAGAAAATATGGCGACAGATCGAATTGCTTAAAAGCCGGCCGCGTCAAAACGAACAGCGTGAACGCTTGAAACACGCAACCAACGATCAAAAGCACGACCATACTCGCGCCCAAACCAAAGTATTCGGCGTCATTTAGCCGCGAAGACATCTTCGCCTTGCGATTACGAGAATTTTTTACTGGCCCTCCCTCTCTTACACCCGAGGGGAAATGAACTGTGTTGCGAAATAACAAAATACTTTTGAGGAAATACGTCGCTCCTTCTTAGTTGTTTGAAAAATCAAGGAGGCCGACTCTCCTTAATGACGTCATTCTTTTTTGTTAGCGTCGGGTCGTTTTGTCGCTGCCGGTTTTATTTTTTACATTAGTCATGAAAATAAATGGATGATGGTTTTTTTTTCTAAGACGGAATAATTTCGTTGCATGGTTTTCTTTTCCATTCGAATGAAAGATTCCCACTCCAACCATCGCCATCTTACAACACGTCCTTTGGAATATGAAGAGCTGTGTCCTAATCCACCTTTTCTAGGCCAATTTTGGTATGTGCGAAAAAATACGTTGTCGTTTGGTGGTATATAGTTGAAGTATAAGTGCGAACAAAAAGGCAGTCGTGTTTGACATGTATGGCCATCGCCATCTTAAAAAACACGTCTTCTAGTTGGAGACAGTTTTAGAAATAATCCTCTCATCTTCTTCTTTATATTTCTGTAGCTTAGGCTCAACTGGACGCATTTATTTTTCCGTTACAATGTTGAGACAGTTGCATTGCTTATACCACTTCGTTTTTGTTCGAGAATATCGCATCCACTATTTAACCACCTTAAAATAGAATTGTCATCGGGTCGTTTTGTCACTGCCGGTTTTATTTTTCACATTAGCCATGAAAATATGGATATCAATCTTGATGATTAAATACGCCTGGGTGATGGTATTTTTTATTCTCATTACCCGCCAATTAATGCACGTGTTGCGAAAAAAGGCGAAATTCCCAAATTCGTTTTTTAGTCCTAACTAATTCTTATTATTTTGTATACGCTTTTCCAATTCGTGTGTCAATTATAAGAATTTTTTGCATCTGTTAAAAGCTTTTCACAGAGAAGTTTTTCTTCAAGAATCTCTTCTTAATAAACTAAAATTTATAATTAAATACAAATTTTACATGGGAACCATCAGAATTTTATTATCGTTTCAAATTCAGAAGTCTTTCTACCAGAGAATTTCGCCTGAATTTTTTAAAATATAATTTGCATGTACCTTTTACCGAGCACCTGCATTATTTTATTCTGTTTTCTAAAAATGGACTGCTATTCAATCATAGCAAAATTAAGTCTAGTATTCTTGGGCTAGTTTGTTTTCAACAGGGCCTTGTTTTCGCAGGTGAACCGCTGCAGACATGTTGTCTCCACTAAAGGATTGATTTTATACTAAGCTCTCTTTTGAAAGTCATTAACCAGTGTAAATGATCACTTCGAGAAAAGGCAAAGTTGTTTTTTAATGATACGTATGGTTAATGTTAAACATACACTTAATTCCAATAACTTTGTCATAGAAAAAAGAAAAAAAGAAACAGGCAAATTGGAATTCATCAGCCTATAGTGTAAGCATGCAGCAATATCACGTAGATTTTTCTTTTTAGCTTTTAGAACCGCTTGAAATATCTAAACAACATCTGATACTCTCTAGAAGTTTGAAATAATTTTTCAGTGGAAAATTCTCATAAATTGCTTGCCTAATTGTTATTATTATTATTATTATTATTATTATGATTCTTATAGTTGTTATTATCACTATTTTCGTTTTTGTACTGGTAAATTAGCCCTCCTGGCCGCGTCAACGTGTCAAAAAAAAATTGAATATCACTTAAAAGCGAGCTTGAGAAGGCTTATTTACATACGCATGAAAAAATAATGATCATGCCTGCCATTTATAAAAGGGGTCAAGAAGGTGGGGTAGACTATTACTTCTGGTACCTTCTTATACCGTAGTATATGTGCGTTATCTATCAGGCGGGAGGTCTGTTTAAGAAAAAATGTGCCCGAAGAAGACTAAGGAGAAAATAAAGTTGTGTTATTCTACGCATCAAAAGGTCTATTCAAACACAACGTATCAAATACTTTTTTTCTTGGATTGTAGCTTTTAAACATTTTCTTTGGATGTGTTAATGTCTTTTTTTACAGCTTGTTTGGGCAACGACCAGATTCTTGGGATGTGGTGTCTCATTTTGTGAGAAATCAGCGGGGGTACCCCACCCTTGGGTCAGAGGCGGCACTGAAGTTGTATGTGACTATGCGCCCGGGTAAGGATTTTTAGGAAATTGAAGAAGAATCTTTTTCAAATAAATTGTATCGCTGTTATTTTGTGAAAGTGTTTCCCTACTTTTGATGAAAACCGTGACTCCATGTGATGACTTGTTAATCATAAGAACTGATTTTTTTAAAAACCTTTACACCTTAACAACGTTATGTATATTCTCCATACTGTCCTCCACTTATTTCTTAATAAGGAAAATTTTTTTAACAATCAAGAGCTTATTTAGTTGGTGATCATTTCATTCGTTCTTGTGATCTTAATGTTTGTTTAAGGGGTGATACTGAGAGTAGAAATTGGATGTTAGTCACTCTAAGGTGTGAAATGATTGAATGAAATTCGATCTGAGGGCTGCAAAAAGTTTAAGTGTCTCCCTTACTTCTCTCCTTGATGCTGCACTTCAACTCCTAAAACTTGCGCCGTGCTGTTTTCCTTTACCTTATTCTTCCTACAAATATTCCTCTGGCACAGTTATTCTCTTGTTTCACCACCTTTTTTCTGATTGTATTATTCCATCTTTCCACGATTACCTCTCTTAATCTCTTAATAAAATGTGGGTTTTACATCGTTATTTAAAGCTGCTATGGGGTATCCACCATCGTCACGTAACCCGTGTTCGAACAGGAACTTGATTTCTTAAATACACTGCGGTATTTTGTGGCATTTTTTAACAATGCCCTCTGCTTCTCCTCAATTTTTAAATACAGCATATCTCTGTTAAACATGTAATGAGTTTAAACTAGTTGATTCTCATTGCACTTGCAGAGGCAACCTTATCAATGAATTTCCGTACGAAATTGGAAAGCCTTGTTCCAAATGTGCCTCTGGGAGAGGATTTTGCTACAAAAATCTGTGCAGTAAGTATATTTTAACCAGTTCACTAAGTTAGCATGAACTTCGTCTCCTTGTGTAAACAACTCTCTCACCTTATAATTTTCCTTCCTCACACAATCACTGGTGCGATAATATTTATCATCATTTGATTATCTCGGTCGCACAAACGAAAGATTTGGATCAAACTTGGTTCGAGAAATTCCGCCCTTTCTCTCGACAGAGCACGTTTGCTAACTTCCCCAGTTAAATGCAAAGACCAAGTAGAAATTGAACGTGCTATTTCCAAAATATACTTCATTATTTGCAGGGGATTGCGATGATTTTGACGAGGAATGTGGAAGATCTCTCACTTTAGCGATGTGTACAGGTTTTAAGGATATCATGGCCAAGAAATGTCCAAAAATGTGCAATTTATGTGGTACGCAGGGAAACATTGTTGCTTGATTCTTTTATACTTTTAAATTAATTGACATGTCCCTTGGATCAACTTTACGATTCAATAAGCTGATTCTGAACTAAGAAACATAAGATCATGTATGCCTTAAAAAACAGACCTCTTTTGACAAGTTGCCATGATAGAGATGGTAAGAGGTAAATGTTCAATCTGTTTATGAGTAAATCTCTGAATAGTTTTTGCAGTCCCCACATGGGAGTGCATATTAACAGTTTCATGTCGCTTCCTTTTATCCACTTAGAATGTCCTTTGGAATGTCAAAATGGCGGGAAACTAGATGCTGTTATGTGCACATGCGCGTGCCTTCCCGGTTACGTGGGCTTGGACTGTTCAGGTTAGCCAGCTTCTCCTGTGTTCATGGTTTCAGATAACGATTTCTGAAAGTCATATCCACTTGCCTTCAATATTTCTCATGACATAGGTATTTAGTGTTTAAAACCGTTACTCTTGGATTAGTGCTTTGTTGTATAGCTTTGTGGACAGTTCTTCCTTTCCTTCTCTTTGCCCCATATTTAGATGATGTTTAAAGTTTGATACTAAAAGTGCTAACTGCCCATCGAAATTATCGGCCCCAGGAGGACCAATTTGGGACCTTTTTTTCTGTACGGGGCCTCTACTGTTTTTACTATTGGTTTCAACCTCACACTCACTGACAACGCCACCACACCTGTATGTTTTACTTGTGATGATAACCCTTACTCTGATCTTTAAAGATGGTTATAAAGCATTTGGCCCCGAGAAGCCCCATAGAGGGAGTGGTCGATTAAATAAACATATACAGATGCATTCATTTTCTTTCCAAGAAGAAATCAAGGGCTGTCCTCCTGAAGTCAGTGGTGAAAACTGCCAATGTTATTGAGATTCAACTATTTTTCTAGGCAGAACCATCTCTACAACAGTGGAATTTTCATGATTAAACAAGCACTCAAGGGTTTAATAGACTCAGCAGATTGAAGCATTACTTTACAATACCATAACATCAACGATGATTGTTTTCTCTAACATAACGACTTCATTCCCGGGCCTACTGGTCGACTGTATTCGTCATTTGATCAATATAGCTATCCAAAGTTGTAATCTCAAATTATGGCTTTCAACAGTTCATTGTCCCGACAAGGCCGGTCTAGAGGTCTGTCACTGGAGAATAAGCAATGGGCATCAGTGTAGTGCACCATACATGCAGCAGGACTGCGCAGCCTCCTGCGGAATTTGTGGTATGTTTGTTTGAACCTCCTCTTAGGCGCTTTTTGATCTCGGGAGTAGCATATACAACAGTCTGTGCTTAAGTGTAGCACGGTTCCCGTAGATATTCGCGCACGTGGTAAAAGCCGCACCCTCCATTGCTTAGGCTTACTCGAAAAAGATGAGAGCGGCTGATCGCCAGTGTTTTTCCACGATGAATATTGCTTCCATTTATCCGTTTTGAATGGATAAATAACTCTATGTTCTTTGCTTAGTTTCTTTTTTTTTCACGCTGGTTTTAGTGATGTGCAAAAACTTTCTATTAGTTTTGGTGATTGTTTTATGATCAATCAGAGAAAACGTAACTTCCCCATCTTCTCTTGATCGAGGCTTTCGCATGACTCCTTCCTTGAAGCCTTCTAAGCTACTTACAACACCAAAACCTCTCGTGACTGGAACTTCAAATGCATCCACTACAATGCATCCCGCCTATCTTCCTGTCACGACATCAGATGCGAATCCACTTGGAAAAACTTCCACTGTGACATTATCATCCAATGCCACTGCGAGAAAACCGGCTTTTGCGGCGTCAGTTGTGACATCCAACAATAGCACCAACGTAACTCTGAGTATTGGCCACGTTGATTCTCCTAACGTGAACAGTGTTCGGCCAGTCGCGCCATCTCGGAAATTCACAAACGTGACCTTTGGCAGAGCAAAACAATTGAAAGGAGTCATTGATAAACTCGTCACGTTACTGGATGAACAGACCAGACATGGGTCGAAAACCAGTAAGTATTATCTTTTTGGTAATGGAAATGTTTTTGTGTAATTCAATCATGGAAAACACACTTTAAAAATCGAGCTTCAACGGACTTGAGGGTATTAAAATAACTGAAAGGAAAGTGCTACCTTTGCTACGACATCTGCAAATTGTTCGACGTTCTAGTCTTTGTCAGATGAGAAAGAACAACTTTTGGCCCTGTCTCCTGTATCTTCTCTGTACTGGTTAGCAGGGGACGTTAATGAACTCGTGCACTTCTCGCAGAGTAGGGAAAGAAGTTCACAGTGTTGTGCTATGGCCTTGTTTTCAAAAATTCCCTAACTGGGGGCACCTGCAAAATTCCCATTCGTAAGTTTTAAAGTGCTCAGTGCAGTCAGAGCATATTCATGCATAATTTATAGAGAATGCGCTATATAACTGCCTCGTTATCATTATCATAACTCATGTAAACGTTCAGGTGTCACGCACGCCGTAGATTGACTGGGTTTTTTTTCTCAATATTTGTTTTTGGTAGGGTCAGATTAGTCTTTGAGAAAATTTACAAGTGCCTATTTATTCCAAATTGAACGAAAAAAATCATGTGATTACGTATTAATAATATAAATGAAAAAATACGAGATAGTTTATCATAATTAAGTAGAAGCAAAGCGCGCGCATCAAGGGCAAAAATAATTTACTCAAACCCTGCAAGTGACATCGTGCGTTCGGTCAAAACAACCGCGTACGATCAAAACAATAATAAACAATGATATTTTCACATCTTAAAGGCGCAAAAAAAGTTGCGGCCTAACAGTTCAAGGAATTGTTCAGTCTTCAGGATTAACCCTCTTCTGCATTGAATTACCTGAAAACTGCCTTTATCTTAACCAATCAGAACTGAGTAATTTTTTCTTGTATCTTATTATGAGCTGAAAACTTTTGAGATTCTAAACTTTCCGTTAAATTGAACTTAAGGTATGAATTTATGTCAGTTTTACTGACATAAATTTTAAACATTTTACCTATAACTGGATATTGATCTTGTGATGTCGCAAAACGCTTTTGCCAGTACCATCATCTGGGGGTTTACGGAAACGATACTCAGTTGTAACTTTTAAAACAGAAAGTTGCACTATTTCGTTAGAGTGTTGGCTTCACAGATCCCTTTAACGGTTCTGTCGTAATGTTTTTCTTTCATACCACTCTTGCAAAACTATTGCCGTGTCAAGGTACCTAATCGACACAGATGATCACGAGACCCTCTTATCCAAGTTAAGCCACTATGGCATATGTGGAAATGCGTCTAAATGGTTTAAGTCATACTTGGAGAATCGCACACAAATGTGCTCCATTAATGAGTTGTTATCTAATAACCTTTCATTAACTTGTGGAGTCCCCGAGGAGACGATTCACGGATCACTGCTATTCTTGTTATATATCAATGATCTTCCGAATTGTTTATCCAATTGTGAACCGAGGATGTACGCCGATGACACCCACCTTACATATGCGGGTGATTGTGTTGATAAGCACTCTGAATATCACTAAAACCGAGTTAATGCTCATCGGTTCAAGGCAGAGATTAAGTACTCTTGCATTTTCTCCGACGATTACAATTTATAACAATCACAAAAAACAATTGCGGTCACCACCGCAAAATCACTTGGAGTGACCATCGATAACAAACTCGATTGGAGCAGTCACATCGATAAACTAACAAAGAAAGTCGCTTCTGGCATAGGGGCTATAAAACGAATAGAGCACCTTGTCCCTCAAGTTAAGTTTATGCTTTAAGTATAGTTTTTATAGTATCTTATTCAATTAATGCATGTTTATATATTTGAATGTTTTTATGGCTGATGAATTGTCCGTTGGTAAATAAAGATTATCCATCTATCCTAAGACACATTTTTCTTGTCCAAGATTGCAAGAATGAGAACCCCATATGCACTCTATGGTCAACCATGGGAAAATGTAAAGATATGACCAGGCTGATGAGTAAGCACTGTTGTGCAACTTGCAAGAAAGTTATGAATATCCCAGCACCCAAAGGTATAATTGCCACCACAGGTTTTGTTCAGAATTACTTCTGTTTAGATCTACTTTCAATGATATTCATTGTATATTGTTATTTGATGAAGCCAGCGCGTGGATTGTGCAGGCCACATTTTTCAAGGTTATTGATGTTTGTAATTCGAATTTATCTTCCTAATCCATACGAGTCTTTATTCCACTTTTACTTCATTGATATTTTCAGTTTTGTTTTCCCTGTGTATATCATAATATGTTATGGTTTTCATCAAGCTGACAATAGTTTTGGCTCTAAAAATGTCTACAATTTCTGGTTGGATGCTCTAAGAGAATAGAGAAAATTATCCCAAAAAGGCTTTGAACAAAGAAATAAAGAAACCCGGATTAAAATTTAACCTTGGGTTAGCACTAGGATCGGCCTTTGAGCTACTGGGCCCTTTATTTTTATATGGCTTTAGGCCTTGTTGCAGCCTTAGTTGAGAGTAAAAGTTATGTATAACAGCCTTTGAGCAAGCGCCCATTGTTAGCGATGCAGGACGTGAGTTTCTCATCTCGCGGGTAGATTGGAGACGAGTCAGGGAAAGGCTTGCCCCAAGACCTCTTGCAGACATCTCACCAACTTGAGTTGGATGAAGAAATGCTCGTGCCGAAGCGCTGATAATGAGGGTTTCCTCGCACATTAGTTATTTATCCATTTCTCTCATTAGTGTCATTAGCATGCAAAGATAACAACATCAAATGTCCTTTCTGGGCTTTGGCTGGCGAGTGCTCAAGAGACCGAATATGGATGCAAGGAAATTGTAGGAAAAGCTGTAATCAGTGTGGAGGTGAAAATTAAACCTTTGCACCCTAACATCAGTATTCATATTCTCCATACTCTTCTCTGTACATTTACCAAGGTGCTTACAAGGAGAATTGGTTTAACGATCCACAGCTTGTTTAGTTGGTGATCATTTCCTTAATTCTTGTGACGTTAATGTTTTTTTCAAGGGGGGAAATAAATTCTAGTCACTCTTAGTGGTTAAAGGGTTAAGGCTACAGTTAGAATGGATGAAATTTTACTGCTCCTCCCAGATGAGATTTTCAGCATTTTGTTGGATTCGCCAGGATTGTCGGTACTCATCTTTACCTTTTTGAAATTACAAAGAGGAAGCGAGTGACGAGGAAGCCGCCGGAAGATTAACAGAAAAATTCCCAGCAATGTAGATGGAAAATTAAGATTTCTAAGTCTTCAGTTTGCGTCGAAGAGAGTTTCATTTGTTCACGCTGGCTGCTCAATTTCAGAAGACATTGCCCATTCTCATTACAAGTTTTCTTGACTTGTTTTCCTCCACAGTTTGCCAGGATAAGGAGCAGAAATGTGCCGATTTAGCATTACTGAGAAAGTGCACAGAAGGTGACAAACGTCTTGTGATGCTGAGAGATTGTCCTCAAAGCTGCGGTCTTTGTCAAGGTAGTACCGATTAAAGTTGGGTGTTTTTAATTCCTAGTGGTATATGTACTTTTATTTGGTAGAATGAGAGTAGTCCGAACCTAAACTTAAATATGTCATGATTAAAAATGACAGAAAGTGGAAACTCTGGTCTAAGACGTGATTCGTAACACCAATTTACATTAAATCTTATGATATTGACCGCACCAATCATGAAACGAAAAAATCATTTTATTAGGAAATTTAGTGTTAACAACTGAGTTGAAAACGTAAATTGGCCACCGTAGAGGGTAAAAAAGCTGACGTTTCGAGCGTTAGCCCTTCGTCAGAGCGATTGAAGCATTTTATTAGTTGGGTTTCTACATGACCTACATCTCCTTTTGTCCATGGGATGCACTGTCTGTGCAAATCACAGAAAAAAACGTCTTGATTCCAATAGTTAAATGCTTTTCTCTTGTAACGGATTGCACGTAAGTTCCATTGGATACTACATATGCCTGCGTTGGTTTCTTATACACGCAGCCTAAGGCAAATAAGCCAGAAAGTAAAGAATCAAAGGAAGCCAATCGCTGCTTCTCCTCCAATAAAACGTCACAACAGGAGTTGATTCTTTTTCTTTGTTACAGTGTATGACAGATACGACTATTGCCCTGCTTGGGCAGCGCAAGGCGAGTGCAAGAAATCGAACTGGACGTGGATGAGAGACAATTGTCCCCTTAGTTGTAGCATACCACGTGAGTGTCTCGTGACCTCGCTATTTTGATCAAACGATTAAGCACTGCCTCTCAATTTTGATCTCTGAGAAAATCGTACATTAGGTTTACTCGCAGCCAGCGTCAGTATCTTGTTTTCTCAAGGAAGACTTATTTTTCTTGCGTGTCCTGGCTAAATATTTTTCAAAGTTTCGCCAACTTCCTAGGACCTGGGGCTAGTGGCGTTTTATAACACTTTTGTGTGGCCACGTGACACTACGAACTGAAAGATGGGTTAATGGGAGCTGCCATCATTACATTTGTGATGACGTTTCTCTTACGCAATAATTCTTTTTCACCTGCAGTTTCTGAAGTGCAATTTTGTGGAAGTGTGAAAGATGGCAACTATCCCATCCCCCAGATTTGCACGGGATATGTATCCTGTTTAGGGGGAATCACTCGTCACAAGTTATGTCCAAGTGGAACACTTTTTAATCCCCTGAAGACGTTCTGTGATTTGCCTGTTAATGTTAGGTGTTCGCAGGAAAAGGATCTCACTCTGAAAAGGAACCATGTGGCAGGATAACGTCTAGGTAAGGTTGGAGTGAGTTATATTCCTAATCAACTTGGTGACGGAAGGTGCATCTGCATTTTTCCTGTAACATAAAAAAGCGTGTTTGCCTTCCTGCGGTTTTATGCCATGCCCTGTGTTCAAGAGCGGCCTGATATCAAGAGTACCATGATCACACAATATGGCTTTCTATCAGTGACAGTTGCCAAACGTATTAAGTAATAAGAGTACTCCAAACACGATAAATATCTTCATTCTGAGCTGAATGATATATCAAAGCGAAGCGTGCGAGCTTATATCGTGAACTATTTGGGCAAGTCGACGTAACACCACCTGTGCTATACGAAACAGTCCACTGCAGTTTTTTAATGTCCATAGTAGAAGTAGAGAAATATTTCATGGAATAATTTGTGTTTCGTTTACATTTTTAACTTAAGACGGAGAAGGTTTTATGAAAAGGAAAATGGATATCTAACTTGTTGTCAAAAGAATTCTCTCGCACCTATCACTGAATTCAGAGAAGGTTAATTTAAAAAGAAGCTAAAACATAGACGAATAAAGTAACAATTCTCCTTTCTTCCCTTTTCCTCCACTTTCAGGTGGATTATAAAAAGAAAACGAAAATTGCATTGATCTTGATATTCTCGCCGTTTCACAACGTCGTGTTTATTCTACTGTCACAAGAAGTGAACGAAGACTAAACCAAAGTGACTGAGACAGTTGTGATCATGTAACTTTATTATACTGAACGTTTAAAACGACAAATCTGTTGTTGTATGATATTTGATAATATCATATTGATACATTAATATTGATCTTGATTACTAAAAATGTGCTTTGAGAGACCCACTTTTTATCAATCGAGTGTCTTCAGATAATCAAAATACTTAGGTGCTGTACCTTATTAAATTTTGTGTTTTTTGTAAAAACTAAGTAAATCATTAAATAAGTTGTGAAATTAATATAGAAATAAATAGATTAATGAATTAAAAAATTGATAAATAATCAGACAAATAACAGAGGAAAACGTAATGAGGTTTACGCCATAACAAGGGTTAACTGTATACAAACTGCTTTCAAATAAAAGAAGAATACACGGAAATTTCATTTTTGCCGTAGTTAAATGTGGTTCATCAGTGAAACTAATAATTTCATTCAGCCGCTGAAAGCTGATAACTGCATCTCGTGAAAGCTTTTCTTGATAAACTTAAGATAGGTATTGACCTTTGAGTCTTGCCCTTTCTCTCTGTTAGTTTGTTCAACTGAAAAAAAAAACTTTTCGGGCAAACTACAGAACAGCTGGCTCGATCTGCCTCCACACACATTCTCCTTACAGTGTCAAATTTCTTTCCTCCGGGGCACTGCACGTGACTTGTGACGCCATATGAACACGCTATGTAGGCTTGACACGTGGTGGGGGCCTGATAATTGCCGTTTTGTTTTCCACCGCAAAACGAGGCTTCTGAAACTGAAAGACGGCTGGAATAAAAAAGACGTTAAGAAATACACTGGGTGTGTAGGATAAATGGTCTTCAGTGTTCTTTTGTAGTCAAGCTTCTCGTTAACTGCCGAGAACGTCCATTTATTGTAAGTACTAATGGTTCTTCTTTCAAGGATCATTCCCAAAAACGCTCCATATATTCCCAAAAATTATCCATATAAAAAGCCAGTTAAAATTATAGATAAACTGTACTACTGACCGATTTTTAGATTCCAATGAAAGGTTACGTTACTCCTTTTTAATCTCAAATTGCACCCACTTTTTAATGGCGGAGATGAAAATTAAATGATCTCCTGGGCGCACTTCAGCCAGCAAGAATTCAGTACAAACACTCCTGCTTCTTAAGCGGAAAGTTCAGGAGAAATTTTGCGTGACGTGCTTATTAAGCGATAAAATTAGGGTAGATGTTTGTTCGCAACATGACTGCATTCGGTGGATATACCCCTGACTTACAAGGTACGTCACAGCTTCGTGGACAGTGATCTACCATCCATGTCCAGTTGGATCTTTTACATTCGTTCATCGCAGACCAGGCGGGACATTGATCGTGTTTGTCATAACCTGGACAGAGAAAAAAATCGTAAATTTGAGTCCAGAAGCTTAGCCGTAGAGTTTAAATGAGACAAAATTTCGTTTCGTATTCTCAGCTCTGTTTGAATTGAGTAGCTGGGTAAACGAAGATTGGCAGAAGGTGATCTTCTTGTGCATCAGGCTCTTAGTGCTTGTAGAAATATGAAAAAAATTAACCAAAACTTCAAGGAGTCTTGTTCCTTATTCAATTAAACACTAAACTTCACTGGATCGCATCTCGATTTCAACCAAAGTAATCACCACGGCGAGAAAAAAAACATTAGTAACAAGACAAGCAACCTAGGAGGTCAAGTAAACTCCCGGAAGAGTGGGAAAACACCGGCAACTAGGTCGCGATTACCGTCCTTACTGTCGGATTTGATTGGTTTAGAGTGTGATGCATGCCATTCTGTTGTATCGTTCACACTTGATAGTAAAAATGACAAAATCGATACAATTGAATTCAAGTTTTTTTTTTTCGAATTTCATTTGAAAATTGCTCCATTGATGCAGCGAGGCCTTACCTTTACACATGCCACAGCTCTTCCTACAGTTTGTGTTCATCCACGATATTCTGTCCCCATACTTGCATTGTTTTAGTAAAGCCCAAATTGGGCACTTTGCGTCTGTATCTTTACAATCTTAAGCAGGAAAACAGAGATTATTTTCATTGAAATCTCCCAGCTCTAAACGACAAATAAAGATCGATACAGGTAACAGACAAGTAAATTTGATTGTTGTCTCGTGTAATCTGGTTCTCTTTGTAAAATGTACTCGTGCTTGTTAACACCAAATCATGTTATTGCCTATACTAATATTTCTTAGTCTCTCTTAAATGAAGCGATGGCAGTTTTTTATGGGGGGGGGGGAGAGTGACTAACATATCGTTGCAAGGAGATCGTGTACTTAGATCGTTAACAAGGACGAGAACTGGAAAAGAACGTGAGAGTATTATTTCCTGCTTAACTTGCACTCTGTTCCTAAGTGTCAGACGGACAATAAATAGAAAAACCAAATTTTCACGTTTGGTGCGATGCACAAAGATCAACGAAACAAGATTCACGTACCACACGCTTCTAAACAAAGTATGGACAATTCAGAGCTAACTTAAAAACTTAAGAGAGAGCGTGGCTCTGTCATACAATGCATATGATACTTACAAAAAAATTTCAGACAGTACGCACCCTAAATGGTCGATTGGGAAAATAGTAAACATGATAATGACGTCACGCTTTCTGTGTTTTATGAGTCGAATTCAGGTGAGCGTAGAAAGCATTTTTGATAGTGTCACTTGCAAAAAACTTTGCGCTAGTAATATCGTTGCTGTTGCTACACTTTTTAGTTGAATGAAGTGCGACGGATGTTTGGCAACCACGTTTTGACGTTAAAATCGTGTTGTTGTCCTGGGTAACTGGCTCCGTTTTCAGTGGCCAAAACCACGTTACCATACTTTTACCGCGCCTCACTCAACTGGCAATCGAATTGAAAACGTAAGTTGGCTAACGTAAAGAGTTTGAAGGTTGACGTTTTGAGCGTCAGCCCCTTCGTCAATGTGACGAAGGGCTAACGCTCGAAACGTCAAGCCTTTAAACTCTTTATGGTGGCCAATTTACGTTTTCAAATTGGTTATTAACTCTAAATTACCTGTTATACTCTCTTACCGACGCAGCACCACAGTTTCTTTAGAAACTTACCCCTTTATTCGTTTGACAATCGAATTATTGCTTTAATCATCACGAATGTGTCTCACCTCCGCATTGATTACAACTTTTTCTGCAGTTTTGCAGCATCCATGCTCGATTGACTTCACATTCTCCCGTAAACGCCCAGTGAGGACAGCTTGGAGAAACATCAGTGCAGTCTGCAATGAGATGATGACTTATAATTTAGGGACTATTTTACAATGCCTAGTGCTAAATCACTTTTTAAGGTAGCCCGTTAATCGGTTTCAAACGTTTATCGCCAAGATTTTCGTACACCCAGTTGTATTGATGCTGTAAGTTAAGAGAGGATATATTTGCCCTCATTATCGCTAAAGATGATAAAGGCAATGATAACATCAATAACAATTAACATGATAGTTGTTATTATGATGATGATGATACTGATGATGATGATGATAGTAATAATAATGATAATAATAATATTAATAATGATGATGATGATGATAATAATGATAAAGATAACGAAATAAAAAAAAGTATTATCCCCTTAAGAAGTAATAATCGGACTCGATCTTGATACCTTTTGGCGCCTGATGATGTTTACAACTAACACAACAATTCGGTATCATCCACAGCGGGTTTTTTTCACACTCGCCTCTTCCCGCCCAAACTTCACAATGAGAATTTAGATCGGTATGACACTCTGAAAAGACGAACATTTGCGAATAACACCAAATAACACGAGTGCCAATAAAGAAATAAATTAATAGCCAGATGATAAATAAATGAATGAATAGTAGAAAAATGAACAGATAACGAATAGATAAACAAATTAATAAGTGAACTAATAGAATAAACCAGTGGCAGAAGCACAAAACATTATAGAATGTAATCTTAGGGTTCTACGTGACAACGCAAAGGGGTTTGTTAACGATTCTAATACCAAAGCCATCGATAACGCAAACTTTAAATAAGTTTTATAAAACATGAGGACTGCTTATATCAGTTACTTTGTATGTTTTAAATGGAAGGTCTGTTACAATCATCATTAGTTAGGTGTTAGCTCCTAGCCAAATGATATCTTGTCAGCATACCTTGTGCCCCGGGTGTGACTGTTGGAGCATTCACTGTGAATTAACAGAAAAGATGATTACACTCAGAAATTAAGATGGAGCTTTGTCCTCTGTTTCACGTACAGTACCAAAATTACAATTTTTTTCTTATAGAGAATGGTTTCCTTTTATCTTGGCTATAAACAATTTCCCTCGTGTATTGTATGCTTAAGCACCAAAGCCCGTCAATTCGTTATATTTTGTGGTTTTTTATATTCTCAACTGATGGTTAGGAATTTATTTGCCTTAGTGTTTGAAAAATTAAAATTTAATGTTCAACTGCTTGACAAACCATCGATTTCAGGTTATGAGCGTGCAAAAGACACTTACTCGATGTCGCTGTGGTTGGTGGCGGGGCTGTTGTCGCTTGGGCGGGTGTTGTGGTGATTTTGCTGCCGTCATCTGAAATTATAATGGACGACTTTTCAGACGCAGTTTAGTAATTTCTAGTGAGAAGAGGTCATACGATGGCTCTAAGTGGTGAAAGAGCTTCGGCATTAGTTTTTTTCGGGTAGTTGTGTTTGTATTGTCAAGGTACTCTCTGCTTTAGTTTCCGTTGCACTGCTGTTGCTCGTAATCTTAAATGAAGTGCTGCTTTTGAACTTTAGAACTGCATTTTGCCTCGAAGCTTAGCTGATCTGTATTTGGTAACTCAGTCTATTTATTTCTCTGATCAAAACGAAGTAAAACAAAAGAAAACACATTTACGTGTGAGCTGTAACTTGCAAATGAGACGTTTCAAATTAGCTGCACTCTCCTGAACGATATCTGTTTCCCCTCATAGATATTAATTGACCCTTAAAAGAAATATGTTAAATAGTGACGTAGCATTTGTGAGGGAACGAGTAAAAGATCTTACAGATTTGCATTTTGGTAGTGGGATATGTATTACTCTCAGTGGCTTCCAGCTCGGGAAATTACAAACACTGTGTTCAGTAGATGGACCTTTAGCCTACTCGGTTGGCATTAATAATGAATCAAGCATGTATTAAAACCTTACCACAGTATCCACATGTAGCGGCGCAATCAACCATCATATAGTGTACTTTACAGTTGTGCCCATTCCTCACTCGCCATTCACAAGTGTCTTTCCCGACGGCGTCGTAACAGCGGACTGAAGTAATCAGTTGAAAGAGAATATATCAAGTGCCAGGTTACATGTACTCCTGAAGCTGCTATGTTAAACCTTCGTTCACGTGTGGATATGAACTCGTTTCCCGTTGATGGTAGTATTTGTAGCTTCGAGGAAGATCGTAAACATTGAACTATAGAGCTCCATTGCTCATTCTAGTCATGTGTGGTTAAATACTTTGCTAACAGAGACTTAGTTACTGATGTAGTTTTTTCTTGTATTGTTTTAGCTTTTATGTTCTGATTTTCAATAGTTCTTGGTCAACTAGCTCATTCAGATTTATTCTATTATTTTTAACATTTTACTGCTTTCGATCGATGTATTCTTTCTACAGATTTATTACCGCATTGAGTTAAACTCAGTAACAAGAGAATTTATCTTGTTCCTCTATTCAAGATGCAGTGTCACTAGCGTAAGCGCATGCCCAGTAACGTGATATCAAACCACAGGTGCCTTGGTGTTCGCTACGAAGCAAACAAACAGGAAAAAGTAGAATGCATCAACGAAGGACTCAATACAGAGTCTGCGTATGTCAGCTCATTTTCATTTTCAAGCCATTGTGTTAACCGGCTTATAAACTCTGATTGTTTGAATGATACCTACTTTCACAGTTTTCACCGTAGAAACCAGGAGGACAAACCTTCCCTAAGCAGAAAAAAAAAATGCGCCAGGTTAGTGGTCTTGTCCCAGTGATAAGTTGTAATCTAAAACTGTCATAACCTAGGCTCTTTGTGCTCCGTCAAGAGGTGACGATCGTGTATTTCCTTCATGTTATTTACCTGAACAGTCCATGCCCTTCCAGCCGGAAGGACATGAGCAAACACAGTTTTGAAGGTTCACTGTTCCGCCATGTTGACATTTCAGTGGGCACTCTATAAGTATAACAGAAATGTTTTAGGAGAAAATTTTTCCGGTTTAGTATCTGTTAATCCACCTAACTAAAAGCATTATTAAAATTTAGTCAAAACAGGTGAAAGCAAAGCTGGCACTCAAAGAATTGAGTGATCCCCTCCATCCTTTTTCCGCTGCCTCCATATGCTAAGGATTTTGTTTCTATCCATATGTGATTTATTACTTGCGAGACACAAGCGCTCTTACACTTTCAATCCTGAAGATCGCTCACGTAGCAGACGTTTAAAAAGTTAGCAAGATGAAGAATGCAGATCAAATTGCGGACAACGAAGGAAAAATATTCCGGCTACCTTAGTTTTCCTCGCCTAACTCTTCGCTTCTGGCTTCCCACTTCCCAACACCCTCTTAAGCCAACTTACCGCACAAGCTGCACATCTTTGGGCATTTCTTAGCCATTAATTCACGACTGGAAGTACACATTGCTTGTGTGAGGCTTTTACCACATTCGCTGTCAAAGTTATCACAGTCCCCTTTAAAACAAACAAATGCTTCAAAAGACTTTAACACTGAATCATCAAACTTCAGTAGTTTTTGTTCAATTTGTTTCTTCATGGTTGCTGAGGCAAAATAAGTCATGAGTGGTTATAGCAAACGAAGATTCATATCACTTGACAATAAACCCAGTTTATGATGAAATCTCACACTAGGATTGGCAAGGAAGAGGCTAGAGTGAGAATCGAATTCGACTTACACACGATTCCTGAGTTGCATTGAAATCTGATCGCACAACAGTTAGATAAATATATTTACAAAGACTACCACGGGAAATGGGTAGGACTACAGTGGACTCACTGATATCAAACCACGTTCTCATAACCTTATCATGATATCTAGATATTTTTTTACTATTTGGATAGTACTCATCAACAAATAATGCCTCTCGTTCAACAGTAGAGACCCTCGAAGTCTTTACTTACGACACAGGTTCTTGTAGCAGAAGCCTTTACCAGATGCGCATTTGCTGCATGGAGCACCAGTCTTGTACGGATATTGTCCGATTATGTTACCCCTAAAGCCACAGAAACCAACACAGGCTGCGTTAGCTGTGTTGTTATACCGGCGATGTTTCATGAATAATGTAATTCGCCTTTTTAATATCTTTGGATTTAGATCTTGGAAAAATCGTGAGATCGTTGGATAACTGGTAAATTATGGTGTGCATATTGTAAACATACATGGTCTATTTTAAAAGTCGAAACTGTCTTTGATCAGTTGAGAGATTTCTCTGGGGTTTCTTCAGTCAGGTCCTTGCAGTTTTAGTTTAATTTTCCGACAGTTTCTTGTTAATGATATCTTAAGTATTAACTAAACTTTTCGCTTTCGACTGCTCACTATTAACTTCAGGGTAATTTGATGGATGATGTTTTTAAAAGTTCTAAGAATGACAATTTTAATTCCTTTAATTCGTCTTAAAAACAAATAGTTTCTCTAGATAACTCTGCTGTCAAATTTGTTTTAGATTGACTGTATCACTGTTCTACAGTTAATATGATAGTTAATCAAAACTATTACAAAACTCTCGAACGTGATTGGTTATCACTTTCCCGATTTGAACACTAATACTAGTTACTAATTATAATTGGTCAGTGTCATTGTGCAGACTACGCGCCATGTGCGCGCGCTGTTGTTTCGCGTTTCGCTGAGCTAACTTTTGTTTGTTGTGAAAAAGTACAACCAATGGCTAGTTTGTCTCTCAAAGTTTGTCATACTTTTGACTAATTGGTCACAAGACTCCGTGTCGTCCACTTCTGTCAGTAATCCTATTCATAAATCACAAATTGGATTCCTGCCTCGAGGTAGTCCGATTTTGCAAATCACTCGCATGATTACAGTCCGAATTGGACACACTCAGTCCTTTCACCATTTCTTATTATGTGGTAAGATAAGAATTTGCGTGACGTACGTTGGACCATAGTCGCAAGTAACAATTGTCTCTCCAGGAATCCAGGGATGTGGTGGGCCAAATTCTTTATCACACCAATTTACTCCACATCCTACATATCTTGATGTTGCCCACGCAAGCTTATGAAATACGAAAAAAAAATAATTTTGACTCGTTAAAAGCATTAGGCATAACAGATAGCTAGGAATGATCCTTCAAATAACATAATTGAGCTGTCGCATCAAAATCAGCCTTTTGCTGATACAGTTAACTTAGTGGGAATCAATCAGGTTGATCAAAGAGTTTTCTCTGTGGAGTCGAATGTAGGAGTTGAAAGGAGAAAAAGAGAAGGATTAAATGCAGAAATTATGCATGATGCCGTGCACCGACTCTGTTTCTTCCATAAATTTGATGATGTTTCTTTAAAGAGTCTAAATATCATTTTCGATCGAACAGCTTTGATATGCAAAAAGTTTTCAATCACTTTTCAATTGAGTATCGGTGGTAATCCAGGATTGTTTGTTTGTTTGTTTTTTTGCTTTACTTCATCTCGAGATTGGTCCAGGAACACGCGCGCTTTTTTCAACCAATCGGATTTAGGCAGTTTGCGCCTTTTCACTTTGAGTTCTCTTTGACTGCTCTTGACCTTTCCCTATCGAGTGATTGGTCATTGTCATTACACTGGTTTTGGTTTTACGGCACTTTATCAAAAAGTTCTCTGATATGGAACAGCCATATATGTTTTCATGGGTGGAAAAGTTGCTGGAAACAAATGATGATGTGATGAATACCTGTGTGTAATGCCCGCAAGGCTGTCTGGAACACTGAGCAGCTGTCATTGGACTCGCAAACTTGCTAAACTTGTAAAACTCGTACTCCTTGTACCACTGCGTCACGCGATCCTCTGGGTTTTGTAATTTGCCCCATTCTCTTGCAAGATTTTGACCTGATTTTAAACCGCGGGTTTCCTTTTACTACGAGACTAATTATAGTTGCATTGGAAATAATTTAAAGCTTAACAGTTTCTTTGATAATCTACTTGAGTTTTATTCACAGGCTTGTTTCCGAAATTCCACTTAATGAACCTGATAATAAACATTGTAAAGCCAATGACATCATTTTTTTTCGTGATAATTAATCCGGAAGTGGAACGGAATTCTCCAGTGACACTTAAAATGTCTATTTTACAATTGTGTGCTTAGTTGCTAAGCCCTTAAGTAGGAGTGAGGCTTAAGATTTCCTTGTAATGTTACAATCTTTTCTGCTTTTCAAGTTTATTTACACTGTGTTATCTTGCCGACGATTTTCTCGGCTTTATCATGTTAAGATAACTCTTAGCAAGGCCATGACTGTAGAATGGACTCTGGAGGAAGTTATTTAAACGTACCTACATGTCCTTTGAAGGAAACGGGATGAGGATACTCATCACCAAATTCGAGAAATCCATGATCCCACACACATTGATTGGACCACATCTGGGCCAAATTAGCTAAATCCTCGTCCCAAAACTACAAGCAAAAAAATGTAGAGCATCCTTCTCCACTAGCATACATTTTACTCACTTTTTCTTTGTAAGGAAAGAATATTTTCGAATGGTAACGAAATGAGGAAATTGTATCGCATTTGGTGGGAAAAAGATGCACTTGACCCATTCACATACGTACATCAAGCTATTGCACAATAGCCCACTCTTTAACGCCACGTACACCTTAAGGAAGTTACCCATAATCACATATACAAGGGCTCAGATTACGTTTATGAAAGTTTAGGAGGTCTCCACCCGGAACAAAGACAAACATACGTCTAGCGATTTTAAAGGTGACCTTGTGAACAGGTGTTACATTTCAAGACTACTCGTTGACGAACTTGTTGACGTCTTGAGCATCAATTACCTAAATAAGAAAAAGAAAGAATACTTACCAAGTACTCCATATCTGCTGCTGGTGGATCAACCATTCCACGAAACTTGTTGTGTTCGTCCAAAAATTTTTCTTTTTGCGCCGCGGTCAGCTCGCTAATAGCGAAATCTTGATGCGATGGTCTTATTCTACCAGTTGCTGAAACCAAGGCTCTTCCATTGAGCACCAAAAGTCCAAAGATCACATAAAGTGGCACTAAGTGACGCTTGAAGATGTCATGTGCGTTACTCTTTTTGAGGTCAAACATCGATCCAGTGGTTGTTTGTTCTCTTAAAATCGTTGTTGTTGTTGTTTGTTCTAGGTTTAATTCATATAAAGTTTCGTTTTCCAATCCAGTTTACCTGATTGTTTTTCTTTTTTGTATATCCTTTAAACGTGCCAAAGAATATTTTAAAATTTAACAGACGCACGGTTTTCAGAGTGCCCTCCTTTCTCAAAGATTTATACACGACATTATTTACAACCACTACGTGTTGCCTTCCCCCTTGTTCAGCTGAGTTTCTCGCTGTCCTACGTCCTTAGTTCTTAGTGTAAACTGTGCTTATACTTACGGAATTGTTCGTTTTGTATATCTCATGTTTATGCTCTCGACGTTTTTTCAATCGTTTATTGAAACGGCCACTGGTACGTATTATGTTCCTTTGTTTGGTACCTGTTAAAAGGTCTTTCTGATTGAGGAAGCTGCCATACCTCTTACTTTTCAAATTACCTGTATGGGCTTCTCTCATGACGGGGATGATGATTGTTCTTTTGTGATCATGCAAATAAGCCTTCTTAGCCTAATTTTTTTGTGTGAAAATTGTTTGAATTATTGCTTTTGGATATGTTGACGAAACTTGGGAAGCTGAGTTACATGGATGAAAAGGTTTTTATTGGGAACAGATCCGTATGGCGAAAAAATTGTACCCGAGGACTTGGATACCACCCGAGGCCACAGGTCGAGGGCGGTACTCAAGACAGCTTGTGCGTGTAATTGTCTCACTGGATGGCACGATAACCATAAGGTAACTTTGAATTCTTCTTTTCAGCCAATGACATTAAGTAGCTACGAGGCAATCTGCTCTATCGGATTTTACAAACGATTGAAACCACGAGAACGCTCACAGTTCCGCTGACCTGATGCTCTTCACATGAAATTTTTGTAGCCAACACTTAACACTTCTTGGGTCGCTTAGCCTAAATGGAGGTTTCGAGAACCAGTTGTCTTTATTTAGCACAGAGAAAGGACACCGTACGGACAGCTGGCACAGGTGAGTATTTTTTGTTCTTTGTTTTTATTTGGTAAATAGTTTGTGTAAGAACTACTTTATAACGTATAAATATTGGGGTCGTTTTTAGTATGACTTGAATGGATGTGTGGTAACTTTTTGCATGGGCCGATCTCTGTTCGTATGAAATTTAAATTTTAAAAAAAGATATTTTTACTCCGCTTTAAATTTTCATATGTCTTACTTACCAGTTTACCTCTTTACCTTACCAGTTTACCTCTTTAAGTAGGTGAATGGTACGAAGACAACGGAATTACTCTGACGCGCGTGATGAGCAGTCGCTTACTCGGACATTTTAAATTTGTAAGCTCCCTAGCAAGTAGCGCATTCAATTGTCGCATTTAGGAGGGACAGTGATAAGTGATTAGTTTGAGGATTTTGGTGCGAAAATTGTGGTTTATTAAACTAACGTTATGGTAGTGACTTCTAGCCTGCTATTTTTAGAAGAGTTTTTTTTATCCGCTCACAGGCACCAACTTTTTGAAATGTCTTTTCCTCTTATGTTTCTTAGTGAGAGCTTCCCCATTGAGGTTCTCATCTTCCCCTGGTTAAATGGACCTTTCCACTGCATAAGCTTCGCTTGCATAATCACCAAACCGAACAGTTTTACAAAGTGAGTAGCAAGAATCAAATCAAGTAAGTTTCATACATCTGCCTTCGGCTTGCTGGTTAACCCAGGTTTGGATATTGCGGAATATCTCTGACGAGTGTCTCGACCGCTACACTATAACACTTCTTCTAAAGCCACACCTCTAAGTTTTGATTACTATTTAAACTCAAAATTCTAAAGCAAAAAGGAAAAATACAGAGCCCCTCTTTATAATTAGCTGAACTTTACGTTAGAACTTTGTGGTTATTACGATTATTGTTAGACCGCGGGTTTAGTTTTCCACTTGGAGCCTAGTCATCACTTCCCTAGCGACGCAAAAAGGTTTCAACGCGTATATATAGTCGGGTGCAAGTCGTGTTTGACAGGCAACAACGAAGTTCAGCTCTGTTCTTCTTTACAGCGTCATTATCATAAATGGCTTCGACTTTTTACTTGGAAAGACCACTGTACAAGCGGCTTGATCAACTAGTACGCATATCCTTCTAACTGTGTCAAATTTCTTTCCTGCGGGACATTTCACGTGACTTGTAACGCCATTCGAACAAGCTATGAATGCTTGGCACGTGGTGGGGGCCTGGTAATTACCGTTTTCTTTTCCTCCGCAAAACGAGGCTTCTGAAACTGAAAAAAAGAGTCAGGTGGTGCCAACTGGTTGATAATTCACAGATTTTGGCGGGGAATTTACAGCCATTTCTCCTCAAAAAGTACTAAAAACAAATTGAGCTCAGAGCGCAGGAAGGATAGAGTCGAAAAGTAAAAATATCGGAGAAGATTAATTGATGCAACACAACATTTACGTTATGAGGTATACGGTAGATATTGATTACTGTGCACTCCTTTCCACAATTTCCCAGCGTTCCAAGGTATTGCCAAAAATGTCAAAACATTGCAACGCGGGAAAAATGCAAAATATTGCTGATTTCTTGTCCGCAAATGTCGTTTTTAACCAGGTTTCAAGGCTTATTCTCTCAAGTGATAAAATAGAGCTTTTTTCGATAAGAAAACTGTCACTTACATGGAACATCACAGCTTCGTGGACAATGATCCACCATCCAAGTCCAGTTGGATTTTTTACATTCGTCCATCGCAGACCAAGCTGGACATTCGTTATGTCTGTCGTAGACTTTAGAAAATATCATATTTTAAATATATCTGTTTAGGTTCTCGTTCGTTCTGTGTATCCTGTTAACAAGTCACGTTTTCAAAGTGTTTATATGGGGCGGGAGTTCTATCAATACATTGGCAGGTCAAGTAGAGGTTAATTGGAATAAAGCATTCAGATGCGTTGCTTCAAAACCCCCAGCCCCCATCCCCCTGGAGTGGATGCTTTTCTATATTCCTGGGTGGAGAGGGTTAAAAAAACGACAGTTGGTTAGCATGCACTGTACTCTTATTGACAACGGTAATCGTCATCACAGTAGTCAAAATGTTAAGGATTCGCGAGACGAAGCCGAATGAGTCCGCCGCAAATTTTGACCACTGTGATGAAAAATACCGTTGTCGATAAGAATAAAGACCACGCTAGACCACAGTCGATTTGTTTTTTACTACAGTGTCGACGTCGTATAGAACGATTGTCTCAGGACGTGACATGTTGAAGTGAGCAGTGTTGTCTGTACTCTTGCCGAAAACGACAAATTGACCAATTAGATTGCGACATTACTGCCAATCGTGGTAAAACACATTTTGAGAGTTGAGAAAGTTGTAGAGTTAAAAAAAGGTTTGCGCATCGCTCTTAATAGAAATGAAAGTTCTCTCACCTTTGCATAAACCACAGCTTCTCCGACATTTTTCGTGTATCTTTTCACCTGAGTTGCATTGGTTTGATAAAGCCCACGATGGACATCTTGGGTCAGAATCTGTGCAATCTGTAAACGTTTCAAAACGTTGCACTAAATTGTTGCAGAATAATTAAACTCCCAAACAATTAATCAATCTTAAAAATATATTATTAATATTATTCATAAATGGCTTTACTTCTTAACTAGGTCCTCTGAATTTAGTGACGCATTTGGGTCGCTATAAAAAAAAAAACAGTTTTAGAAGTCGACGCTACTGCTACTCGATATCACAACCCTGAGTCATCTTCAATGAAATTTCTGCGTTCTTTTCCACTGTTAGCAAATCATACTCTCTCCCTCGTCTCCTGTAACTTTCCCTGAATTTCTTTCTCTGCAGAGGTAACGCTCAGTGGCCCCCACTCCATCCAGCTCACCTCCACATTGATTGCAGCTTTTTCTGCAGTTTTTAAGCATCCATAATCTGTTGTTTTCACATTCTCCAGCGTAAGCCCACCTTGAGCAGCTTGGGCTTGCATCAGTGCAGTCTGCGAGGAAAAGATTATTTTAGCTATGGGTGTTACAGGGTCGCAATATTCGTTTTCTTCCTGAGCACAAAAAAAAAACGGTTTTCTCTATTTTTCATCAATAGTGTTGGTTATGCTTGTTTCCCTGCCTCAAATTGTACTTATTACGAGTATTTTTTGTTATGAGCATTTTTATTGTTTTTTTTTATTGCTATCGTAATTATTGTTACCGTTATGATGACGATGATGATAACTTTCTGAGAATATTCGCTATTCCTAGCAGAAGTGTTTTCTTGATTGCCAGCAGTTTAATGATTTTCTCATGATTGTTATAATAGTAATTATTATAAGTATGATTGTCATCATCATTATTGTCATATTCCTATTCTAAATACCCAATAGATGGGCTTTGAGGATTAATGTATCATGGTTTGATTTTCACTGTGAAGCCTTCTCAGCTTGTTACCAGCTAGATCAGTGATGCGCTCTCGTTTATTTCTTCCCCTTTCAGAATCAACCCGATTTAGAAAATCGCTTACGGGACATTCGCATGTTTACGGTATGATTTAGGATTGTCTATGCTCATCTACCTTTTGGTGCCTGATGATGCCGGCAGCTGACGCAACAATTCGGTATCATCCACAGCGGGTTCTTTTCACACTCACCAATTGCCGCCCATCCCTCGCAACCAGAATTTTGGTCGGTTTTACACACTTGGAATCAATGAAATATAAGATCAAACATGAAAACACAGTACTGAAGAGTAAATTGACTCATTTCTTTCCGGAGAGGTATGATATCATAAAGTACGATAAAATAGTAATTTGTAGTCTTTGAACAATTGATTATGATTATGGCTAGGGAATGACCTTTAAAAAGTCGTCATTAAAAAAAAAGTCACAATTATTGTTCGATAGATTTGAGAGGTGTTACATATTTCTTAATCACAGACTATGGATCGAATCATACGCCCAAATTATATTTTCAATTTCGTCTCATTTGTGTAACGGAACAAACTAATCTAGATCAAAGGTAGCAACTTTTGTAACAATGAATGTGCACTACACTGCTATAGTACACTTGCAAGGGAAAAAAATTCTGTCTAGTGCCTGAACAAACCAAACTAAATTAAAGGTGGCAACATTTTGAGAAATGATTGTGCACTACAGTGTTAAAGAACGTTTGCAAAGGAACCTAATTTAACAATTTTTCGCAGCCGGCCATAGCTGATTCGAAGAATTGTTCATATTCAGTGAATGTAGGGTTTTTAACCAGGCATACCTTGAGGCTTGGGTGTGGGTAGAACTGCTATAGCATTTGGAGTCACAGTGGAAGAAACTATGAATAGACAATAGCAGAGCAAAGTGATATCTGACATAAATTACGTCCGTTGCGTGAGTTTTAGTTTCAGATGTTTATTTTTTTTCTTAAATAAATGAAGTGGAGCTTGCTTAGCCCCATAACTATACAAAATAGTAGTAACCCATCAAGCCGGAAAAAATTTGGATGTACGATCGTACGACCGCACAAGGTGCTACTTTTAGCATGCGTGGTCAACTGTACCGCAGGCACGCCAACGCCACGGCTTTGTCCAGTAGTTCAGTGGTCAGTGCACTGGGCTCCGAGTCGGACGACCCGGCTCTAGTCCTGGCCAGGGCAAGGCGTTGAGACGTGCGGGAAAAAAAAGTGCGAGCTCTGCTTTTAGGCTTGGCTAAATCTATATATTTTTTTCTGTTCTCCGCAACCATTGAGAAAACTAGACCCCATGTACCTCGAACAGCGGTACACCTCTATTACCAACCTTTTACCCATTTACACCACACTGAAATGTTTATGATTGAAGTACATTTACCTACTGGTTTTGAGGTAATTACTCCGGGTTGAGGTGTTGTTGGCATTGCTGTGACAGGAGCTGCTGTTGTGGTAACTTGGCCACCTGCAGGGACTGAATAAGAAAAGCCACCATCATTTTATGCGCGAACAACATACTATATCCATCGCAACGACTTACATCTTATAATTCGCTTTAAGTGAGGTTAATAGAAAGTACGCCTTTCTTTTCCACAACTTCTCTCGTTCTGATAATATTTTCAATTAAACGATTGATAATGATGATAATAATTATAATAATACAGCATAAATGTCTGATGTGCAAATAAAGCAATTTTCAAATGCGCATCACGAAAATAGTGCATGATCATGATATAGGGATACCGAATGATGATATCAACAATTTATAGGGTTTTATGGCTTTTGCGCATGGCCTTTTGTTAACCAGCTTATAATTTACGCCTTCTTTCTATTTGGCAAACAGATCGTGAGATATGCAGCACTCAGCTCTAGGATTTATTTCAAAGAGGTAAAACGAAAAATTGTTTAAGCGCAACTTAAGGGCTCCGTTTAACAAGTAATAAAAATCATTAACAAATTTATGATGCTAATCAAAAGTTCCTGAGGTCTAAGATTACGTGAGAATTTTTTAATCTCCGTTTTATACCGTCGAGTCATGTAGCATGTTGTTTTGATCTACTCACAACGTATATTTTTTAAAATTAAAAACTTAAAGCCACGTTAGATCCCTAACTGCAATGTATGCATGTTAAATCACAATCTCTTCTAAGCGTTCGTGTTCGAATAACGTCATGGGTATATATATTCCATGCCCGTTTTTCGCTATCATGTGAGCTCTTGACCTGATTAAAACCTTCATAATTGCAACTGAACAACCTAAAGCCACCTAAGATTCCTTACCGCAATATCCGCAGGTCAAAGCACAATCTATTTCCATGAATTTCTCTTTACAATCAAAACCAGCTTTCACACGGTATTGGCAGGTTTCCGTCCCAGCCTTGTCGTAACAACGATCTGAAACGATTTCAAGGGGAGCCTGGTGATTTATTGCACGTACAATGTGATGAAGAATTGTCTGCGCACTATTTTGATAATTTTCAAAATGCACCCATTAAAGAATAGCGCACTTTTTGTATCATTTATCACCTACAAAAAGGTTTTCAGTGATAGATCGATATCTCACCAGGAAACTGCAAACAAATCTGGACAATGATAGTTGCTTATCCTGCTTTGAAACTTTGAGTTGATCTCGTAAATGAATAGGTGAACGTTTGGTTTATAAAATCAAGGAAACTCAGTGTTGTATAGCATAAGCGTGGAATGAACAAGTCGTAGAATCTACGGCATAAAGAAGATTAAGCGTGTCAATAACTTACTTTCACAGTTTTCTCCATAATAGCCAGGTTCGCATGCCTTGTCTAGAAAAGGGATTGAAAGAAACAATGATATATTATTCAGTCGAGGTGTTCTCACAAGCAAAGTGGCCCACACCGGCGGAGCTCGCCTGTTTTAATGGCTGTCATAAGGCTCCTTGGGGTATTGATACTTCTACCGGATGGGAGGTTAACTCCGCAGCATTTTGTCGCCTTTCCCAGACAGTCAATTCCTACCACGAAGTTTCAGATTTATAGGACTGTTCTACTTCACGTTACCGATTCCTGTGGCCTACCTGAACAGTCCATACCCCTCCAGCCAGAAGCGCAAGAACAAACGCAGTCCTGTTCGTTTAATGTACCTCCGTTTTGACATTTTAAAGGACACTCTAAAAAGAAAGCGATATAAAGATCCGGGAAATTATGGGTGTGCCTTACGAGAAAATTAAATTTATAACTCATGCGCCTCTTAGAGGCCTGATTTAAAATTCGGAATTGTTCTTGTTCAGTCAGATTAATCACAAATCGTTGTCGAGATTCTAAAGCACATGCGTGGGTGCATGTTTTTCACGTGTGGGTTTCAAGAGTTTGTTTAAATGAAAATAAAAACGCTATCTGAAGGGGTATAACACTTTTCCTCGTGTTTTGCAGATGCCTTTTACGTGCTATTCACATGAAACATTGCTTGCATATAAAACTTTGTTGTGAAATAAGAACGATAACCTTGTTAAGATTGTGGCTAGATTTTACCAGTGCGAGCGCCTTTCTGCACATAGATTTGCGCTTTAGGTTCTCAATATTGAGTTGATAATATAAAAAATATTGAAAATGATTCCAGCATCCTGATTAATGTTTAAAATAGTTTTGAAAATTTGGCGATAATCCGCGGCATCCAGTAAAAGATGTTTCCAAGTCAGTGGATCAGAGGGTTACTGAAAATAATGAGTGTATGCAACAAGTTTTATTTCGACTCTCTCTTTACTACATCTTGTTGAATACACACATCACTTCTGAGTCGCCTTTTTCTTTATAACGTAACGATTTGTTTACTTTTATAACGTCGTTTTTAACAAAAATCTTCAGACCTGAGACAAGCAAGAATTACGCCTTTAGTTCTTCCTGTTCATTACACTAAGCAGCGAGTTTAAGAACAAGACACACGTACACATTAACATTTGGTTTCAATTCATACTCACTGCACATATTGCATAGTTTAGGACACTTCTTCTCCATTAATTCTGGGTGTGAAGAACACATCGCTGCCGTCAAAGAAGTACCTCCGCAATCTTTGTCGAAGTCAGTGCAATTTCCTAAAATTGATTTTTAAATTTTAATTCCATTGTAAAAAGGTTCAGAAACACTGATAAGTCTGGAGTAAGATGAGCGTCCTGGACTCACTAGTAAATTGTTAGTGTGGGTTTAGAATCACATCGTAGCCTTGAACACTCTGTTATTACAAGTAAGATTACAGCTGCTGTGAGTTGTTAGTTTGACTTTTACTATATCATAACACTGAACACCCTGTTATCAAGGTTACAGCCGTGGCTTGTTAAAAAATGGTTTGTTTATTTCAATTGGTTTCGTTTCACTTACGACACAGATTTTTGTAGCACCATCCTTTACCAGATGCGCATTTGGTGCAGGGGGTACCAGCCATGTATGGGTATTGACCTCCAATGTTACCCCTAAAGTTCAAGTAAAAAGCAAAAGTGTACATTAGCTTGAGACCAACGTTGTAAAGCTGGACCAGGTCCACAGTAGCACGGAAAAAGAAAAGAGAAATTTTCTATTGCTAACACACTTAAGAATATAAAGTAACGACTTGTGCTTACGTTGTATAGTCACAGGCCACCATTGTTCCCTCGACGCCGTCGTTAAAGCTCGAACAGAAGTTAACTGCGCATCCAAGATGCTTCGCTTGAGCCCATGCCAGCTGAAAGGAAACTTAAATCACGTTTTTTGTATTCATACCTGTAGAGAAATATCCTTCTTAGTACAAGATGATAGCATCTTAGTAAGACACAGGGACAAGCAAATGTAATGCATTCAACTGATTACCTGCCGCTGGCTGTTTGCACCCTCGATCGTCCGTTATTTACTTTCGTTTGTAGGGCCGTATAGGCGCTTCTCCTTCAGTTCATTAAGTTGTCCTTTGATTGGTGTTTATTTCTGTCCCTTTTTGCTTTTGCTTGATTTCTTCTTTACTGTTAGATTTTATCGCTGGTTTTTAAAATTCCTAGCTTACTCATTTTCAAACTTCTAACTTTCTTCCTTGTGTGCGTCCTAAAGCTTGTTAGTTTAATCATTAAATCAGTGATCGCTGCCGACTGGAGCCTACCGTTTTCTTTACAACTTTTAAATGCCCTGTGAACAAGCTGCACATGCGCAGCAGCTCCAAAATACCTGTGTGTAATGTCCACAAGGTGTCTTTCTACAAGAAGCTCCCATCGGGCTTGTGTACTTGCCAAATATCCAGTATTTATGTTCATTGTACCATCTCACCACGCGGTCCACTGGGTTTGAAAGCTCCCCATACTCCCTAGCAAGATTTTGACCTGGGAACAAAATCACAACAATTCAAAAGGGAGGCAGCAAGGCATTGAGTCCTTATAGCAGCTTTTTTTTGGTATTGATCCACTAAACCCTCGCTTGATTACGGCTAATGTTCATCAGTCTTCATGAACACGGAATATACATAATAAAAACTCATGGATATTTTGATGAGAAACAATTCCGCCATTTCTTCTTCGTAATGACCTTCGATCGATAATTCTGTTCCGATAGATTTAAACCTCCTCCTGTTTGTGGGTTTACGTCGCAAACATACTCCACACTTGAATGTATAGCCTGACTTCAAAATTGTACAAAATATATTTACCTATTTGTCCCTTGAAAGGCACGCTGTATGGATATTGGCTTCCAAACATCACAAATCCGTGGTCCCAGATGCACTTGTCTGCCCACATTTGAGCCATATTTGCAAGATTATCGTCCCACACCTATGATCAAAGACTATTTGATAGATTGACTATGAATGAGGAAATAATACAGTAGAGAGGAAAAATCAGGACGTTGGCCGGGGAATGTTTATTTCACTAAAATTATTTTTAGCTTGGGTGGGAAGCATAGCGGTTTCCTAATGCAGTTTCTTATTGCTGAAGTAATTTGATATTAAAGAACCAATCTCACCGCTATTCGTCAGTACATCAACAAGGCGCACCGAAAGAGGACAGATATTTTCCATTTTCCGTGAGCAAAGGGCCATATGCGAATCGAAAAGCAAAGCATGACGTGAACATGTATACAATTAAACAAAATTCGTTTCCGGATCTAGCAAAACCTGACTCATGCCTCGCCGCATGCATATGAAGGTTTGTAATAGAACGGCTACATTTGTACAAAGAAAAACGGCTTCGTAATGTTCGGTTAGTCTGAGAATTTAATTATTCTGTGCTTTATCCATGTAACCGTCATTGATTTCTAAACCTAATTTTCAATAGTTTCTCTCTCATGTCAACACACGCATGGGGTGGTCTAGGTACGACCATCTACAAATAACCGAAGTGAAATCGACTCATTCCGAGGCTTTCTTCTCTGTCTCATTAATGGACCTGGATCTAATGCCATCTACTCGTATCTCCGTCTTAGCCCGAGTCCGATTCCCTCACAGTTAGTGTATGATCATCTGTGAAACAAGCTCCGGCATTTTTCTCCAACCACTAGAGCTTCCTGGACTCGAGACTCGACTCAATTCGCCTTATTATATGCTTTTTTTAAATGTACATTTACTTTTGATTTTGAATCATATAATCACTTACCCAGATTTGCATTATCATTGTTGTTTATACTTGAAGTCACGATTGCGTTTTAAGTTCGTAGTAGTGCTGCCATACACTATACATTTATAAAGAGTGTCATAACATTGGGGTGCAAATCTTTTAAGTGGTACTACTCTCTTGAATTAAGGTCAAACCTTTATATAATAGCCAAGCTAGTCTTGTGGCCCAAGAGAAAGTACTGACATGGAAATAAACACTTACTTCCTGAATTACGCTGTTCCTGCTCACGCGAAAACAACGGAGATAACTGGCTTACTTGCCAAGTGGAGAGGAGTGTGCCTAGTTAACCTTTTACGGGAAAGTACGAAGGCAGAACGTTTTTTGTCTCAGCGTTTCAATAATCCGGCCCTAAAAGCGCGAAGATTTCCATTTGGCCCTAAAATCTCTATTGCCATTTTTTTTCACTTACCAAAAACTCCATATCGGCCGCAGTTGGTTGCACCATTCCGCGAAATTTGTTATTTTCGTCGAGGAACTTTTCTTTTTCTTCAGCTGTAAGTCTACAAGTTTTAAAATCCTGACTCCTTGGCGACTTCATAGCGAGAGACGTTACACTGTCCTTTGTGCGAAACTGTACAGTGAAGCTAACAACCAAACAAAGGAAATGGCCGAATGCATCTCTTTGCCTACTCCGAGGTAACATAACAAGATTCTGTCTGACTGAAATTATTATGGTCAAAAGACAGTGATTCTTATTTTAGATTTATGCCTTTACACTGGCTCATTAGGTTGTTATTTAGTTGACCTGTTCAAAAATTTGGCTTTAGATAACCCGAAAGGTTACATGTTTACTTCGGGTCAACAGCGCAAGGAGTGTCAAGAGGAACTCGTCAATTTTTGCCGCTGTTCCCCAATACTGTCGACCTGTCGAATACTTTTGTGTTCCAAGAATGGTAACCAGAAAATTTTTGCACTATTTGACTTATATGTAACTGGTTATAACTCTTCTTATTTCTCAACGAAATTTAGCATCGTTTTTGTGGTACCCGTTAAAAGGTCACCAAGTACCTACACGAGACCAAGAAACAATTCTTTTTAATCACATCATGTGACTAAGTGTACCGAGTTCCATGAAAATTTTGCGCAACAGTAAGTTCGCCCAAAATAAAACTCCGCAAAATTTACAGCGAAGTGTCCATGTCAATTTAAATAAAATTGAAAATAATTATAATAATAATAATGATAATAATAATAATAATAATAATAATAATGATGATGGCAATAATGATAATAATAACGAAAACAAGGAGAAGAATAAAGGTTCATTCATTGTATAATTAAAAACTATTCTTAAGAAGACTCGAAAGGGTTTTCCGCAATTTACAGCAAGTGTCCTAAATCATAATTTGAAAATGAAAATGGCGAGCTCTTATATTTAGCTGAACTTCTCAGATCAAAAGCCCAAGTTACAGTTCGGAGCCAAATCATCACTTCGCTAGAAATACAGAAGAGATTAAAAACGTATATAAAACCAGTTGCAGTTTGCCTACAATACAATCAGTCAATGTTCTTCTTTACAGCGTCACAATCATAAATGGCTTTGACTTTTTACTCGGAAGAACCACTGTACAGGCGGCTTGGTCCACTAGTACACATATTCTCTTGAGTGTATCAAATTTCTTTCCAAATGGACACTGCACGTGACTTGTGACGCCATACGAACACGCTATGTATGCTTGGCACGTGGTGGGGGCCTGATAATTACCGTTTTCTTTTCCACCACAAAACGAGGCTTCTGAAACTGAAAAACAAATCAGGTGGTTCCCTACTGGTTGATACGCGATTTCAAAAGGTACTTAAAAACAAATCGAGCCTAGTGCAGATAGGATAGAGGCGAAAGGTAAAGATGCAAAATCTTTGGATGGCGCCAAACCTTGCTGTCGTCTGTTAAGCAGGTTTCAAGTCTCAAGCGAAACAACTGAACCTTTCTGATTAGAGAACTGTCACTTACATGGAACATCACAGCTTCGTGGACAATGATCCACCATCCATGTCCAATTGGATTTTTTACATTCGTCCATCGCAGACCAGGCGGGACATTCTTTGTGTTTGTCGTAAACTGTGGAGAATGTTATGTTCAAAATTGTGTATATTCTGTCAAGTGTTACGTTTTCATCGAATTTTATCCTATTTATGTTTTTAAAAAACAATTTAAAGTCAAGTAGAGGTCACTTGTGCACACCAGCTAAGAACCCCACCCTGCCGTACTCCAGGAATTAAGTAGCGAGAGGTATTGCTGCAAAACCCCCTTCCCCTGTGAGGGCTCGTGACCCCATCCCCCTCCCCCCCGCCCTTCCTAAGCTTCTTTTTGTCAAATTAAGCTAAACACGGCGTGGAGAACAATCTGGCGAGTGTCCTTTGTTCGACACAGTGTGACCCCTCTTTGAAAAATCCTGCCAGGTTTCCCTGATGGAGAGGAGAGAGTCACTGTGGTAGTAAGGAAAAATTTTACAATAAAAAAAATTATGGTATAGAAAGATTTCCACGCTACGCAAAGAGACATACGCGTGAAAGAATCGAAACCTTTTACCTCTGCATAAGCCACAACTTCTCCTGCATTTTTCGTTTATCTTATCACCCGAGCTGCATTGGTTCGATAAAGCCCACGATGGACATTTGGGGTCAGAATCTGTGCAATCTGTAAACGTATCAAAACAGCCGGGTGTATTTAATCTTGCAGAAAAATTAAACTACCTAACGAGTAATCAATCTTTAAATATAATTATGAGTTTCCACGAATGGCTCCACTTCTTAAGGAGCTCTGGAATTTAATGGTGCTGAATTTATTAGAATTTTGCAAAATAAAATTAAGGTGACGCTGCAGTCGGTGTCGCCACTTGTTACCAGGAACTAAATGCACATCCAGTGTAATTTCCGCAATCCTGTCTACTCTTAGCCGGTCATGCTCTACAACCCCGTCTCCTATAACTTTTTAGTTCCTTTCTCTTCGGGGCAGCTCTCTTAGACCCTCGCCTCAGCCAACTCACCTCCACATTGATTGCAACTTTTTCTGCAGTTTTTAAGCATCCATACTCTGTTGTTTTCACATTCTCCAGCGTAAGCCCACCTTGGGCAGCTTGGGTTTGCATCGGAACAGTCTGTTGAGCAAACTGTTATTTCACTTTTGTGTCACAGTGTCACCATGCTTTCTTCCTAAGCAAAATAACTGGTTTTTTGTCAGTTCTCAACAGTACTATTGATTGTGTCAACGTCTATGCCATCATCATCATTATCATTATTATCATCATTATTACTATTATGGTAATTAGCATCATTGTTACTATTATTTTATAAATATTATTAGTATTGATATTATCACCACTGTCATTATTGTTATTATCATTATTATTGTTAAAATTATCTTCTTCATCATGATAATGATATTTCTATTTCCCTATCCATCGAAGTTCAGGTGTAATGTTTCATAGTTTTATTGATTGTTAAGCTTCCTTAACTTGCTATTAGCTAGATGATGCGCATTCGAGCCTTAGTTTTTTTCTCTTACCTTCATAAGAGTCAGCCCGTTCTAGGAAATCGCTTAAGGGACATCCGAATGTTTTTGATATGATTTAGTATCACATGCGTTCATTTACCTTTTGGTGCCTGATGGTGCTTGCAGCTTATGCAACAATTCGTTATCATCCACAGCGGGTTCTTTTCACACTCGCCAACAGCTGCCCATCTCTCACATCCAGAATTTTGGTCGGTTGTACACACTTCGTAAATATGTGATCAAAATTAAAATTTGTTAAATAGGAATGTATAATAAATTGGTGACAACTGTACGCGTGTTTTTGTCAAAAGTTTGAAAATTTTCTGAGCCTCCTGAAATAACGAATTGACGCTAAAATTTCGCGCCAAAATTAAGGAGCATTTGTAATATTAGGCTGATATTAGAAAAATAATAGGTACAAAATATATTTTCAAAGAGGCTCTGATGATGTCATGAAGCTAAGTTCAATAGGAATGTTTAAAAGAAAACAGTGATGACAATGTATGGAGACCATAAGAAGCACCTTTTTGCGTGACTTTTATAACTTTGAAACTGTTTATAGAGGCCATCGTTATTTTGAAAGGTTTCAGAATTGGAAATTTAGAATATAGCATCGTCAGTGAAACGAGAAAAGGAAGAAAAACATCAAAAAATGAAAACTGAATTTCTAGAGAGAATTGAAAGCTGTGACATCTATTCTTAATGACAGACCATGGAACGAATTGAGCCGACTCGATCCAAACAAAAAGGACAATTGTGGTCACTGTCTCTTTTTTCTTATTCGGTCGAAGAGGTGCATTGAGGTCAACTACATATTTTTAGAAACGGTTGTGGACCAAATTGTTATAAAACGTGTGCCAGGGAAATTAATTCTGTCTTGACAGTTGTTATGATTGCGTGCAGCCGGCTGTAGCTGATTAGAATAATTGTACACAACCAAATAGTTTAGTGTCTTTTTCCAGGCATACCTTGAGGCTTGGATGTGGGTGGAACTGTTACTGAACTTGGAGTGGTAGCAGAAACTGTAAATAAACAACAAGAGAGGGAAATAATCTATCGCATCGCATACATTCACTTTTGTAAGTTTCTTTCCCGCGCTTTTTGTATCTTAAACCCGGTGTTTTGTTCTCCGCCACTTTCGAGAAAATTGAACATCATACACCTATGGGTCCGCTATCCATGTACTCCACACCAAAATGTTTGCGTGGGGTACACATACCTACTGATCCTGGTTGAGGTGTTGTTGGCAAAGCTGTTACAGAAGCTGCCGTTGCGGTAATTTGATTTTGGCCACCTGCAAGGACTGGATACGAGAACAACAACTTTCGTCAAACAGGAACAAGAGGATTTGTTCAGTAACACAGTAAAATTGTCCGAAACAAACTACACGTAGCCGAGAGTCTTACGAGAAGGTTTTCGCTGTGTAGTAATTGGTCACCTATCTTTGAGCCTTATACACCTTACATTCCCGACACATAGCCGAGAGTCATACGAGAAGGTTTCCACTGTGTAGTAATCGGCTAGCTTTCTTAATGGCTTCTTCAGCGCGCACGGTTCTTACTTAGTAAAATATAAATTCTATTGTAGACTTCTGTTCTTTTTTTAATATTTTTGCCTCTTGCTTTTACACATAGTCTTACATTATTTAATTTAAATCAACAACTTCAGGGGCAAGCCAATGTAGCTTTTGCACATGGCCAACGTATAGTTTGTGCCTTAATTTTAAGCTGCAATTAAAGCGCGAGATATGCAGTACTATTATTTCTTTCAAAGAAGGAAGACGTAAACAGTTTTAAACACAGTTAATTAAAGCTTTGTTAAACAGGTAATAGACACATTTAATGTAGACAATAATGATGTTAGTCAAAAATCCCTCAAGGGTATGAGTTAAATTTTTAAATAATTTATTCCATACCCGTTGTGGGGTATCAAGTCAAGTAGCGTAGGGTTTTGACTTGATTAATAATGGCAATAGGACCGAGTGAAGTCCAATTCAGTCGGTAATCATACAAGTGATTAACAAAATCTGTTAATCACGAGTGTGATTACAGACAGATTACAGACAGATTACAGACAGGCTTGGACGACACGAAGTCCTGTTACCAATTAATCGAAACCATGACAGAATTTGAGAAAGAAACTAGACATCGATTATACGTTTTCACAAAAAAAGAGACAACAGCGCGCACATGACGCTTTCTGTCCACTTACACATGCCTGTGTAAGTGGACAGGGTTTTTTGACCGCACGAGATCCGGGTATGAACATAACGCGAGCTTTGAAAGTGACAACATGCAAAACAAACATGGCGGCTCGATACGATTGCTCAATTGTTATCTGAAAAGGCGTGTTAAAAACAGTTTAACACAATACAGTTTTTATGTGATGGAATCCTGAAAAAGAGGCTAACCGAAAAGAAAACACCGTGCGAAAGATTACCAAAAGGCGACATATGACGCGACAGATTCGAAAGTTTACGCATGCTCAGACATAGATCTTGGCGAAGTTCTATTCCATTACGTAATGTTATGGAATAAAGAAAATAGAGATCTTCGAGCGAGATTTATCGTGTTTCTTTTGGTAGATTTCCTAAGATTTGCTGGACTGTTAAACATATGTGTGCCCTTCCTAGTGTCTGTTAATAAACAAAAAAAATTCATAAGACCAAATTTGAGATAGAGGAAGAAAACACAAAATTGCAAATAGCGTGCAAACTGCCCATGTAACCCTTTTCGGCTTTTAAATGATCGGCAAGACAAATTTCACAAATTGTGAAAATTTTTAGAGATTTTACCGGAGCAAATTGAAGAAAATCAAAGGCAAAGCTAAATTATCACTGGCGAGCGCCTCCCATCGTGGAGCCTCAGCTCAGTAACAAAAATTATATTGATAATATTTACTACAGCAAACGATAGTTCGAACCTTGCTCATTGACCTTTTGATGGCTTTTAGTGAACTAGAAAAGCGAAAACATGAAAAATTTCTAGAAAAACAATACGCTGGCGTGCGCGCCAACATTAAGCAAACACCCTATGGAACTTCCTTGACTGTCCCTTAACTGTTCTATTACATCGTCCAATTACGTGTACACTGTCCTACTAGTGCTTAAATCGGGCTGGTGATAACCAATCATGTTCGAGAATTTTGTTATAGTTTTGATTAACGGCTAGATAATTCCGGCTGGACAACTTTAAGTCACCACAGATTCCTCACCGCAATATCCGCATGTTAAAGCACAATCTATCTCCATGTATTTCGATGAACATTTGTGACCAACTTTCAGTCGATATTGGCAGGTTTCTGTCCCAACCTTGTCGTAACAACGATCTGAAACGATTTCATGGAGAGCTTAGTTACTCAGTGCACACTGATACGAAGTGAAATTCAATGAAAGTTGGTTAAGTCAAGTTAAGGAAATTGTTATAAGGCATAAGCCTGGAATGAACAAGTTGTAGGTTCCATGGAATAAAAAAAGCATTTCGCTGACTTACTTTCGCAATTTTCTCCATAAAAGCCAGGTTCACATGCCTTGTCTAGAAAAAGGATTGGAATAGACGATGATATGTCATAAAGTAGAGGTGAAGTCTACACATGATAAGAGTGGCCCATGTTTTAATACTTGTCGTGAGGATCCTTGGGGTAAAACTTCTCCCACCGAATTGGATCCCAATCCTCCTTGGATTATTCCACGGCATTACGTCAGTTTTTCCAGATGACCTCCCGTAACTCATTTATACTCATAGTTGGAGAGTGAGACTAACAGAAAAGTGCCTTGCTGGAGATAACAGCACAATGACTCGATCAAGGCTGGAACTCAGACCTCTTAAGGTGAAGACCGTTCCCTTTCAAGTAACTTCCAGTGGCCTACCTGAACAGTCCATACCCCTCCACCCGGAGGGGCAAGAACAAACGCAGTCCTGTTTGTTTACTGTCCCTCCGTTTTGACATTTTAAGGGACACTCTGAAGAGAAATGGATAAAAAGATTGGTGAATTCATGACATACACCTTACATACCGGAGAAAAGCAAAAATGAGGCTTCTAATCCTACCTGTAGTTAGTACACTACACTGAGTTAGTGACTATAATGAGCAACGAATTTTAGAAAAATTCCTAAGTTCTCTTGAGCTGACGGACTTTCAAACCTTTATTCTTTAGTTTTATTTGTACTTGAAAACTGTGGGCAAGACAAAATGACAGATTATTGATTGCTCTCAATTCATACTTACCACACATGTTGCATAGTTTAGGACAATTCTTCTCCATTAACTCTGGGTGTGAAGAGCACATTGTTGTCGTCAAAGAGCTGCCGCAATGTTTGTCGAAGTCAGAACAATTTCCTAAAATTAACTTTTTTTGCGTCAGATTCAGTGTATAAAGTTTCACAAAGACTATTTCTTATTTTAAGGTAGAGAAATGCGTCTTTCTCTCGCCATTGAATCGTTAGTCTGACGGTTTGTAAGATCTCAAGAGCTGATTGGTAATCTTTCTTATCTTCCTCCATACAGAGAATTTGCTATTGGATAAACTGATAGTCCAATAACTAAACTGGTATTTTAATTCATTCTCGTCACTTTTCTGATTGATGTTGTATTGATGTTTTAAGGAGCAATTCTGTCTCAGTCACTCATGGGAACTAACACCCCATTATTAAGGTTACAGCAACAAAATTCAATAACTCGCAGCACCCCAATGTATGGTTAGTACTGTTCATACTGCAATCAGTTTTCGATCGTATTACCGACTGAAACAACGCCAAATGACTGTGGTGGTCGGTGATGTGGAGCCACTAAAGAACGAGCGAATCGCACCCAGTTGGAGCTTTAACTTTTTGATTTGAAAAGGCTGAAAAATAGGGAAAAAATTATCTACTTGACAAAGAGGAGAAAGAAATGAAATTGAAAAGTCTTCAAGCTGTAGGCAACTCATTGCGCGCTCGCCATCGTGCAAGTCATTGAAGCAGCAGCAGATAAGAACGCCTCGATGCTGCCGACAGAATACGCTGTCCAATCCTACATCTGCGTTCATACGTGGATCTTATGGTTTCTTATGCTTCTTGTCCTGCTGCTGTCTTGCTATCGTGTTTGCATTTTCACCTTAAGGTACTGGGCCGAAAAAAAAATGTTTTGTTTATTTCAATTGGTTTCTTTTTACTCACGACACAGGTTGTTGTAGCACCACCCTTTGCCAGACGCGCATTTGGTGCAGGGAGTACCAGTCTTGTATGGGTATTGACCTACAATGTTACCCCTAAAGTTCAAGTAAAAATCAAAAATTTACATTAGCTTGAGTCCAAAGCTGTAAAGCTGGACCACAGCTTGACAATCGCCTGGAAAGAATAAAACAATGAATCGTCATATGCTAACACATGTATAGAATTAAAATAAAGGGTTTGTGCTTACGTGTTGTAGTTGCACACCACTATTGTTCCTCCGTTACCTCCATTAAAGTTTGAACAGAAATTTACTCCGCATCCAAGGTATATAGATTTAGCCCACATAATCTGATAAGAAAAATTAATGTCACTTTTTTTAAGCTTGTACCTTTTTAAAATGTCATAGCTTGTAATAATAATAAATAATAATAATAATTGTAGTATAATATAATAATAATTATTATAATATAATAATAATATAATATAATAATATAATGATAATAATATAATATAATTATAATAATTACAATAATAATTATTATTTTCATAATTTAGAATGTCATACTTTTTCAGTATTGAACGATTGCATCGCACAAAGTATTGAGCAAAGATAGATTTTGACTTCGCTTTACTGTCGACTGGAGCCTTCCGTTTTCTTTACACTTTTTAATTGCCCAGTGAACTAGCTACATATGCGCAGCAGCTTTAAATACCTGTGTGTAATGTCCACAAGGTGTCTTTTTACAAGAAGCTCCCATCGGGCTTGTGTACTTGCTAAATGTGTAGTATTGATATTCCTCGTACCACCTCTTGACGCGGTCCTCTGGGCTCGAAAGCCTGCCATACTCTTGGGCAAGGTTTTGACCTGCGAACAAAATCACAACAATTCGAAATTTTGAGGTTCAAGATCATAATGTGAACGAAGTGACCACCCCACAACGTCTTGGTTTTCTTTTGTAGTTATTCAATTTATGTTGATCGGTTTTGATTGGAGAGTTTTAAATTCCTTTTCCGTTTTTAGGTTTACGTCGCAGATTAATTTCATACCTGAACGTATACCGGCGTAGAACTTGACTTATTACAAATTGTACGAGGTGTATTTACCAAGAGTTCTTCCTCGAAAGGTACATAATTGTACGAAATAAATTTACCTATTTGTCCCTTGAAAGGCACGCTGTATGGATATTGGCTACCGAACCTCAGAAACCCGTGTTCCCAGATGCACTTGTCCGCCCACATTTGAGCCATATTGGCCAAATTGTCGTCCCACTCCTGTCATTAAAAAGTTTGTGTTATCAGTCAAATCGTTTTGTATGGATAGTTTTATCACACAAAAGCTTTTCTGATTTTATCATTATCACCGGCTATTCCTACGTGTGGTGTCTTCTACTTGTAAATTTTTTCCATCTCTGTCTTACCCCAAGTCCGACATCCTAACGGTTAGTGCGTGAACCTGTGAATCGAGGGTCGGACTGCGCTTCTCGCGAAAAGGCTCATCGTTCTGTTTGCAGACAGAACTGGTTCTGGTCAGACTAGCTTTATACCTTATGTCCATCAAATACTACCAGCTAGGTCGAAATTTGCTTTGACCACAGCCAATTAAAATTGCGAAACAATAACAATCTTTCCAGAACTGAAGACACAGGGGAAAGGACGTTCGTAATTCACAAAGGAAAGCCTTTTACCTTTCCATTTACACTGGTCAAAACGGATTCTTCATTTCTGTTCTATCAGAGATGATAAATGGTGAACGTTCCGAGATGACGGGGCTCAAGCTGACTTTGATTGGCGTTCCACTTAAGATGCTCTACCCTTGGGTTTCTTCTTCTAGCCTTTGCGCTGACAGAGCCCGAGTCTCACATATATATGTTTAGCTTCTTTTTTTTTTTTTAAGGAAATCTGTTTAACTATGAGCTAACTGTTTAACTATGAGCTAAGTACTTGACCTTGAGTCGCTTCGCCTTACTAAACTGCGTTTCCCTTTTTTTTTTTTTTTTCTTTTCATTTCGCTCTTTAAACATATTTTCGAGTGCTCAAATTTGTGTCATCACCACTACTTTATTCGCGTAGTCATTACTATACTTTAAGTTGAAGAATCTATTGATATAGTTCAGGTTGGTGATGGCAGTGACACACTGGCACGCAATTTATTTGTTTATATCATTACCCTTTAACAAAGCTTGCTTTCTGGCCCAAAGGTATACTGAGTCGTCCCATGTCTGCTTTCTCAAAATGAGGAAGACAACTGCCTTGTTTGTTAACAGGAAAGGATCTAAGACTAAGATTTAAGCGTGAGTGCGAAGGCAGATAGCTTTTCGTCTCAGTGTTTTACTTGTTAAAACCTGAAAGCGCAAAGATTTTAATTTGGCCCTAAAATCTTTACTGTCATGTTATCTCTATCACTTACCATAAACTCCATGTCGGCCGAAGTTGGTTTCACCATTCCGCGAAATTTGTTATGCTCGTCTAAGAACTTTTCTTTGTCTTCAGCAGTGAGTCTATTAGTCTTAAAATCTGCACTAGTTGGCGACCACATCGAGACATATGACGATACATTATCCTTTGCACGGAACTGAAAAATGAAGCAAACAGTCAAACAAAGTAAATGGCCGCATGCATTTCCGTTTCTTCGCCGAGGGAACATGTATCTCTGAAAAATATTACTACTGTAAAAAATCAACTGGATATTATTATTTCAGATCTACGTCTCTGCTCTGGCTCATGAAATAGTCATACAGTTGACAGTTGACACCAGAAAGGTTACATTACATTTTTATTTCAGGTCAACGCGGTTTAGGCAGTGTAAAGAGAAACACTGCAATTTCTGTCGCTTACAACTGAGCAATGTTGTAAAACCTATTTAGTGATTTTGTTCCAAGATTAAGAATCAGAAGCTCATCCCACTATTTTGCGTCTATATAAGGGGTAATGTCTCTTCTTATTTCCTTGTGAAATTTGGTATCCTTTTTGTGGTACCCGTTCAAGGGTCACCAAGTACTTCAGTGTACGACAAATCAAGACAAATCTTTGACATCACATCATGTGATTCGGCTGTAGTAGTAAAGGTAACATGCACCATCAAAGTTTTGCACCGAAATAAATTTCCACAAAAAAAACACCACTAAATCTACTTCGAAGTGTCCATGCCAATGATAATAACAATAATCATTACTATTATTATGACTATTATTTTATTATTAATGGTCCGCCCACGTTAATATTATGGCAAGAGAGGAACACGATATGCTTTCTTGAATTTGTTAATCCATTGGCCAGTTGGGTAATATGTTCGAAAATTGTCCAGCATTTGGTGAACTACTGAAGCTCAAAACATTTAACATTTGTTTCTTCAAATCGCGTAGAAAAGCAGCGGTGTTCATCAGTCGAAGCGTCGTGGTCGACCTTAGAGGTGACAACCTAGTGCACCTGTTCGGTTTTGGTTCGCTGATGTTGCCAAAAATGAGGGATAGCAATAAACAGAATAGGGAAGTAAGTCACGTTTTTCGATGAATTATGGGTTCTGAAAAAATATAGGAAAGGAGTCAATTTTCGAAATTTCAAAACCTAGTAAGCGCTCATATGGTAAAATTGTTGTCACGGTTATTGATTGAGTTTGGTCGGGCCGGACAAAAAATTATTTGGCTCTCGTTCATGCATATATGACCCACGGACCTCGAGCCAAATATTTTTCCGTCCGACCTTCCCACTCCGTTGATAAATACAAATTATTTTCACCGCTACCATTATGACGATGATATAATACTTGTCCTATGTCCAATTATTATAGTTTGGATTCTTTTCATCCTTTTTATAGCATTTAACTTTTCTTTAGGGGCATGGTCTGCCTTGAGTCGTGAGAACCGAGTAAGGTAGGCGGATTAAAAGGCGCCAACCAACTGCAGCTTATTACGTCATAGTTTATTTATCGCGCAGACACTGGCCCTAAGGCGTGTGAATTATGTCGGTAAATTTTTGGCATTTCACTCTCTGAGAAAGGACGCTTCAAGGAACTCGGACGAACCTTCTAGCTGTGAGTGAGTAATACTACACTAACTGTGAGTACTGCTATTTGTTCCTATTTACATTTGTTCGGTTTCAACTAATCAGGAACGCTAGCCGTTCTTTAGTCACCTCAAACTAAAAAGTAAGGTTAAATATTACAATAGGTTGAAACATTAAAATTTAGTCAATGCTTGGGATTATTATTGCTTTTCATCATCGCACCCTGAGCCGAACAAAGCAGATGATCTTTGTTATATTTAGGTGTTTTGTCCATTCATACGCAATATTCACCTCTGCTGATTTTAATCATAATTTGATCTTTCAAATGTGTACCTGGCTGGTAGAAATTAATATTTGCCTTTTCAGTGCGTGAAATTGTCTTCTAGCTGAAGAATGAATAGGAATACTTCTCAGGTATTCTGAAATAGAAAGATATAGAACCTGAATGGAAATGCCTGTATGTTCTCTTTTTTTCTTTTAATTAACAAAAATGGGGCACACAAGAAAAATAATTGTATTCGTGATAACCTTGAAAGAAAAGCAATTTCAATCAACGAAGGTTGCCATCAAAGGGTTTACTGTGAATAATTTAATTTGATTGATGGAAATGACTTTTTAGAAGTACTTTCTTTAAGAATTTTTGTCGATTAACGAAAAGCCACCGCAATTAATATTTTTTTAGAAGTGTAATCAGTAATTATTGAGGACGAGGCCGGCGCCTCAAAGTCTCAACATACTGCAGAAACGTCATGAATAACGCCAAAGTAATTGATCGGCAACAAGAGTCTTCTACCAAATACTTGCTTGTATTTTTGGATAAAGGCCTTTGATAAACAGCTGGAATGGATTATAAGATATACGGTGGATTCACTATGTTAGTATGTTTTTATTTGACTGCAACAAATATCTCTGAGTCAAAAACTGGAAATGGCATAAATAGAACTGCATGATCGATAGTACTCATTTTGAAAGCTACAAACCAAGGTATCGTCTGCTTATCCCTACGGGAAAGAGAGTCTGCAGAGCGTTTACTGTGTAGGAACACAGTGTTACACGTTACTCGATGGCTATTGACATTAGAGAGATCTCTCACTGGGGTATCTAGACTAGAACGTTCATAGAGTCTTCACATGGAACCAAATTAAAAAACAATACTGTGGAAAATTGACAGGTGTCTTCAGATAAACGGAGCGATATAACACTGACCCTTCAAACACTTATGCCTTTCGTTATTTGACGAGTGCCTTTCCTTCAACTTTGTTTCTCACATCCTGGAAAGATTTAAGTCCTCAAAAATTTAGACAGCGAGTAGTCCCTCCTGTACGGCGAAGTTCGTCGCGCGAGTAAAAAAAAAATTCTTTAACAACGCGAAATGTTTATGTGTTTTCATCGGAAAATTTATAGTTTATCTGTCGCCCAGTAGGATTTCATATACGGACTTGAACTTGACTTAGTACCTGATCAGTGATTAATGCGTAAGACAGTTTGATAAAGACAAAAATGTAATAAGTGATAGGACTCTCGCTGAGGAGTTAACATCTAATACATGGTTCTAGGAGGCACGAAATTAATTAAATGCGTAACGTCCTATGTCGATTTTTAAACGAAAGGACTAATCCCATTCATTTGCATGATTCAAATAAATTCTCTGGAGCCTTCCGGCCTTGAACAGTATTCGTTAATTTAGGGGTTTTTTAAGGCATTGCTAGTTCCACACCGACTTTTGGAGAGAAAGAAAATAGCTAAACTTTACATTTATAAGTGCATTGTATAATAGAAGCAATTTTTTTTTTGGTTCTTCAAAACTTTAGAATTGAAAAATTGAACCATTCGATTATTTTGTGTTGAAATCTATCGGCCAGAAAGATGTTATCATAATTCGGTTTGGTCCGTTGAAACAACACGCGCTCTTTTGGAATTGAAGTTATGTCTTCTCCGTTTAACAACGACCTTTTCGGAATGTTGAAGCGTCGTCCGTCTACAGCATTTAATCTTAAAGTTGTGTTTGTGGCTATTGCTTACTCAAACAAACGGACACCTGCTGAGGAGAATATAAAAGCTTCTTTTCTTCGATGAACCTGAAGATTGCACCTGTTCCTGTTGTGACGTCAGTCTCGGCCGGCAGCGCTGGTGTTATCTCATTAAAGTGCTTGTTTCGAGCCATTTGATTGGTCGAAGGAGATTGTTGTTTCCATACCAGAAGATAAACATTGCGACTTCGCAATTAAGCGCTAACGTGTATAATATAATTCACATAGCAACCATGCTTAGAGTCAGATTATTTGGTATTTTTATCAAAATATTTCGAGGATGATCCTTTTTATAACGCAGTTCACTGAAAATCATTTTATGGATATTGCAGTGGTGGCAACCCAACCATGCATTTTCCGTTGGAAAACCCTGGATTAATCAAATGAACTAAAGCTCGCTATGTTTGGATGGTGAATCGTTATTTTTTTAACTTGATGTTTGATTAACGTCTCGACGTTTGGAGGCTAATACGGCAACAGTTTTATCATAAATTACGTTTTGGCATTAGCAGTCGCGAAGAGAAAATAAAATTCAAAAATGGGCGACAGAAGTAAGATTAAAACAGGAAACCTCGGAGCAAATGTTATGGAAGAAAAGGAACTCTCCAAGCAACTGATTCGTTTGAAAAGACAAACAGACTACTTTGTTTCCGAGATAGAAGCAGAACAAGTCGTATTTGCCAATAAATTTTTGAGCCACTTACGCAGAAGTAAAAGGATTGCTGAGGCACAGGAATCTGTCGTGAATACCTTCAAGTCGACACGCTGGAATTCAGCGTTTGAAAATCAGCGTTCAGAGCACACATTAAGCTCCAAAAGACTGAATTCCAAAGAAAGCACCTCATTGGAAATGGGAAGCGGCAGCGTGCCCGAAGAGCGCGCGGGGAAAAACCCCTCGCGCGTTCTTAAACGAATGAGTCAGCAGTTTGAAGTGCCTTATAAGAAACTGTACTCTTTCAAGACGAGCGAATTCGGAAGGCCGGCCACTGTTCTCGACATGCGTTGTAAAATGTGGCAAAGAATTTCGTACTGCGCGGACAAAAAAGACAGAGTGAAAAGCGCGCCTCCGTGGGCTGAGAACTACAAGGCGCCTAGACAGGTTGAACAAGCACATTATCGCGCGCTTGACTATATAGGCATGAAGAGGAATCTGGTCAATCCGCCCAGCAGACAACCACAAATAGACTTAACAGCCCTGAGGAGCTATCGAGATCGCGAGATCGAAGTTGAAAGAAAGGTTGTTTCTCAGTTCAATGACAGTCTTGAACGGTTCAAGATCAAACCTGGGGCGAAACAAATAATTTACGATGCAAATAGATTATACGGCGAACTTGCGAAAATGAATGGGAAAGCCAGTTCTTAATGATACTTTTTGGGAATACCGTTGTGAATAAAAAACGGTCCAAGTGAGTACTAACGTTTTTTGTTCTTCTAGATACTGGATGCAGTGAAAGTTTAACTTTCCCGCTTTTCCTCGTCATTTCAAAATGCTGAAACAATATCCACTGATTGGAAAAAAAAAACATTATTTTCTGGTCCTTGAATTGAAGTGCATAGTTACGTAACGGTGTATTGTAACAATTTTTATGACATGGCTGAGATATTACGAGCGCCTTGATTGGCCAAAAACTTATCGATTATCGCACCGGTAAACCCATAAAATACTTTTGTTATAAATTTTTTTATTAAGGTAATAGACCCCTTCTTTCTATCGCTTTACCGGCGTACTAACTACTCTAGATGTTGCGTAACCACTCGAAAATTTTTTAAATCACTTACCGGCAGCGAGTGATCAGCAAACATTACTGTAAACATCCCGCAGTGCCGAACTACACCGGTTAACCCGGATATTAAGCGCGGTCTGTTGCTTAAATGTTTGAAAATGGCATTTGTAATTGCAAATTATTGCAGTCTTTGATATGTTTTTTAATTTGCATAACTGTGTGATGCATTAAATAAAATTAATTTCTCTGAGACTACGAGAAAGCGGGAGAAAATAATATGAGAAACTTAGATTTTGAGATGCTTTAATATTTTTTTAAGAATTAAGTCAACTTTTAATTATCACACATCAGTTTGCTTTCATTTTAATGACAAAATCAAATAACCCATTTACTTAAAGTCATAGGCTATTAACGAATCAATCAGCCGGACACCTTAGCAATTAGTTTTACGCTATTGTTTTCAAAATAATCTCGAATGATGAGCTCTTACCGCAGTTAATTTGAGACAGAAAGTCAGAAAAAAGCATCACATGCTACAATAAATGCCGCAAGGACGCTCGGGTCTGCTTTTCTCTCGAAAATATCGTTTGACAGTTTATTAGAACTGCTTCAGGTGGTAGCTGTATTATTGTGGAAGGAACAGGTTCCTTTTGGCTTAAATCAGTCAACTAAAAGGTGAGCGTTTCGCATGTGATTATTATTTTATATCTATTCAGGCTTATTTTTGGTCGCTATGAACACTTTGCTCAACTGAAGCAATACTAATAAATGCTCCCTAAAAGCAAACGGCTTCAACGCTTCCCTTTCTGCCTTTATTTTATCTAACCGGTGAAAAAATTCCTCGAAACCGACGCAAAAATTCTTCAAAATGAACTTCTGGCGATGCAGCTTTTCGTGTCGCTTCGAGCAAACAACTACATGTACAAAGCTTACACAACAAAATCAATACGACACAGTGGGGAATGAAGCATCCCGACCCTAATAAGAAAAAAAACAGTGGGAAACGCTTCACTGATTTTAAACTTCTGGCGATGCAGCTTTTCGTGTCGCTTCGAGCAAACAACTACATGTACAAAGCTTACACAACAAAATCAATACGACACAGTGGGGAATGAAGCATCCCGACCCTAATAAGAAAAAAAACAGTGGGAAACGCTTCACTGATTTTAAAGGGATTCATAGGGATCACTCCGGCTAAGAAATGTGTTTTAGTCACGTGATCCACCTTCGCGAATGTTCTCGTTAAAAGTGAGGCGCACTTTAGTTTGAAGGTGTCTATTCAACAACACAAAAAAAAGAAGCATTTTTAAAATCTTACTTGTCAAATTGATTTACTCGCAACACATGGATAAAAGCTCTTTATTTGGATGGGAAGTTCTTAAATAAATAACATCTTTTCTTTTCCAAATAAAACTTGCCCGTGTGAAGTGCTTATATTTCGGGAAATTTAAAATTTTCAGTTGGGTGTTGGCAAAAAATCGAGGCGCACGGGTTTTACGCCACTTTGTTAGAGACTGAGCCATCCTTTCAACTCGTCAGATGAGCACTAAAATCAATCATGGCTCGGTTATTCGCGTTACGCTTAATAATATTTCACTTCGAGCTCTCATTGTTCTGACTACTTCCACTGTTGCTTTCACTTGTCACTTAGGGATAAAATCGAGGCATTATCCCTCTCATTTTCATTCGCATTGTCAACTTCGACTTAAAAAAGTTGACAACTCCTATATTTGTAAAGTGCGTTTGAAAAAAGAAAGCTGTAGTCAAAATACTTTATTATACCCTTTACTCCCTAAGTCTAATCCCACTCCCCCCCCCCCCTCCTCCCCCAGGTTGAATTCATAACCAAATTAACTGGAACTCTTTTTTTAGGCTTGGCTTTATATCTGAATACTATTTCTTTTCTTTGAACTCTCATTGTTCTGATTGGCTTTTGTATTCAATTTTTGTTTAGTCATACTCAATCGAAACCTACTCTTTGTAATAACATTTGTAAATATTGATTTTGAGTCAAAGCTAAATTCTGCTAACAGTGAATAATTTATTTCTTTTTTTACCTGGAAAAACTTGAACCTTCTGTTGTGGAGTAAGCTTGGTCTCCTCCAGGCTTTCACAGAGATTTGTTTTTTTGTTTTGTTTTATCTGTTCATTCATTTTATTATTCAGCTGTTCTCATTCTAGTCCATTTGCTCAATCAGTTAACTCTTCACAATTTTGGAAATAGCCCAAAAGAAATTCCTGAAATTCCAGCTCCCTGTGCAGTTTCACTCAACAACAAGTATAGACTTTTCAATTCTCAGATGATGATAATAACCATTACACTTCACACTTTTATGGGATGAATACAAAATAATTTATTGGTCATTTGTGAATTCCAAAGATAATAAATTGAAAGAAAGATGATTTACAAATTTTAGAACCTACATCCACAGTTGTCATAATCCAACACACAATTAAAACCTACATTAAACTGAACCAAGTTTTCTTTCTAATATACATACATTTAGGTGTTCCACCAAACACAGATTATTTTTCCTCAAAATTGAGGCTTTTAAGAAAAGCCAATTGATAAGTGATGTGTATTAAACACTGTACTTGTTGCTTAGTAAGAAGCTTTTAAGTCACTGAAATAATCTGGACCTAGCTGTACAAATAAATAGATCGCTATCCAGTGGAAAAGTGTGGACAGAATGCACTGCCCCATCTGCAGTATGGAGATTTATCCAATGGGCAGCATCATCCTACCTTTGACCAACCAGAGCCAAGATAAAATTTCATTTTAGTTATAATACATAGATTTAGCCAAGCCTAAAAGCGGAGCTCTTATTAGTTCATTTTCCAGCCCTACGTTACACTGAATAAGATATAAAAAAAAAAACAAAAGGTGCAGTGAAAATTGAGAAAAGCTTAAGATCCCCAATCCACCTTAATTTAAAGCAGAATGACCCTAAATTTTTTTTAAAATCGGTCTTCACTAATGCCTTTACCCTTCTATAGACCATGTAAGGGTAAGAATATATTGTAGTTATATATACTATGCACAAATTATTGGACTGCAGTGTAGGTGTAGTCATATTAGTCCAGTGCTCAGTATCTCTGCAGAATTTCTATCCATTGTCTTGAATTTTTCAGCCTTTTAACTCCCAAAATCTGATTTTTAACCCTTCCCTCTCACTGCTACACATTTCCATGTACATGTGTAAACAAGTTACAAGAATTTGGTCATTCTCATTACCTTTTTGGTGGATAACGAATGGATATTATGGGGAGAATTTACACAATAATCACTTCTAGAAGTTAAGGATTTAAGTAAAGGACGGTTGACAAAGGGGATTCTACCTGTGCTAACCCTTAAATGAAACATGACTTTTTCACAAATGGTCCTGTGCTTGTAAAATCTACTTCCAATTAGATCTTCACTGTACCTGATATGACAACTGCACTGCACGCTAATTACTAATAACACATCTCCATTTAAAAATGTACTTCACCGTTTTAAAATGTACTTGACATTTTTGATATCTTAGTTCCTGAATGATCCCATCAGATCTTAAATACGTTTTTAATGAGATCTTTGGGAAATAAGTTTTTGTTTCAACCAGTCAAATTTGGTCTGTAATATGAACTTTACAGGAATTACATGGGAGAATTTTTGCCATGTCATTTCTAAATTAAGGTTTGTCTGTTTTATTTAAGTCAACACAAAATAAAACAGACAACAATGGTTTAAGAGTAGTAATGTCTCACTACAAATTGAGTGCTGTCTTCACTAAATTATTCTTCCTCGAAGCAGTAATACTCTGATTTAGCGACCGGCATGTTCAAGCCTATTGAATAGCTTTTTTGCGTTAAAAAAATCACAATAATATTGTTTAAATTTAATTTAAGAAATAAACCGAAATACTATGCTTCACATGGCAATGGAAAGGCACCTCATAGGATACAATTCTAGAGAAATCGCTGACAGAAAATGCCACCAACGGTTTTGTCGCGCTTTGTTCGCGGTATATTTAGAAAGCGATAAAATGACAAACATTCTTTGCACTGACCATCAAGTCATTTTCAGCGATGACAGAGAACGTGCAAATAGTCGCGACCGAATGATAAAGTAAATTTACCTTCAGGTTATCAAGCTGCGTTATGCAAACGTACTTATGATTAAGCAGGTAGAGTCTACAGGCTTTTCTGTCGCAAGTTGTTATAATAACATGTCAATAATTATGATAACGTGACACTTACTAGACGGTAGACGAGGACGCACGAAAAATTTCATCACCTTACATTTCCGATTTACTTTGTGACATGCAACGTTTGCGTTACGTTTGCGGATTTTTTCACAGGATGTATCTTAAAACATAGAGAAAATTTTGGTAGTAAAACACAGCTTAATACTATTTACCAGGAGAATTAAACAAATGTTAAAATAAAACATTCAACAACACCACTAGTTAACATAAACTTGAACTTTGGGTAAATAATTAATAACATGTTTTTTAATAACACTTTAAGGAAAGTGAGTTACGGACTTAAAAGTCGTTCGAATCGCGAAATCACCATACTCCATACGATTTTCCTTGCCAAGGAATTCGATTCTCAGAAGAAATTTTAATTCCGCCCACCCATGCTTGGCTTCATCTCGGACAGAATGTCCAAATCACTCATTTCGCGCCCTCAAGTAATTTTTAGCGGGGAATAGAGCAGTAACTTCTTTGTATTTCCTAAATCGCATTCCCGACGGATATAGCCGTGTCTTGAGACATTCAGATTGCATTTATCACTCCACCAAGCCGCTAAATGAAATTCGACAAGTTATAATGTGGTTCGCGAAAAAGATCACTGCAAAACGATCTTGTGAAAGTTATCGATCGTACGCGATTAATCTCACGGGAAGTCCTGTTGTGACCCCAGCTTGTTTTTCAGTCTCAAGTCAAGTAACTGCAAGCTGATTGGCCAAACTGATAACTAATTTCTAGACTGGGCGAGCCACCAACTACCACATACATCACCACTCAGTCATAATCATATGTGTTTTATTTCAACATGTCAAGCTGCACCTTTAGGTCCTATGGCACTCGTGCTTCATTACTATCCATGTTAATTTCCAGGGAATCTTACGAAACTAAATAGAGAATCAGCGATCAGTGGTTATTTTTTAGTTTTTTCTGTATTTACCAAAGTGAACCGAGACTTAATTTGTGATTGGAGAGGAAATATGGATTTTCTGCGACCGGCTTTATCGATAGAACCGATCGAGATATCAAATGCCGACGAGCTTTCTTTTGAGAGCGATAATGGAGACTTACAACTCGACATTGTTTTGGAAAGTGACGAAGAATTAACTGCCAGCAGCACAATTTTAACTGGACTGGAAACTGTGCTCGATGGCGATGAAAATGTCACGTCAAGTCGATATAAGGAGAAAGAGGCCTTTCTTGCAGAATTCAGCCCTGATGTTGTACTTGAAAGTGAAGAAGAACATGATGATGATACATTACTTACAGGCCTACAGACGGTTTTGACTGGTTTAAGTTTTACCTATTGTGAGGATTCAGCTGTCCGCGATTGCAAACAACAATCCAAGTCTATTTCCTTAGAGACCACAATCCCCCCAATAACTGAACGGTGTCTAAGCCAACAAATGATCTTCTGCGCACAGACAACCAACGAGAACTGTTCAAATGCTACGATCACATTATATGTGGGGAGTGGGGGTTCGTTTTGCAAGCTCAAAACAAATATAAATGAAGCAGATTCTTATGGAAATTATTGGTGTCCATTTCCCAAATGTTACAAGAAGTCTAGGAAGAGATTTCTCCTTAAAGATCATCTGAAAAAGACACATCATGGCCCTTTTTATTGTAAGCTGTGTGGAGTTTACTTTCTCCAATTGCCCTCATTGCATCGTCACTTTCGGCAATGGGGACATTCGAGACAAAATTATCTAGTACCCATACCCAAAGAGACTGTTCGTCGCCACACTATTGCAGCAGTAGAATTTTTTTCGGTACGTTTGCATGAAGCATTCGCAGCTTCATCAGATTACTTAATACTTAATTGATGTGAACTTGAATAGAGATACTACCAGTGCCCTGATTGGTCAAAAACCTATTGTCTATTTTATGTCCAGTAAATCCATAGTAAAATTGAAACATCCTGTGTTTTTATTTTATAAAAGCAATAAACCACACTGGCTATCCTTACTATCCAAATATATCTTTCTAGCCTCTTGCTTATGAATTATAAACTTCTCTCCTGTTCTCCCAGCATCATGTGTAGATCATTACACTAGTAAACACAGTCAGATAGAAAGTGTGGTCTATTGCTAAAGTTAATGGCATCCATAAAAATATTGAACTCACATACGGATGATGAAAATATTAAATATATTGTACATATGCATGCAATCCGTTGATAGTATTCCTAATCCTTTGCAAACCTAGACTACACAACACCTTCATAATCATGAATTATTTCATATCCACTTTAACAAAATTGGGATTACATTGTAGTTCCTTGAATGAATGTTCTCTAATTATCTGAATGCTGTGTGCATGAACTAGCTGCTGCAAAGTGCAAAGTCACTGTTCCCTTTATTTCCTTTCCACATTGATAACAAAAATCTGTTTTGCAAGCCCAGCATTTGAGATGGTTATTGTTGTTGTTTTCTTTAAGACACTTCTGATGACAGCGGGGACACAATTTAGTCCGAAGCTTTTTCTTGGGGTTTGCTTTCAAGTAACGTTCTATCAATACCTCTCCTTCTGTTGGTTCCCTGGGAGATAGGTAAGGATGTGGAATTTCTCTGCCACAGTTTCCAAAATGATCATAACCACTGATTGCCTTTCCTGAGTAATGCATATAAATGTGAATCAATACCGATAACAAAAATCATGGCTTTCTTAACAAATTGTTTCAAGATGAGGTAGATCATCAGGGGAATAACCATTATTTACGTCACATTCTAAGATGTGTATTTCAACATCCATAGGTATCAATTGGACTTTCAGTTCATAACATTGACTAGTATTCCCCAGTGAAACACACACAACTGTGGAGATACAAAGATGACCATCTCCAAACAAACTAAGTAATGCAAGTATGACAACATGGAGGCCAAAAAAGGTATCCATAGACACCTTAAAAAAGGATCAGTGCCACAGATACAGTGTAAGTTGACAAAAGTTTCTCTGTTTCCCAAAAATCAGCTGAACAAACATTTTTCAAGGGGAAAAAAAAACTTATTTACTTTGGTATCTTGTGAACACTGGTTGACCTGCATTCAAGTTAATATCAGATGGTCATTCCTTTGTACTTTGTACTATACATGTACATTTTAAGCTTAACAACATGTATTGATCAAACAATCACTTGACAAAGATTAAAAAAAAAAACCAATACAAATCATTTTACTTACCACATCTCCAGCAGAAGCTAGCACGACATTGTGAGCAATGCATCATGTCACAGCCTGAGATCCTCTCCACAGCCATGCGACACTTGGGACAGTACTGATAAGTTCCTTTTGCTTTCATCATGCGAATGAAAGATACATTGCTCATTTCTCTCCTGTGTTCCTCTTTTTGTCTTTGTTTTCTCCTGACAGCTGCATCTACTGTCTCTGTATTTTTCTTTTTTTGGGCTTTGTTGCTGCTTTTCTTTGATTTTTCTTCATCATCCATGTCAGAGTCCGACAATTCACTAAAACATGGTTTAGCAGGGTGCCATTGTTGGTGGCATTCAGTGCAAAATGCAAAGTAGCAATTTGCACAATGAGCAAGTCTGGAGGTTTCGTCTTCATCAATAACCACAGCCAGATTACATCGTGGGCAGTACACAATATCTCCCATGATGTCTAAGGTTTTGCTAAATAACAGTCTTTCCCATCGTTCAAGCTTCTCTGCATCAAGTACTTCTCGAAGAATCTCTGGTGGAATCCTTGACTTGCAATCATGGTTTGGACACAAGAGATTGAGAACTGTTCCACCTTCAACATGTAATTCACAATGTGCTTTCAGACATTCATTGCAGAAGTAGTGCTTGCATTCATCTAGATAGTGGAATTCTGTGCCACCTCTTTCATCAAAGCAAATTTCGCATGAGTGGGTTGTTTGTCGAAACTCTCGCTTTTGCATTTCAAAGTCATATTCAAAGATTGTTAGTAATGCAGTTTGCAAATTAGTACCAATTCTCCCCTTTTCTATCAACTTGTCATCTCTATAGCCATTCTCAGTTGCATACATGTGTGTTTGCAATTTCGATTCGATCATTATCCTTTCGTCCTCCTTCAACACCAAGTGTGGCCCCAAACCCAGATGTTGATACCCATAATTCTGTAACCAGTCCGCCCAGGTGAAGACTATCGGCATGTTTGGCGTTTCTGTCCACAGATTCATCAACTTCTCTTGCAGAACTTGGATCTGATCTTTAGAGAGCCACAAGCAACTCAGGGAAACCTCGGGCTGGCATTCTGCGGGGTAGAGCCGAGGAAATGTACATGTTAGACATATCGGGGTCAAGTGTAGGAGCTCAGCGGTCACACGCCAGTGTTGAAGCGACATGGACCTTGTAAAACCAGGTTTTCTGCGTCCAAGAAAAGCAGAGCCGCTCGGGGAAGACGAGTCGTTCCCAAGCCTACCCTCTTCCCCATCCACTGCACTCACTTCCGATCCGTTGATATGAGTTTCTGAATGACCTTCACTTTTGACCATAGCTTCACTTTCTTGGCTATTCTCGCCATGGCATCCGGATTCCATGTCCGAGTCACTTTCACTATTACAGGCTCTGACAGAACGTTCCTCAACAGCTATTGGAATCAAAGCTTCGAAGTCAATTCTCTCGAATGGGATGTTGACACTGACCATCAGATTAAAGCAAATGCTTCCCTCTCCACCACCATTGCGGATGATTTGGAGATCTTCTTGAAATATCGACTGAAGAACAGTGACTTCTTCCAGTTGTTCTTGGAGAACAGCTTCGTCAAGAACTTCCATACATTCAGCCATCTCGCCACGATCGATATCACCTCTGTCCTTTTGCAACAAAATCGTTTTTTTTAACTCATACCAAAAGTTTTAAACTCTTGTGATGTAGAAGATCCAAACCTTCCAGACAAAATGCCAAACTTGCGTTGTTGTGGTGCAATAGGGTCCGCCATGTTTTGTTTTTGTTTCTCTGTAGATCTCAAAGGATGCCGGGATATACGATGACAAGGTTAAATTCAGGAATATGGACTTAGGACTTGGTCGACTTCGGAACAGAACAAGCTATTTGATTAGGGGAAAATTAAGATTTTTAGCATGGTTTTCGTTTTCTTGGTCGGAAATTTCTTTGAAATATTTACAGTTTGGAATTAAAACTCAGAGGCTCGATCACAAAGAGAAGGCAAATCAAATTAAGAATACAAGTTATGATCACCGAAGCCTAAATGGGCTCCTGACATGATACCTACATAGTCTTTACTGGTCTCGAAGGTTTTTTCGATAGTCTTACTCCTCACGATAATTTTTCCTTTCGCAAGTAAAGAAAAATGAAGCCAACACTCCGACGGAAGTGTGGTATTTAGAGCACTCCGACAGAAGTGTGGTACCTTTTTCTGTCGACTCAACCTGGGTTTTCATTTAATTCTGGGTTCATGGACATAACAGTTGAGAAACTCAGACGAAGACCACTGTTTTTGTAATGCATTATTACGTACGGTATATCGGCTATTAAAAGAAGATGAACCACGTTTGATACGTATTCTGAAGGCGCTGTAATATTAGAACAGGGGCGCTTATTAGAATAGGGGCGCTTATAAGAATGGGGGCGCTTATTAGAATGGGGGCGCTTATTGGAATAGGGGTGCTTATTAACGAAAACACATTTGAAGGGGAGCGCTTATTCGAAAGGGGGCGCTTATTGGAAGGAGGGCGCTAAATCGAATCATTACGGTAGTTCACTAACTAAACTTCAGTTAAAAACCGATGCCGGCTGGAAATGAGGCACTTTATGAAAAGTCCCACGTCAATTCATGTACACGTCGTTTGTTAACACTTCACATTGTTAAATGTATGATTTATGGCCCACTCAGTTTCTATCTGCGCGCTGCTATTATTATTGTTTTGAGACTGAGGAGAGTTCATCGAAAGGGTCTGAGACTTCCGAATGAATCAATTAGATAACAGCCCCGCTAGGATGTGTGTAAAAAATTTCTCATGCTGAGCTTTTAAACGTAATCATATGGTAAAAAGTAACGTTAACTTTCCAGTAACGTGAGCTTCCGTCCTCCGATGATCTTCAAGTCTCACGACACACTCAAGCATAGATTTTCTGTCAATTTACTTGAGAATACGATGAGAATTATGCACTAAAAAACGTCTACAGGGGTGAGTTTAATTCAGAAAATTAATTGAATAGCCTTTAGTATCGGATAGATCTCTTGAATTACTTATATTTGATGAGGGTTATTAATGATCCATGAGGAAATTGTCCTTTGCGTGGAAGTCTTGGCTATTAAATTTGAATAGAACACTTAAGTTTACCTAAGAATAATCATTACGACAACGGAAAAACAAAGATCCATCAGTAAATGACAACTTGCAAGTAGAAAAAATATTTTCCCCACTGTTATGGCTCAACAGGGAACGGACACTATCGAAGATATACCGATTTACTTGAAATTTTTCCGGTAAAGATCATGTTCTCATCTACCGATAAAATTCATGGTACATTCAACCTTTAAGTGTTGCAGTTGTTAGAAAATAGCCGATGATGCAAATTAAACCCGCATAATGTTTATACACTAAGAACGATCAAAGCTGTCATAACTGTGTGCTTTGCAGCTGCAGTCAACAATTCAAGCTGTCACCTTACGTCATTGAAAAAACGCAATGCAGTCGATCACTTAAATGCCCGATATCTTTAGACTGATGTCTTCCGTCACAGCAAGGAAAGCTTCCATTCTCACCTATGATGTCAAGATTTACAATTAACACGATCACGTTCCAAAGTTTGGTTTCCTATTTGCCAACCTGCCAAAGAGACGGCTGCCATATTTGAGACAATAAATGATGACATCAAAGCTTGCTGAGTACAAAGTGCGCCCGTCTCGGCTGGATAGCAAGTAAATAGAGTTTTATAATGGCCTTGGGTGTTATGTGAATGACACTCTGTGAAAGCCAAACAGATTCTGATTCAGTTTTGACAACGCATAGGGAGTGTATGTGCATGGTTTGGTCTTCCTTTATTGGATGTCTAACTAGTGGAGATATCCACAATCTTCATTTGATTCAAAATAGCAACTACTTAACAAACAAAAGCTACCAGAAAGTGGTTCCACATATCCGGAAAACGTGGGGTGTTCGGATTGTCTGGGAGATATATTTCAAAGACGAGAAGGTAAACCAAGCATACACTTTATAGAACAAAGTTTATTTCCTTTCGGCCATGTGTTGTTAGTTTTTCCTGAATTATGTATGAAGAACAAGGGCCAAATTTATCGCAGAATGATATTACATCAGTTGAAATCTTTTGATTGCTCATCAACGGGACCCGTTGTCATTAGATGTGAAGTTTCAAATCTGTGTGTGCACTCTTAGCCCTACAGCTTTAAAGATCTTTACCTCCAAACTATGAAGTTGAAAAATTCTATATGCATGTGTAACCGGTTGATTCCTGAATAATTTTTCATCAAACAACAGATGGTTAATTCGCACGCATTGTATTAAAGATAGTTATGGCTTTGTATTTCCCATTGTAACTAGAGTTGTTCAAATGTGCATTATTTGACAATGCAATGACAATATATGAAACAGCGAAAAGAAATTAATGAAATAGAAAGGATGCAATTATATAATTTTCTTCCCTTGATTGTCTCGTGCTTAATATTTCGAAGTATGGAGAGAGACAGTTCTTTCGATGGTAAATTTAACGTAGTTTTTCTCACATTTGATTATTTTCATCTCATATTTTTTTATTATCAAACTGGTACAGAACTCAGTTAAATTAAACTTTTCGTCGAATTTGGCGAAATTCGATTTTCAAATTGTTTTTCGTCGCTGCGGAACGTACCTTTTGCGAGTTAACGAATTTTACATTTTAAAAGCTGTGTGAAATTCTTTTTTGTGTGTGAGCGGAAGGGTAACGTGATAATTCTTTTGATCATTAAGGAAAATATTGAAGCTCTAACATTTCAGTACCATGAATTAATTTTAGAAATTAGCATCAGTTGATTAAAAGGCAAGATATACAGTCGTACTGAACACCCATTTCCGTTGTTATTTATAGTTCTTGGTAATCTTCTCTTGCTGTTATCGTGCTGTGGAAGATTTAATTGATAAACTGAGCCAAACTGTATATCCTTAGCAGCGACTAATTCTTGTCGTGTAGCTTGAGGAAAATATGAGCCTAGATGAATTTAAACTTTTGTTTCAAGTTTTCAAAAAGGAAACATCTTTACTGTGTCAATGTCCCTTCTTTAATTATATATAACGCAGTTGCGTGTGTCCGTCAGAATTACACTAACCATTTTGTTTAAGACTTCCTGTTTTCTATTAGTTTTTATCTCGTTGCTTATGTCGCTATAAGTAGCTATGCAAAGCATTATTTAATGTTTTGACAGCCTCATTGTAGCCTGGTTGGTTGGGACATTACAAAGGGATCGAATAATTGGAATCAGGATTTAAAAATTGTCTCTAACGTATATTTAAGTCCCCAGCAACGACAGAGGCGCTAAAGCTAAGATTAAAACCTGAATTAGAGTTATTTCAATCAGGTTTGTATTACACGATAATCAAAGTAAACAAATAGTCAAATTCATTTTCCGTATTTCTTGCAGACTGAGTAATTTTGAGAGTTAAATCCTTTATCAAGGATCAGTTGTAATTTGCAATGTTTTCATGTTTCGGTTTGTATTTGAGTAGCTCTCCATAAAATAATTTCAAATACATTGTACCAAAGAAAATGCTTGAAATGAGGGTTTTGTTACTATAGCATAAGGTTTTTATTAATGTACCTGGAATAGTATTGAAAATGAAGCTACCTTGAAAGAATTAACCGTACAAAAGTTATTAACAGAAGGAATTTTGGAAATACATTGCTCTTAGCAAACAAAGAGCGCGGACTTTGATCTCTTACAGATTTATCCCGCCGAGCCGAATTTTTTCTTTCTTTTCATTTCATAAACTTTTGTCGTGTTTTACTTGTAATTATTCAATGTGTCTTATGGTCAAATTTAGTATGTGGCATTGCTCCATTTTTTCATTTAATCTTAAATAATTAAAAAACAGAGACTAATAAAATGAAGATGGCCATTGTCGGCTTGACATGCTATTGCCAAAAAGCATTACCCCGGCTCCAGTCGCATTTTCTCAATGTAAACGTTTGGCAGAAGCAGGTATAATGATAAAAAACGCTCACTACAGAGACGAATATACAGAGAAACCCATGAAGTCTCGTGAAGGCGCTGGGAGCCAAAGATGTAATTTCTAATGCTGATTTGGTCCTAGTAAGAAATCAGATTCCAAACGACATATATGTGGACAAACTTTCTACCTTCTTTGTAATAGTATTTAAGCAAGATCTACCACTAGAGGATAATCCTAATTTTTAGATTAGGAAGATTCCGATAATCTTATTTTTTTCTCATCCCCGGCGTAATTACCTATGATTTTTAACTTGACATAATTGTTCCTAATTCATTTGCAGGCGATTCACCTGCCTCTTTTCTCAACGTTTAGTTTATGGGAAACACAGAGTTGTGCTGATTTTCTTCGTATGAAAAACGTTTGCTGAAGACAAAGAAATGGCTAGGTATACCGAGTAAAACTGTTGATCTTAAACAACGCTATCTCAACTTGGAATACAGACAAGTTAAGTGAAAGGAATGATTTTAACGACCAACCCTTCTGTCGGCAATAAGGCCCGGCGGGATGTCAAGGAACATAACAGGAAGTTTCATAATACCAAATAAAGGATTGAAATACATTGTACTGCGCAAATGTTTATAACTATCCTTCAAACCGCGTGGCTTTGATCATTTGCGCTCCTGTGGTTAATTCGAATTTTGGTGAGTGAATTTCTGTACTCCGACAACTTCAAACTGTTTCCTGCTGCGACACAGCTTTTGTGTGAAAATTGTAATTTAAGGAGGATTGTTCCATAGTTAAAATTGAAATAATACGTTTATCAGTGTCTCGTTGACGTTTGACGGCATCTGAAAACCCCAAGTGATCAGAAATATCAGACGTTTGCTTTCAGCTTGCAGTGTTTGGATGATCGAACTACGGATTTCGCAGGTGAATGAAGGTAATTAAGAAAACAAGAAAACTGACAAAGTGCTACACAACTGAATCGTCAACGATTCCTCACGCCAAATAACCCAACGCAAGCGGTGAAAACGCATTTAATTCGTGAAGTGAGGGAACAACTTTTTCTACTGGTTGATCTGACTCATTGATCTGCCTTACAGAATCATCACACAATTCAAGATATTTATTACTCTCGATCAGTTTACAACAGCTGCCGAGACCTACAAAGAGTCTACATTGTATGAGGTAACAAACAATGTTTTTTGAAGGTTACTGGTTTCACACAAATCTCACAAGCATGTTATTTTACGTGGTCATTTCGTTATGTACAATCTTTGGTAACGTGCTCGTTTGCACGGCGTTCATAAAGGACCCGTATCGTCAGCTACGAACACTGCAAAATTATTACATCGTAAGCTTGGGGATTTCCGATCTTTTAATGGGGATAGCCGCCGAAACTGTGCTCATTGGTACTTATTGGAACGACAGCGAACCGGTGTTTCTCGCTCATTATCTCTTCGCTATCATTTCGGGAGTATCCTCTTTGTTGAACATGGCTGCACTGTCCATCCATCGTTACTTCTGCGTCAAAAGGCCCTTGAATTTCCAAGAGGTGATGTCGCGTCGACGGATTTTAGTTTCCATAGCGATAATATGGACTTACGCAGCCCATTTCTCAGTTCTGCCGCTATTGGGTTGGGTGAATTCCTATTTCCAGATTTATTTGTATGGATTGGGCTGTTTTTTACCAAGTGTGGTTGTTTTCTTGGCTTACGGCGGGATTTTTAAATCAATTCGCGCACATACGCAGACTCTCAAGCAGGGTCCTTCGATTGGGAATGCTGCGTTGAAAAACGCCGTTGCCAGAGAGAAATCCACGACGAAGACGATGCTCATAGTTTTGGTGGTATTCTTTTCGTTCTGGTTTCCATTCCTTCTCGTTGACTCAATTATGGTTCAATGTACCAAATGCAGAACGTTTGCGTTTCATGTTACGCGCGACGTTACGCTGACTTTAACGTACTTCAGTTCATGTGTGAATCCTCTTCTTTACGCATGGAGAGTCACGCAGTTCCGCAGGGCATTTGCTCGCTTGCTCAGGCTGCACAAAATTATGCTGAGGAGAAGCAACATGGTTTATCCAATAGCACTGGCGACGTTTAGATCGAAAACAGAAGCTGATCGTGATAGATCTTTTTACACAAATGCATTGTAATCTACTCAAGTTCATGTGTTCGCTTCGTTTTACTTCCCTTATTTCGTTGTAAGTCCAAACTTACAAGAGATATATTTTGAGAGTGTTGTGCTACCGGCTACTTGTTTTTACAGAGGAGATAGACCTCAGTAAGGAAAATTCCACCCATTTCTATAGCAGTAAGTCAAGACAAATCTCTTTCCCAAAGTCTTCCTCCGCTGAGACTTCGTTTCGTTCTAGACGAATTCAAAAGGTCCGGAAACGAGAATAAATCACAACAATATTACCGTTTGTTAGCTGCGCCATATTCGTTGTATCGTACCTTGTCGTTAGGCATGTATAAACCAACCTTGCTTGAACAAGTACTGGAGAACTAGAAGAAATTTCTCTGTATATAGCCGGCTCACAGTCATCACCTTACCTTACATCTTAATTGTGCATTCGAACAGTGACTGTAAAATTCAAGAAAAAGACTAAGCTTTTTTAGTAGTCGGAAATCTACACTTCTGTGTTTTCTGGAAGATGAGACAAGCCCAAGTTTGTAAAAATAGCCAGCACTGAAGTCTTCCTTACATGGTAAGGAATGTCTTTTGTTTGAGGTGATTCCTTACTATCGCAACGCACATCCTGTTCTCCGCATAACAGTGGTCGCAAACGGCTGAACTCAGGACTCTCGCTCCGAAAAGTATGGTATAGCCTACTTAAGTCGAAGAAATTTCTGATTACTCCTAAACAATCTCCGTGACTCATCTTTTCCTTTTTCATTAAACACTTGAGAGGAAAAACTGTAGGGAAATAAAGATAATGTGGAATTTAAATAATTGCGCGACCTTAACTTTTAGGGGAGTGCAGGAACACCATGCAATCAAACCGTAAAAACTAATATAAGACCCCATTTTTATTTAAATATTAAAGGAGAAATGTAGTCCACAAACCGTATAACTTTTATGTCAATCATTAAATAGAGTATGGAAATTATGTTAAGCCTGGTTTTCACTAACGAAACAAGCACAGGCACAAGCAAACACAACAGCTTATATATCACTGTGAAAACGGCTTTGACATAACCATAAAGACAAGCACTAAAAGGAGAGTCAGAATTTTTCCTTTTTCTTGCGTTAGAGCTTGTGCTTGTCGACGTTCGTTTTACCTTAAGCATGTGTTTGTGCTTACGTTTGTGCTTTCTTCGCCGTAAAAACCAGGCTTTACTGACCACGGTTTGAGACTCTAACAACTCATCTTACCTATTCAAACTTGTCTTTGAAATGTGCCAACTTTCGACTTTGGAGGCCGCCATTATGAATCCTGCCTAGCAACCTGGCCCCTTACCTGTAACATAAGCAAGTCTCACTCCTCTTTCTTCCATCTCTTAGCGTTTGATCGAAACAATTAATCACAGCAATTGAAGTCATTTTTGACTCAAATAAGGATTTTATTTTTGCTCACCACTGCTATGCGTGCGCGGCTAGCTAATACTGAGTTGGGGTTTAGATGGTACCGTCCAAAGTCGATTTTCAGCATATTTGGAAACAATCTTTGAATGGTTTGGTTACTCTTCGGGATCTCAAATTTCTGACAGTGGATCATTAAATTTATCGACGGGCCGTTGTCAAAAAAAAGTTTTATCTTTATAGATTTTTATCAATGAAATATTTTACTTCTCCCAACTGCACGAAACAATTCGCTACGATGTATTATCTTTATAAAGTTTTATCTTTATAGATTTTTATCAATGAAATATTTTACTTCTCCCAACTGCACGAAACAATTCGCTACGATGTATTTTGGGTTCACGACATATATAAGTGGGAAAAGAAAAGATCTTTCGATTCTAGGTCCGGAGAATAAAAGCCTTCGACACACGTAAAATCACTCCTAGAATACTTTTAAATGATTGCTTTCAAAATTGGAGCACACTTTTTGATTTGATTGCACTAGATCTCAGAATTAGTTTGCTTGTTTCCTTTTCCACAGTGTTAACATCGTGAAATGTTGCTACATGCATGTGCAGTAGAAGAAGCTGAGTAAATGAATATTTCTACCAGTCGGTACGAATTACAGATACAAGACATGAATACTTGACATCAGGGGCATAAGATGCTGAACAGGCATGCACAATAGGCACCACTTTAGCTCTTCGAATCCTAGATGATTATCCCTCTCGTTTGGATATAAACACACGACCAATTAGGACGTTAAATCTAAAAAAAAATTTAAAAAGGTATTTGAAACTTCTAGTTTATGTAAATATCTGTTTCAGCGCCATTAGCCAGATAAGTTGAATGATGTGATACGCGTACGGCTCGGCCTCGCACGTTGGTTGTCATTGTAAAAAGCTGAGCACCCACCAAGATGATACAATCAATACAACTTAAGAATCTTCTTTACCCTGCATTTTCCTTTTAGACCTGCACAGGATGGAAGGCGTCTGGCTCGTTGCTTTTTCTCAAATTTTATCTTTATTTAAATAGTTTTCATTTGGTACTTAACTTCGACAGACTATTTTGTGTTGCCACCGGAAACTCGATGCCTTAACTCATCACACTCATACCTTATGATGATCTTAAATGGCAAGGTAAATGTTAGGTATATTACGAAATATCTTCGGCACCGATCACACAAGGAACTTTCACTTTTTTGTCTTTTCATCACTTGCGTTTGTTTAACTTGTTTTCTAGTCAAACGGCTTTTCTCTTGACCAACGCATTTAATAACAGCTTTCATCAACACTATCGTAATTTTCCTAGCATCAAAGGCTGCGCGCTTAACAACAGCATACTATTTTCAATTGCCATGTACATTGGGCTTCGCGACTATGTCGAAAGTTGATATCAGATTTCTGCTGTTTGTTACATAATTCACAGAGATTTGTTAAATACACCGTTAAAAAAAGGAAAAAATATTGCACCTGTCTCTATCGTGTGATTCTCAATGCGAAACAAAAGAGTAGAATGTTTTTTTTTTTTTGGTCTGGAGCCTCCCAGGAAATGACATAAAAACTCTCTAATCGACTGTTCATAAGATATCTTGGGTTTTGTTTTGAAAAAAAAAAAGTCTAACTCAACTCTAATGCTTCATTAACGCGACCTACACTGACATCATCTGATTCTGATTTCACGCCTAAATCCGTTGTCCTAGTTTTTTTGTCAGAGCTGTCAACACGGAAACGTAGGGAAGCCTCAGATGTGGAGATCCTCTTCCAAAAACAAACGCTCCTTTCTATAGGCTTTTGAAGACCCAGTACACGGATAAACGCCCTTCGGAACGTCTTAACCCGCCAGGCATATATTAGCGGATTTATCCCGCTACTGAAATAAACAAGCGAAAGAGTAATATCCCGAGCCAGATGAAATTTAGCGGTTCTGCAGTTAGGACATTGAACAATGGCGAAGTCTATGATCAAAAAAGGAATCCATAGACTCAGAAATACGACAAGGACCAGCAAAACTGTTCGTGTCGCCGCTCTTTCTGTACGCAGAGCGTTACTGAGAGCCAGACTTTTCCCCTGTTCCAGATGCTTTAACGAAATTGTATGGCGATGTAGCGTGCGGTATACCAGAAAATAAGCCACAAGAAAGACTATAGTAGGGATAATGCAACCGCAAACATACAAATACAGCTGAAATGCTTTTTCTCTCCATCCAAGAACGAGAAGCATGGGATAGTGTATGGCTGTTACCCACATAACACCAATACTTATCAACACGCTCCGTTTGTTAACGATGCTCTGCGTTTGAAAGGGCTGCTTCACGGCAAAATAGCGGATTATAGAGAGCGCTGTGATGTTCAGTAAAGAACACGATGCGGAGATGATAGCGAACAAATAATGAATGAAATATATAAGGCTGTGACTATTCCAGTAAGTTACCACCATCAGAGGTTCTGAAATAACGCCCATGATAAGATCAGCGATTCCCAAATTGAGAATATAGTAATTCTGCACAGTCCTTAGTTCACCGAAGGGATCTTTATAAAATGCCACACAGAGAAGCAAATTCGCGAAGACCGTGAACGACGATACGATGGCATAAACTATCATCACCGTCAAACTAGTGTTGACCCAGTACTTGTCAAAAAAGACCGTGTATGAGGAAGACATGTCTTGCGATCTTGCCGCAATTTCGTTAATACAGAAAATTGTTACCCTTCGGAAAATCTTTCCTTGCTTTCTGACTCAATAAAAAAACATCAAAGGACGGCTTCGATCCAAAAGTTATTTTCCAGTGATTCAGCTTCACCTTTTCCGGTATATTTTATGCTCTGCTCGCCAGGAAGTTATCGGCAAAGATTCTCAGAAACCCACAAGTCACAATAAAATCTTTGAAGCTCTTCTATTCGCTCTTATCACAGCATTTATCCACCTAAAAACTTGTTTCAAAAAATGCGTCCTGCTGGGTTACCTTCTCAAAAAAGAGGGGACTGCAATTTTTTTTTGGAACCGACCTCACGTATTGCTTGTTAAAATGATATTTTGCGGGGTGTTGGTTTTACTCATATTCTTTAGAAAATTGGGAGGAATTAAACACCAATTTGCTCTATTTTTAATTGTCTTTCGAGAGTCTTCCATGGGAAATTAGAAAATGCTTTTAAGGGGCAACACATTAAGTTTCGCTGAAATGGAATCACGTTTTGTTTTCTAAATATGGCGGATGACTTTACCCCCTCGATGTAAATTTGCATGAGAACAAGACAAATTTGTTTAAAGAAGATAGTTTAGTCGATGATGTTCTTTCGTAACTCTCGTAATTGTCCCAACTTATTGAAATGCCGTTGACAGGGAATTGTTCACAACTCAGACTTGAGATTCACTGGTGCAGTCACCGAAATGAACATTCTTCAGTGGTGAGGTTGGTTTAATCTCAGCGAAAATGCTCACAGCATTTTTAAACTAATTTGACTACCGTCAGACTTGAAGGCGTCGTTTTCTTCTAGTAAATCAAAATATTCAAATTATCGCCAATAAATGGTCAAAATACGACTCTAGATTAATGCATAAGTCATCACCGCCTTTTGTAAAAAAGGCTAGTGTTTTAACCAGCTGCTGCGTCATTAAGAAAGAAAACATTAAGAGTCTGACTGCCATCCACTGGCTGACCAGGCCTCTTTGTTGTACTCGCCACGCAATCAGTTAAAACGACTTTATAAACAATATGCAGCATGAGTCTCCGTTACCTCAGTCAAAGCCCAGCCAGTTGCTTTTTATTATCATTGCTATTATTATTATTATTATTATTATTTGTGCTGGCTGATGAATGATTGAAATGAACAGAAATTGTAACATCTTATCACGACGTTAGCGGGCTGTTTGGCAGCTTGTGTTCAATGTTAATTATTTATCGCCTGAGAGAAGGGGAAGATGTATGGAGGATTTTGTTGCGTTACGATAAACTTTACTACCTGATCCCCCTAGGTGGCTCTGCCAAGTTCTATATATATGACTCCCCCCCTGTCATTGGTAGTAATTGGCACTCAATTTTCTACAGTTCCCTCCTCACACTCTCTCGACGACGATAGACCCCCCCCCCCTTCGTGCCTACGGAAAATCCATGTAAACCCCCTCCCCTAAGATCCTCCACCCTCTCCTCCTCTGACGAAAATGATGAATGGTGCGTGGTAAATAAATGAGCTGAATGTCCGCTGAGGGCCTAGGGATGACTGATCACAACTTGTCCGAGAACCTGGTTGCGTGTCAGTTATAGCCGAAGAACCTTGTTTCTCACCATCAAATTACCAAATGAATATTCTTGTCTGGGTTTAAGGAGATAGGGGGTGATAAAATGAAAATTCTGCCTGTTTCTGGGTCATTCTACAGCAGTTTGAGCAACTGTTAGAAATGTCAGGTTATATCATTTATGGCATGATTCTTAAGCTGGTTAGGTAACGTAAACAGAGTTCCATTTCCCCGAGATCTTTGTGGCGTTTATAGTTTCACTTGTCGAATGGTTGGTCAGTCGATGATTAAAAAGAGTTTTTTTCGGGCTTGATGCCCTTCGTTGTTTGAAATAAGAGTTATAAAAGTATGATATCCACGGTGAAAATACGTTTGTACTCGTTGGCGAAATTGAAATTCAAAAAAGTTATATTTAAGCTTTGGTTGTGACCTTAATCCTTTCCTCTGTAACATCAATGGGCAAATTCTCCCTACTGTTCCCTATACATTTCCCAGGGTGCTGAAAAGGAAAATTTTTTCACAAGTTAAGAATTTTTTTAGTTGGTGATCATTTCCTTTATTCCCATGACTTTAATGTGTGATTCCGGGGATAAAATTGTAAGGAGAAATTAGATACTAGTCATTCTTGGGGGTTAGGGAGTTAATAGCTTGATTTAATGCTTGGCGCCATGGTGATGTAATGATAGGTCGAACTAAGGTCAGTTGCGCAACAAGAAATAGAAACGACAGAGAAGCCTGAATTGCTGGTTTTGTGGCGCTGAGATTTTGGTTATTAGGAGTGATACTTCTTTTGTCAAACTTGGCAGCAGTCTGAGGTGTCGGAGAGTTACCGAAAAGCTTCTTGTGTAAACGCTCTAAAGACCCAATAAGCAGAATCTCCAAATAACACGGTAACGCGCCGGGTTTCTCGAGGCTTTTCTTCGTTGAATAGGCTGGACAATTCCGGACTCTTTATAGCAATTTATCACCGTTATTAATTTATGGTTGATCTGGCCAACCAATTATTTCTCATGCCAGCCGACGCATCACACGGTTTCTTTAGAAACTAATTATCTGGTCCAGTAAATCATGGACTGAAGAAAGACGTTACGAAGAGTGCGACAACTCTTTTGAGCAGACAATCGTTGACAGCTTTCTGTCTCAAGGCAGGAAATAATAAACTGTAATGTCTGCAATGCTAATGTAAAGTAATTGATCGACTTAATGTACGAGTGCACCTCACTCGTTTCGTTTTAATTGTATAAGCGTTTTCCTCTAAAAATGAAAGGTATGCTTTTCGCTTTGATTATATAACAAATTCAGAGGTTACAATATTCCTTGATGGATCAATTTTTGTTCATTTTCTATGGCTAGAAACTGATGTTTTTCCCTCTGAAGAAATGCAGTCAACTGAAGGTCTCATATTACACTAGTCCATGATGGTCTCTTTTCCAAGACAGCTTCTTTCCTCTGGATTTCCCCAAGATGGCTTTGGTTTGTGAAGAGAAAGAAAGCATCTCTGAACTCTGAACTCTAAACATAATGATTTGAGCCTCTTTTAGGTCAAAATTTTTGGAGATCACCTAAGAAGTGACTGCTCAACAAAAAACATTGATTTCCACATGTTCCACATGTTCAAAAGTATTATTCGCTTGGGTCTATTTCTTGAGTTATTTGACCACTTATGGAGTCTATATCTTCTAACTTCAAACTTGGACTGTTTATTTCCAAACGTCCTTCTCTCTTAATTCTGATGAAACTAACGGTCGTTGACTGATAATTACGATTGGTGTTGGGAAGTCTATTCCACAATGTATCGTGCGAGGAAAATGGTTTCGTTATGCCCAGTACACGCAGAAAAGCTCTCCTGAACGTATTCACCCGCCACGCGTAAATTACGGGATTTATCCCACTGCTGAAATAAACCAGCGAGAGGGTAACATCTCTCGCAAGATGAAACTGTTCGTCTCTGCAAGTTATGCAATGAACGATAATAAAGTCTATGATCAAAAAAGGAATCCACATGCTTAAAAAAGCCACAAGAACTATCAAAACTGTTCGCGTTGCTGCTTTTTCGGTACGGAGAGCGTTGCTAAGAGCCAAACTTTTTCCCTCTCCGAGCTGCTTCAGCGAGATACTGTGACGACGCAGTGTCTTGTATACCAGAAAATAAGCCCCGGTAAAAATTATAGTGGGAATAATACAAGCAAAAACATACAAATAAAGCTGAAACATGTCATTCCTCCATCCAAGCAAGAGTAATATGGGATAATGAAAAGCTGTTACCCACATAAAGCCGATTCCAATCATCACGCTACGCTCACTAACAATACTTTGCGTCTGAAAGGGCTGCTTTACAGCATAGTAACGGACTATAGACAGCGCCGTGATGTTCATTAGAGAGCAAGTGCCAGCAAGAACGGCGAACAGGTAATGAATGAAGTATATCAGGTTGTTATCATACCAATACGTGACCACTAACAATGGCTCTGAAATGACGCCCATAACAAGATCTGCGATAGCCAGATTTAGAATAAAGTAGTTTTGAGCTGTTCTCAATTCGCCGAAGGGATCTTTCCAGAAGGCCACACAAAGAAGCAGATTAGCAAAGATAGTGAACGCGGAAACGACGGCGTACACGATTATACTAGGAAGACTTGTTTTGAACCAGTAGTCGTCGAAAAATACTGTGTACGATGAAGACATTTTCTGTCAAACTTTAAAAATGAAAGCACATTATCACTGTAAAGTTAAACAGTTCAGGATTTTTTTTCTCTGGGCAAAACGGCCTTCTCTTTATCACCGTAAACTGAAGCATTTGTGCTTTACTCGGCGAATTTGTGGCAAGCCGAAAACTTTCCGTAATTTATGCGCTCTCCCACAAAGTCAATCCAATTTACAAATTGTTTGTTTAGTTTGACATACTAGTTAGATCATTCATTTACCTTTGGAACATTTTAATTAGGGATGATTGCAGTGTCTTTGGTAAGCAGTGAAAATTAATCAGTCGCAACTCTTTGCAGACTTCATTTTGTAATTTCATTACCCGGGAAATGGTTTTTTGTGAAGAGAATTCTTTGTTACTCCTGCATTCGATCGCGAGTGCATGTTATTGTTTTAATAAAATACAGCTTATCCTTTTTGGCATCTACAAAAGCTGTGGAGCAGGTGAATAGGAAGATTTAAATAACAAAAAGATGTTTTGAGTCTTAAGGTGTGAAATTATTTATTAATCGTTACATCCTGACACTTTCGGAGAAGGTTAACTGCGTTTAAATTAAAATACTGCAACAGCTGAATAAAGTAAAAACACATTAATCACATTTAGTTACATAGTGTATTCCTGTCTAATAAATATATAGTCAAAGCAGACTCCTCGAGCGATTGGTTTCACTTAACCAGCGTATGAAGCTATTCTCCTTGCTTTTTTGAACTGCTCAGCAGTATATCAGAAGGCTCCGTTTGAGCAAAAAAAAAACCCTTCGTTTCCGTTCTGATTTTAGGCGATTTCTTGAGGGTAAAGCCTAGATAAGTGTACGGTAAGTGTTTCGTTTATTCTGTTTATTGCAGTCGATTGTTTTTCTCAGAGTGTACGCCCGTCCAATGATCAATACGATCATTTACCCAGTCATCATATGCAAGCCTTGTCATAAAGAATGAAATCCACTCAGTTCGCGTGAATGTGTCTCAATACACACCTTACCACTACTCCGCCTAGCTGAATTAGTGCCAACACTCATGATCAATCGCTCTATAACCACACATTTAAATCTATCATTCTCAAAAACTTTAAATTACTTCAAATTGATTCAGAGACTGACTCTATCTTTTCGCAACCTCCACTAATTTCATTCAAACGCGACAAATTCATGGGCAAAACTAGACAGAACTTCATTACAAATTAACTAATGATCAACCTGGAACTTTCAAATGCCCCTGCGCACGATGCGAACCTTATCCTTTCATTCATAACGTAAAGGAAATGTTGGGACCCAAGAGATCTATTAAGACTGAGTGATCAATTCACGAACACCTCCGCCAATGTCATCTGTTGCATAACTTATACAAAAAGCTATACATTAGTAAAACAGAAAGACGATAGGGTGACCAATTCCAAGAACACCTTCGCGACGTAGAAAGGAACGATTAGGACGCATCCAAACTAGTCGCTAGTCATTTTAGTCTCCCTAATTATTCTAGGCTGCATATGGCATACGGTGACAAATTTTTATTGTCAACTCAGTTGGTAAAACCTAATTATCTTATGCCAAAATTATAATTTTCGATGTTCAAAATTTATCATAATGATAAAAATTTTCAAAGCTAGAAGTAAATATGGTTTAGGTAGAAAGCGCTGGAAATTTAAACTTATTATTTCAAAGAAATGTTTGTCTGATACTCTTGTTTACGTACACGGACGTTTGCCAGGAGCCTACTACTTGGCTTCTGTGTTTGCTTAGAGCAAGAGTTACTGCTTTTTCGTCGCTCAACGACAAAGCCACGGGGAATAAGGGAATGCTGTTATTGTGTGTAAACTAACTTTTTGCAAGATTTTTCCGTAACGCTGTCATTTTTCTACCCATGCTCCAGCAATATACAATACAAAACGAGCTTCAAGATTTACAAACGTCTATCGATGCTGATCTAAAACCTAACGCCGTTTAACGCAGCACCCTTATCTGATAGATGGTTAGTGCCCAGGCCCTAAGCTCCAAGGGTCGGACTGACACTTTCAGCGTGAGGTTTCCTACAACAAGATCCTTTAAGCGTAACTGGACGCGTTTCTCAAAAGTCCTGGCAACTTAACAGACCTGAAGCCACTGAGGGGAGGAGCAATGCTCGTCTTAGTTCAAAATCCAGTAATTTTTTTTTTCGTTTCCTGGTATTCTCACTGTATGAATTGAAATATTTTTATCTTCTCGATCTAGAGAGTGAGAAGGCCAATCCAAAAGCAGTTCTTCGGAATCAGAGACTGACAAAGCTTTCGGCGAGAAACGCACACTAACTTATAATAAAAGTCGCCGCGACCCATCTTATCGCTGCGTCATGTGCGAATGGATAGAGCTCTAAGTGCCGTAGCGAGACCATTCTCTTATAGTCTGCCAACACGTGCGGGAAAAAAAATTGCCCAATTATATTATTTCCATCCTTTTTGTTATATATATATCTCTCTCTCTTAGATCTATAAAATGAGTCGTAAAATGGTAAACATATAGTAACTGTAGTCTGCATGCATTAGTATATGCTAGAACATCGAATAGCGTCGAAGGAGCCCTCTGATTGGCTACTCCCTGGAAAACCTATTCATCTCCGGGTAACTCGCGCCCAAATATATCGTAATCTTTGCAAGAATAATGATTTAAATTGTCTGGTTGTGCTCTACAATCTCACTGCTTTCATATACATATACTAAAGCCTATTCACCTCAGTGTGGGTGGCTAGTGATGGATAATTACCTTGCCACTTTACATATTCACCTTTAGCCACCTCCACTTCGGTCAATAGTTGTTTAATTTGTTGAAAGGTGTCGTATTTTTTTCTTAATTGAAATTTTAATAAAATTTTATCTAGGTAGGTGCGTTATTGAGCTATGACTTTTTCCTTCAAAGCTCGATGGGGGTTTGTATTGATTCTTCCGTTAAGTAACGGTTTTAATCCGTTCCCCCCCCCTGAAAACCATGTGATTCCCCTTCCCACCCCCCCAACCGAAAAAAAAATCCTTCACTCCTCCAGGCGATAAATAATGTTGGAACATCGTTTCAGTAGTTCTTCTAGCAATGAAGGCATAAATGATCACGGGTAGGCTAGACCATACCATGGGAGTCTCCCTTTCTTCACTTAATGTCCTCCGGCAAAACGGTAATTTCATAAAAAGACGCTTCAAACGGCCCATGAAGAAGAAAAAATACCACAAATGAGTCGATTAACATTTGATTTAACTTTTTTGGGATATTCAGACCGAGATTTAATTTCGATATGCAAATTTCAGAGCTTTACTCATAACCCTCGTGAATTTTGTTCGTCTCATGTCGACAATTATTAACCACGAACGCATTATGTGGTCTGCATATAAAAAGATGGTTAGAAATTCGGCAATCTTCAGATACACCTCGATTTGCAGTCCGTCTGGTAGCATTCAGACCTATTGATGTTGTTGTGGTTGTTTTCGGGCCATAGGTTCGAAATTTTTAAAGAAACTTTTGTATAATATGGTTAGTCATTTACCCAAATCAATTCTGGTCAGCTGAGGCGGATCCAGTTGAGGGGGGAGGCAGGGTTCGGGTGGTTTGGTTTAACCCCCTTGACTGAAATGGGACACGTCTAAACACGTACGATTTCTGACGATAAACTTCAATAGACATGTTTGAAAAAAACCACAAAATAGAGATTGTTTCATCCCTTTAAACGCTGAAAAACTGAAAACCCTTTCGATCCCCTTTGGGACATTTCTTAGAACCTCCCTTCTCTAAATCCTACTTAGGCCCCAGGTTATTCAAACTCAAGGCTTGGCAAGGAAAGGAGGGGGGAGGGAGAGTTGGTCAATTTGCATAGGACCCCGTCATTGTTAAGAAAAAAAATTATATTTGTAATATGCTCCAGTGTGTCGTTTCTCGTTCAGCTGGCGGTTTCCTTGTGGGCGTACCAACTCATCTGACAGTTCCTTTATATTTTTAGTTGCCTAAAATGTTCCTATAATTATCATTTTTGTTGTTGTTATTTTTTTTGCAAGAAAACACAACGGGATCATACTTACCAAGTATTTAAGTTAATTTTTCTCAGGGATTTCAAGTTTTTACATTTTGTGGGTGTCCAAGACATGCGTCCGATGTGAAAAAAAAAATATCCGCTTTCAGTATTTTAACACTGGTTGTGTGGGCGAAGGGAAGGAAAAAAAGAGCACTATTCTGCATGAAAATTTTTAAAGTAACAATATTCACATTCACCCGGTCAACGCGAATGGAATTCAACAAAAACTTCCCTTTGCAGAGGCAAATCTACAATTTATCATCAGCTCAGTGTCCTAACCCTTCATACCCTAACGTCAGAATGCACATTTTTCAGACTGTTCTCTCACATTTCCTAAGCTGATAAGGAGAATTTTGTTTTTCACAATCAAGACTTTCTTTAGTGGGTAATCATTCCCTTTATTCTCGTGACATTAATGTGTAATTCAGGGGTGATACTGCAAGGAGAAATTACACGCTAGTTAAAAGGGAAAAAAATTTTAACTGCGTACATTAATCCGTGTATAAACGAGCAAATCATGGTAAAGCGGTATAAACAGAGACTGACTTGTTTCTCTTTAACAAAGTGGATAATTTACTTCCTGCTAAGAACTTTACTTCCTGCTAAGAAAAAAAATTCAAAAAAAATTTAAGAAAAAATATCCAAATATGAAGTTCCTGTTATATTTTTTCCCCTTACGCTATGGGTTGCTCTCTTTCTTGTTCCGATTTGATGAGTGAGTGGGCGTGAGTCCAGGAGAGGAAGTTCCAATCAACTTCCCTCCTGTGTTGATATTCGCCAGTGGACAAGAGAAGGGATTTTTTTCATTAACGGTCTATTGAAAATAAGAATTAAAATTTCAATACAGGATGCGTAATCACCTATCTTTACAATATATCCAGCATTAATTTTCTCCACGGAAAAGAATGAGCTTTTGCGCAAATCCATGATAAAAGTGTCAGTTTTCGGGTGCAAATCAACCTTCCTCATGATTACAGATATGAATAAAAAAGAGTTGCCTTGAATTGATCGAACTAAGTTTTTATGATAAATTTACAATTGTTTCTAGCTAGAGCAAAGGGCTAATTTGCACTCTATACGTGCCTAAGTTTGCGCATGTCGGACAGCATGCTGGGAACAGGGATTTTTAGACTTTTACTGCAGGGTGCGTCAGCCTCGGTACCGCGTTGTAGACGAAACGGAAGCTGACTCAAATATGGCGGCACCTTTACCGCCTGAAGTCGTTCGGGGCCAAGCATTCGATGTAGGACCTCGCTATACGAATCTCAGTTACATAGGAGAAGGGGCTTATGGAATGGTTTGGTAAGGAGGCCGCTGTTGACACCAAATGTTTCGTTCTCCCAGCCAATTCGAACGGAGTATAGCTTCGCAACTGTATTCGATTTGCTCTGCATTTACTTGAGTGAAATTATAACGTTTCATGTTCTTGCTCTTTTTCTTTTTTACACAGTTCAGCGCTGGACAATGCCACAGGACAGAGAGTGGCTATCAAGAAAATCAGTCCTTTCGAGCATCAGACGTACTGTCAACGGACATTGCGAGAGATTAAGATATTACGTCGATTTAAACACGAGAATGTAAGTACTGTAAAAAAACACGAGTGAGGCTTGTAGACGGACTCTTGAGAGGAACGTGACGCGTATGGGAACATTCCATCAGCGCTTTAGAATTTTTATTACGTGGGTCGTGTTTCTCTCGTTGTAGCATTTACCATCTTCTTCACGTACGTGTTATGCATCTTAGACCCAGTAGTCGATAATTTCCTTCCTTTCTGTGCAGATCATCGGAATAATGGATATAATCCGCGCTCCAAACATTGATGACATGAAAGATGTGTATCCTTTGAGAACTACGTTAAATATTATAACCATTTCTCTAGAAATTTCTAATTTTCAATGTTGGTTAAGTTCGGTAGTAACACGAGCCGAACAATTACACTATAAATTTGCTTATCTTAAGCAGCTTTTTAAAGCATGGAAATCAAAATGTTTTAAAGAATGACGTAGTGTAAACTAAGAGTCACCCTATGCGTATTAATTTTACGAAATATTTGTAAAAATGTGCTTAATTTAAGTTTTACTTCCATTTCTTAGCATGTCGTGAGTGCAAGAATACTTAATGCAGCGAAACATCACATATTGCTACATTTTGCGATCCGCAACAGCGATTTTCTCCAAAAGCCTTCTTATTTTTTGTTGTTTCTCCTCGTAAGCATGCTATATTCATATTTTTAACCGCAGTACCGAGTGCCTTCCTTTAACAACTTTACTACTTCACTTAAAGCGTCATGATTTTCAAATTAAAACCCAAAATGAATTTTTTCATTCAAAATGCGTTAGTTACAACCGTCAAGCTTTGTTTTGAGCCACGAACACTTTCTCAACCAAATTATTTTCCCGTTTCAGTTTTAAAATAGTGCCGTGACTGTCTCCTTTGAGGGTAAAGCTCATCAAATGTAGTCAACTGTTTACATTGCTCTTATTTCAAAACATTATATTGTTGTGTCTTTACATCTGTTGTCGTTTATTGCTAAATGTTTGTGATGTCTGCATTTCAGAGTTGTTTGATCAATAAGCTGTTGTTGATCATAATGAGAGTTCTTATGTGTCTTTTCCAAAGTGCCACTGAGACATTGCAGCATTGCAGATTGATTATATACTGATACAAAAATTCTCATGCAGGGGACATTTTGAAATAAAAATGACTTATTGGCCAAGTTACAACTACATGTCTGAGTGGTCTTAATCATTTGTAACATCTGTACTTTAGAGAAAATACTCTCTGTTAACCAATCACATAGGAGAATTGTTCTGGTGAACCAGATGTTCCCTCACAAGCAAACATCTGGGAGGAAGATTTGCAAAGAGGCTTATACTTGTGCCAATCTACCATTGTAGGTTCTTTTCCTTAACCTGAATTTTTCCATCTAGCTACATTGTTCAGAGCCTGATGGAAACAGATCTGTATAAGTTACTCAAGACACAGAAATTGAGCAATGACCACATTTGCTACTTCCTATACCAGATCTTGCGTGGACTAAAGTACATCCACTCAGCCAATGTGCTTCACAGGGATTTGAAACCAAGTAATCTCTTGCTGAACACAACATGTGATCTCAAGGTACTTTTACAGTAAGATACAAATTTATCGATTTTTGTGTGACAGATCCCTTGTCTGCTTGAAAAATATTGCAGTCGAATAGTTGAAAATGTTCTTTAAACTTTAAATTTATGGTAAAGAAAAGAGGTAGAAGCCTTTTACTGATAGAACTAACAGCTGTAACAGAGTAAATGGTTTTGATTGCACTAGTGACAGTTTATCATGTTCTTTGTTTGTTTGGGTTGTGGTCAGTCCTAAGAAAGACTGTTGTTAGTCTCTGCAACCACCATTTTTAACCTGAGTACAAGTCAGTTTTGATGAACCATACTTTGAACTCTTAACCCTTTAACTCCCACGAGTGACCAAGACATAATTTCTCCTTACAATATCAATACAATATTAAGGAGACAAGTGATGAGAATAAAGAAAAAGATCAATTAGGGGATTATAAGTTGATCCAATCCCAAATTCTCCAAGCTAACTTCACAAGAACTGTATAGCAGACAGTAAGGAGAATTACCAATGAGATCTTGGTAGTTGAAGGGTTAATACCCTTACACGTGCATACATATTCTCCATACTGTCCTGAATTCCTATGTTACTTAAAAGGAGAATTTGTTTATCAGAAACCTTTTGAATTGGGAATCGTACATATTCTTGTGACCCTAACTTTTTAACAAAGGGGATACTGAAAGGAGAAATTAGAAGCTAGAGGTTTAAGGGGTCATCATGTGTAACCATGGATTTATCAAGAATGTTTTTTATTGACTCTGATGATGACTTCCCCACACGTCAGCAAATTGTCACTGACTTTCAATCACTGACCAGGGTCTTTTCCAAAATTTTTGAATAGCTGGAAGAACATGTGAAAAGCTGAGAACCAAAATCACATCATAGCAACAATGAAAATAAATGCTACAATGACTGATTGTGAACTGCTGGTCTATAACACATTGAAAAAAATGTTGTAAACTAGGACTATGAGTAAATTTGCCGAAACTGTTAAAAAAAAACCCTCTTCCCATAAGCACTTTAGCTATAGCACTGAATAAAATAGCTGTGACAGATATTAAACAGTTGAATAAAGTAAAGATCATAGTGCTGTGGCTTCAACAAAAAACTCTGAACAACAGTCGATCAGACAGTACATAACTACATGTACTTGCAACCAGACAATCAGGCAATAAAGTAAATACTGCTGCTGAACTATTTATATGTTTTTGTTGTGTTTGTTTTCAGATCTGTGACTTTGGCCTGGCCCGTGTAGCTGATCCTGAACATGATCACACTGGATTTTTGACTGAGTATGTTGCAACAAGGTGGTACAGAGCTCCTGAGATCATGCTGAACTCCAAAGGTTACAGCAAGGCTATTGACATCTGGTCTGTGGGCTGCATTCTTGCAGAGATGTTGTCAAATCGCCCTCTGTTTCCAGGAAAGCATTGTATCCTTGAATTTACTGAAAAACTTTTACAATGTTAAAAGTGATCAGCTGATCAGAAGATGAGAGCTGACTCGTAATGTAACACTGACCCTATTTTGATAATAGGGTTGTGTAGGCATCTCAATTCATGTCATTAACTGGGTGTGCTATTTAATTTGGAGAAATGAGCTTTTGATCTTGAGAGTCTAAAGATTTTATGCATAGAAGCTTTTAATACATGTAGATCAAACATTTTCTTGAAATGTTTTGTTGAAGTTAGATACTATTTGCACCCTACTTGCAAATCTTTGTAAGGATATTGGAAGAAACACACTCCAAATTCTTTTGTTTATGGAGTGATGATTCAGTAAGATGAGTGCTTTAAAAAACATGCACAGAGCCTTCTCTGTTATAGTTTAAAATTCCCAATACACCTCCAAGTAGTGATCAAGGGTTTCCTATCAGTGGGCCCTTGGGATGGTAGGGCTTCTTCAAGATGGGATCACACAGAAGGCATCTATAGATCCACATTTACTTCACAAAGGACTTCAGTTGCCAATTGACTATTTCGTCAAAAAAGGGGTCCTCAGACATGCATGCAAATACTTCATGTTGTATTCAACCCTTTAACTCCAAAAGATCTGATTGTTAACTCTCCCCTCTAACTGGTACATATTTCCCTGTACATGTATATAAGTTCTGAGAGTTTGGTGTTAGATCAAGATAACTTCTTTCTGATAAGTCTGAGTATTTTCATTACCTGTTGGCTGGATAATGTATGGATATGATAGGGAAAAGTTACTAGTAAATCACTTCTGGGAGTTAAAGGGTTGATAATAGAATCTCTCTCTATCTCTTTTTTTAGGGAAGTTGCCTGCCTGTATGCCTCAGTATGCTTATTTTAGTATGTTTCTTTATCTTACCTGCTGTTACAAAATGTATATTATAAGAACCGTACAGTTATTGTTTTCTTTACAAAAGTTGTGTACAGACTTAGATCAGTTGAACCGCATTCTTGAAGTTTTGGGGTCCCCATCACAGGAAGATTTGCAGTGTATTATGAATGAAAAGGTACAGTATTACACACTAGTCTGCATGTGTTTTCTTAGGTATGATTTTATATTTGTGACAGTTTTACAGTGTTTATTTAAGTACAGCTAGCAATTGCTTTGAAGCAAGTGATAGAGTTTATCAGATAGCAGGTGTTGAATGGAACACATTAAAACTGATAAAATTCTATCACTTGCCTGGAAAACTGCATACATGTTGTCAACTGATTTGCTGAACTTGTACATGTATATTGGGGGGTTTTCTTTGTTTTTGTAGTTTTTGTTGTTGCTTTTGTTTTATTGTTTTGTTATTTGAGCATGTGCATGTGTACCTGTTACATGTGGTTAGTTGTATAGTTATCTACAGTGTATCTTTGGGCACATAAAGCAATCTGCATGTAGCCTTGCCTTCTGATGTTGTGCAATTGATATCTGGTGTGCAATTGGTCTCTTATGTCCCAGAACAACCCATACTTAACAACAATACCCTTTTAATAGTGTTTTTTTTAATTCTTTCATTTGCCCAGGCACGTAGTTACATCCAGTCATTAGCCTTTAAACCAAGAGTTCCATGGCAAAGATATTTCCCTGTAGCTGATAACAAAGGTACCAATTAGATGTATATGGCTTCTCTGTGCTCTTAATAACTATCGACATCACATCAGTAATATGTTGTCTGATGCAGCCTTTGATTTGCAACTCATACACTGAACAGGACTTGAGAGTGCAACTGATACGTGCACCAATGCAACTACATGTAATATTTTCTCTCTGAAAGCTGAAAGTTGTGGTCTAGTCACCACATTGGCAACTAGATGTTTGTATGTTTCAAGTTAAATATTCAGTGAGTCAAGTCCAAAAGTACCTCATAAATGCAATGTCCAATTTTACTTTTGCTATGTAGTGTAATTAACAAACAAAATTCTTCTTTGTGACTTGAACAATTAACATGCAAACAATAACAGAAATAGATCAACTGTAATTCAATTTGATTAGTGTAATTATATTGTAATATATGTATTGTAAGTAGTGCAAGTAAATGTAGTGTAAGCATCGTGTAAGAAGTAAGTATAGTGTATGTACATATGTAAGTATAATATATAGGGGAAAAAATTTTTTTGAAAAATTTACATTTGCTTTTGGAAAAAAAGGAAAATTTGTTCGATTGGTGTGAAAATTTTCACTTTGGATATTTGTATTTTGACAATAACTCATAATTTCTTCATATAATATCGATACAAGGCCAAGCAGACAAGTAATGTGAACAATGGAAATTTTTAATTGGGGGAGTATAAGTGGATATCAAATTCTCCAAACTAACATTTTGAGAAGAGTGTTGCTGTAAGGAGAAAAACTAATGAGATCTAAGGAGTGATAGGGTTAAATATTGTACCTGACTGCAGTTGTTTAAGGCTATTCATTAACTGTCTATCTGTCCTTGTTTACAGCTATAGAACTGTTAGATAAGATGTTAACTTTCAATCCCGACAAACGGATCACAATAGAGGAAGCTCTGGCTCATCCTTACCTTGAGCAGTACTATGACCCACAAGATGAGGTAAGGAAGGATTTGTTAGCTTATTGCTCTGTATGCAAAAAACATCAAGTTATCACTTCCTTGTTTGACTATGAAACTTACATGTACTGTACATGTAAAAGTGAACACAGGTTTTTTATTTAACAAAAATATAATTCCTGCACATAGAGCACTCCATTTGTTTTGGAAAATGAATCTCTCAAAACAATCATAAATCAATGTCATTTGAGATCCTAGCAGAAGTCATCATCAGATTTGACTTTGATGATGACTTCCACTAAGGCTGTCAGGATGTTAGTCACCACCACTCACAACAGTCCTTTCCAAGATAGCCCTCACCCTGACAATCAGAATACATGATCTGATATTTGTATTCGACAAAGGAGAAGACATACTAATTGTGATGTTTTTATGGAAATCACTCTCAAGGGTTTTATGGACCAGTCCTAAGGGGATTGATTGTGATGCCATGTGATTTCAGGTATTGGGTACCATTTTGGACTGGCTGGCTGGCTAGCTACGTGGCACAAATAGCCTTGGTCTCATGTGCAAATGTTTTTTTGGCTGCCTTGAGCTGAAGACACAGTTTTTTTTTTTCTGTGCAATCAGTACAATAAAAGAGTTTTACTAGAGATCAAATGCACTTTACTAATTTTTGATTATTACTAGTTTAAATAATAAATTTGATTGTCCTGTTATTAAACCATATGGTACAAGTAATAATAAGTAATTTTTACCTTCACAGCCTGTGGCTGAGGAGCCATTTAGATTTGAAACTGAGCTGGATGATCTTCCCAAAGAAAAACTTAAAGGTAATAAAAGTAGGTCAGGTGTTATGCAACATTCATAGTTTATCTTAGACCCTTTGTCCAGATTAGTTCCCAGTCTGGAGTGTAATCTTCATTTTAACAATACAACATGACACCTGCAATTACCTACCCCCAACCCCCCTGTTATTTTTCATTTCCCATTTGACCACTTACTATCTCTTTCAACAATCTTTTTCATGACTGCTCTACCATCACTGAGACCATCACTCTTCCATAAGACTGATCACTTTAGGTTTTGATTATACTCTCCTATGTGTGTGAAAAAATACATATATGTTGGTTACACAATAACATTTTTTCCTGTTTTTCCTGTTATTCTGTGTAGAACTTATTTTTATTGAGACTGCTAGCTATCCTGGGTCACCCTACCTTGGTGACTTTCACCATGGCCAACAGTGAGGCATAGAATGTGATATTTGAAGAGGTATGTTTTTTTCTAAGTGGTAGGTCTTGTCTGTGTGTCTGTTCCTTCAGACCTCTTTGCATTATACAGCCTTTAATTTGTGTTAGTTTTGTTTGTCAGTATGTGTGACATGTATATATGACATGTCTATTGAACTGGATGTCTACTGCGACTGTAGTGGCACTTTTCCTTTTGATTAAATTTAATGTATAGCTAGCTCCTTGCACAAGCAATATCAACAATTCCTGTGTTCCACTTTTCTTAGCTCTCTTTTTTGGCAACAGGAAATTTGAAGTAAATGCAGGCCCCTCACTTTATATTCTACCACAGCAAATGCAAAAAAAAAACAACAACAACAGTATAGGTCATCTAAACCTCAACCTGAGTCAGTTAACCCTTTAACTCCCAGAAGTGATCAATATGAAACTTCTCCTACTGATATCCTTACACTATCCTGCAAACGGCTAATGAGAATATCAGGCAGAAGTTGTTGTCTTGATCTAATAACAACTTCTCGTAACTAATTTACAGGGATATGTGTGGCAGCTAGAGGGGAGAATTACCAATCAGATCTTAAGAGTAAAAAAGGGTTAACTTGTATTTGTTGTAGAGACCTGCCTATCATTAACACCCTCCCCATGTACGTTTCTATTTGCAATAAAAAAAAAATTGACTCGTAAATTATTAGCAATGGCAAAAAACTTTGTTTAACACACTGGGGCTGGTTGAATCAACAACACACTGAAGACATGTACTGTCTAGTGTAACTGCTACTGTTGCTTGAATGTGCAGTCTGTGGCTTCAACTTGCCAATACATTGTTTATTGGTATTTCTGAGATACTGTATGCTGCAGTATGATATTTTTCTAACTGTCCCTATTGGCATCCAACCAGGGTCAGTGCTTCACATGTTCTTATTCAACTGATTTCCTTTAAGTCCATGTTTACTTGTAAATGAAATAAAAAATTAGTATTTACTTGTAATGCATAGTTTATGGTCATGCTAGGTGTCAAATTAACTTTGAGTTCAAACATTCCTTTTTTTTTTTTTTCTTGTTTTTAGGAAGACTTCTATAAATCAACTTGTACAACAACCTAAGAAGTGAAAACTGTGAAATTTTATTGTAAAATTTATACATGTAGTTTTTCATGAAGATTAGAAGGTGTGTGACATGGAGTATGTTCACAATCACTCCTTTGTCAGAAACTTTGCATTCATATCTCTGTAATATATTAACAGTGATTTTTTTTGCCTAATTTTGTAGTATCATGTAAAGATGATTATTGCCTTCCTTTTGCTCTAGCATGGCTTGCAAGCTGGGTTCCTTAGTTTCATTCAATCCTTGTTTGGTGGCCCTTGAGAAACTTGAGAGAGGGAAACAACTTAGGGTTTTTTCGGGAGTGAATGAAAACAAACCCACCTTTGTTTATGTACTGTCCAGTCTATGCTTAAATTGTTGTGGTATTTATGAGCTTTATTACCTTTTCGTTGTGGGTACAATTTAAACGTCTCAATTTAATCAACACTGTTCATCTGATTTGTGTCTGAATTGTTTGCATTCAGTGTACTATCTAAAGGTTAATTCAAACTAAAGTGTATTGGTAATGAGAACCAGGAAAGCGACAGACACTAAACAACAATTGCATTAAAATTATCATTTTAGGGGAACTTTTTTTGTCCTTATTGGTTATGTTGAATTTTTTAGATGACTGACTTGCAATATTATTTAAAGTGTAATAATCTCATTTTGTTTGTGTTGTTGTTCTTTTTCCATCTAGTATCTTTCTGGTTCATGTTGCGGACAGCAACTAAAGATTGAATCTCTAAAAACCTTGTGTACATGTACCAGAAATCATAATCATATGGGGGTTAAAATTAACTTTCATCCCAGAACAAAACTTTTTTTTTTTTTTAAGAGAAACTCCCCATAATATTTTGGTTCTTTTTCATGACTTCTCTAGATCTCAATGGAATAATTGTTACAAAGCCTGCCTTTGTTTCGACATGTTTTTTCTAAAGTTGTTACTGTAGCTCTGTGCCTTGTCAATCAAGGGTTAATCTGCCAATTCCTGTCCCTTTTTTTCGCAAAATATCGGTTTAATGGCACTCAATTGATTCTGATCCCAAAGGTTGAGCTGCACATGTTAATAATCGTAGTAAGTTTGAACTAAACTAGTAGTAATATGAAGTAGATGTTAAAGATCTTTAATTATGTAGTATTCAAAGTACAGTAGTTATTGATAACAGACTTCTGGCGATAGATAATAAATTCAGTGATGTGATTATTTAATTGTTGCTCATAAAAGTAATGAGTATTTGTATGTGCACATGCGACTGAATTTTGTGTTGCTGTGTATTACTTGACAGGTTTACTTTGGCCATAACGCGCGCGATTATAAATCATAAGTCTGTGTACGCTGGTGCGGACCTGCAGAATCTTTTAAAAAAATTTTTCACTCGATCATTACCGACTGGAAGTATGTGTAGTGTACTCAACAGAAGTAATCGGAGGCGCGGTTTAATCAAACACCTGAGACTGAGTAATATTTTTTAGATGTTGGTTGGAAACGAATTATTTACGGCACACAAAACAATCATTTTTGTATGATGACCCTTTTCCTTTCATTTCGTTCACTTCTTGGAAATCGTTATATCGCCAGGTGGCCATTTGAATAAAAACCACTCCGCGCAAAGGGATTGAGGTGTGCTGAGAGAATATTAGCACTGTTTATACACTCTTTAGGGAACTGAGCACAGTAGGCTAAATTGTTATGCTTTTATGTAAACATGCCTTCGCTAGCAGCTCATTTTACGATGACTGCAAACCTGCAAACGAAAACTACGGGCATAAAAGAGGTCTCTTTTACCGTTACCGTATGCTCATCTGGTCAGATTATTTTTCTTTCTCTGTCTACGTTACATAGTTTTATTTCAAGACACAGTGCCATCGATCCTGCTGGAAAGTGCCGACGCGAAGCTTGTTGCGAGAGCCTCTTCTTAAGATCGATACGCACATGCGATGTCTTTAATTAAACATCGTGTCACCGAGAAATGGAGATGAAGTTGAACGGCACTACTGCGTTTTCTTTGAAGGGTCTCCATTTATTGTCGTTTTCATGTTGTTAAATTGTTGAAACTTACAGAATTGCCAATGCTTTGCCTTACTTTTAAAACCCGCGCCAAAGGCAATCAGTTGTAAAAATGGCGACTCGTCATTTGCGTTTCTCTGCTCTTTTTTCAGGTCGCCAGTGGCTTTTGCGATTTATTTAAGACACTCGAATGATCTCTAAGTGGAGAAAGAAATTATGACCAAGTCAAAATGTAAACTCGTAAAGGGGACGGTAACGTTGAAAAGACTCTGGAATTTATTTTTGGTTGGTCTCATTCTTGATGAATCTAAGAGTAGTCCTTATCCTTCGTCTACCTCTGTCAGATCTGATGCGACCATCACTGGATCATCTGAAGCATGTTGAGCTGGAAAAATGTTGTGGTAGAATTTCTAATATTGTTGGTGTAATTACCCTCGAGAGCAATTTTCAGTGGAGTGTCGGTAATTCTGGAGTGCTTGGATTTGCTTTACTTCGCTCTGTGATTTTGGTCTCAAACCTCAACCACCATCTCAACCAATCAAAACTGGCATAAATCCTAGCTTGATTTATAGCGTTTCTCGCGCTTAACCCTTTAGATCCTATGAGTGACCGAAGCAGAATTTCTCGCTACAATATCAATACACATCAAGCAGACAAGTGAGGAGAATAAGAAGAAAACTCAATTAGGGGACTTCAAGTTGATGCAATACCAAATTCTCCAAATTGAAACCATGAGTGTTTTATGGCAGACAGTAGGGAGAACTATTAATGAGATCTTGGGAGTTAAAGGGTTGAAGCAGTTCTCCTGGTCTTACTTTTGAGTTCTCGTTGTTCAATGATGATAACCATTGTTCTGAATGGCTTAAGTGATTACTTTGGTTTTGTTTGTTGACACTCAATCGGAGAGCACTCTAAGTGAGAGACCGACTTCACTGACGCCTAATTTCCCCTATCTTCCTTTGGCTGCGCGAAAAATCCACCCCATAGGGTATGGGCTCAATATCAGGTGACTCACTCGAGAGTTCGCTGTATCGGAAGTACTACAAAGTCTAAACAGTAGATTGGTTCCAACAGTCTTTTATTTAAGCATGATTACCTGGGTTTTCAGAAGCGGTAAATCTAATTTTGGTGTTACAGTACTTAGTACAACTGTTGGCTTTTGAGGAAGAGTTTTAATTTTTTTTTTGTTTCCTATAAATGCGATTAAAATAACTTGACGAAGTGCAATATAAACTCTTGAACTTCGCTTGTTGCTTTGAGGTTAAGTACTTAGAGTAAAGTAGTTTTTCTTGGTCGGGATCGTTGGAGCACGTTTGACTTTAATCCCGAGTTAGCCATAAAACAACACGTTATGTTGTCATTGCGGTAAAAAAATCTGGACCAGAACTAAGCATGCTTCGAGCAGTCCAACCCTTAAAAGTTGTCTCTTTCGCTAGCGCCACGGGCCTCACCTGATCCTTTTTCACCAGCTAGCACAATGATGAATTCTAATTTCCTTCGTTGCGTAAGGAACCGCTTAAATATTTCCTAAACAAGAGTTTCTATTTACACCTCTTTCCCTTGAGGTACCAGAAGTTAATAAGTTCCCGGGCTCTAAATCAATTCACTACGATAGACAAAGACTGATTTGATGCACAGTAACTATGAAATGAGTAAATGGAGAAAATTTTTTTCGGATACGCCGTTTTTATAGCGTTTCTTCAGATATTATAGTAATGTTTGAGAATTTGCAATTTTCTCAATTGGTGAATTTCTTCATTTCCACCTGTCTTTCTGACGATAGTTAAAAATTGTTTGGAGGGGGTTCAAACAATTCCATCCCCTCTATCTCGTTCACATTGGCAGCCAACTTTTTGTTGTAGGTATTCACTTCATTGTGGATTTTTTTCAAACAATCCCACCAAAAATACGAAAGATGAGGATTAAAAATATTACAATTGAACTTTTTCCAAAAAAGCATTACAAACTGATTAGCTGCTGGCGAGAGTTCCTTGCCACTCTTTCGGTATCGCAGTAGAAGGTGAGTCACGAACTCTGGGTCGTCGGTTGTTCCGAAGTCTAACAATCCTTCTCTGTCATTCTTTGGTAGACGGGAACGGCGGATCACTCGCATCGCGTCAAACATCCTCGACAGGTACTTGCTCATCTTCATCAAGCACTTCGCCACGGAAATGTTTCTACAGTGTTTGTACTCCTTATTGACCTCTCCCCAGTTTTCAATCATGGACACCCACAGGTCGTAAGTTGATAGCGGCGTGTAATATTGACACGTGGGAATTGCTTTCATCTGAAGACCCTGTACTACATGTCGAATGGCGCCTCGGGTGTGATATGCCTGTGCAGCGTAGAGGAGAGCCTTGGCGAGGTAATCTGCGAAACAGAAACAGCGTAGTTGAACATAACTGTCAATTCAAGCCAACATGTATATGATACCAAATCCTTAGGGTTCTTTTTTTTTTTTCGGAAATTGTGACGGTTATGATTAACTGGGAACAGGACTTCGAGTCGTCCAAATCGGACGTCCGATTTTGTTAATCACTCGTATGATTACAGTCCGAATTTGGCTTCACTCGGTCCCTTTACCATTATAAACAGTTATATAAATCTCTAGTCTGTCTGATATCTAATTACCTATTGATTGTATTTGGTAACCTCCTGTTTTCCCCTGTGACATGCTTTGCAGGTACTCCTGGTACTTCTCATTGTGGGCTAATCTGAACTCAGCCAGTGGCTGCTTCTTCATTTTTCTCAAGGCCACCTGCTTGTTCATTTTTCCAAATTCTCTAAGCCAACCGAGCAACTCTTTCTTCGCCTCTTTATCTTTTATTTTTCCAATAGCTCCATTCTTCATCACCTTAAAGGAACCTTCGTTGTACTTGAAGACCTTGTAATAAGCACTGGCCAGTTCTTGCTTTGTACCTCCCCATTTGCTCAAATTTGCGAAGACCGGAAGTAAATGAGGGGGGAAGGTTGGGAAACATTGAGGGCATGGCAAACTCCAGAGTGTAGGCGTAAACATTTGTGTCGAATACAAGCTCCGATGGTAACTTAAAGGTTGTTTGAAAATAACTATTAAATTTCTGAGTGACGGTTCCAGAATCTTTTCCAATAAGCCCGACGTCGTAGTCTGATTTGTAAGTGGCGCTGCCATATGGTTTAGGAAAACACACTCCACCCTCGGGAATCTTCCAACTTTGTGGAATGCCGGTGTAATTGTCTCTCTTTTCCTTGCAAGCTGTTAACTTCTTCCCACTTACAAGCCAAAGAATGTGAGTAACTAAAATGAAATAAATAAATGAAATAAATCTTATTTTGTTTTGCCAGGGAATCGTTAATTTACCTCATTACCAGAAATCAGAGGCATATTACTTCACGAATTGCGCACGTCAATCAAAAAGCACTGAAGAAATGGCTTCCCGGTTTTACAAAGAAATGTATGGAAGCAAATGCAAAATATCGTATTGTGGTTATTTAAAGAAATCCAATTCTAGGTGCCGACCTCTCACTGATAATATGCAATTGAATTCTGAGGCAAAGGTTTATTAATAATATGCAATTGAATTCCGAGGCAAAGGTTTATTGTCGTATGATGTCGTAACCGCGATTAATTACATTAAATTTTCGTGTGAACATTCACAACACCAAAATTAATAACTTTGGAAGCGAAAGACTTATCTGGAGGTTTGAGCAGTTCCAAAATAGTCGTTAAATGTTAGAATCTGTTGAGCTAGCTCGCAAGAGAAACGCGATCGATGTCAAGCGCTTGGTAACCACCCTATTTCAAATATCGGTGGCGCGAGCTCAATCAACGTTTTTAACGGCTTCCGATAAAGTGCGCCGAATTAAAGGTTGTTGCTGCCTTGTTTCGATCTCATTTGAGGAGGGAGATTTCAGCGGCCAATACTGCCTTCCGCTCCAAGGTTAACTTATAAGTTAGGAAAGCATTCAAATCTGGGTTCATATAGAGTGATCCAATAGGAATATTCGGAGTGTCAGGTGGGTTCTTGTAACAATAATTTAATGTCAACCGTTCGACAGAAGCTTGTATCAGTAAGATGAGGTCTAAGAAGCTGAATCTGCTTGATCGGACTTAACCTTCACTGGAAACATGCTGTTAACAAAGCTGTCAGAAGGAAGTGCAGCAAAATTTCCGCACAGCCCCGTAAAACAAATCTGTTTTCCCAATGGCAATGTATTGTTTTTGTCATTGTTTTCTCTATCCAAGAACTGAAAGCATAATGTAGTATGGGGCTGTGCAGGAATTTACTAGAAGTGCTCTTCAGGAACTGATTGAACCCCGTTCATACTCTACTGATTGCAGGACTAACAAATTTAATTTCATTTGCAGAGCTCGAGGTTAGGATAAATTACAACTAAATGGGGCTGAGCATTCCCCTTCTCCATTCAATCATGTTTGTGAACAGAGAAGTGCTGGATTGCTCAGCTAGAGAAGGGGTTATAGGAAAGAACTAGGTGTAGCCTTTGTGTAGCCGTACCCTCCCCCTACCCCTCACCTCAGGTAAAACTCAAGGATTAATTGGTAGTCCCAAATAAACTCTAACGTATCATTTATCATTTATCGTTTTGCTTTAGAATTTTCAGATGTGTTAAAATGATGTCCACTTTGAGTATCCTGGTTTTCATGTTGGTGCAAGGACATGTGGTGAGTAATGACAAACAAAGTTGAATGATTGGTTTTCTCAAAGAAATTAATTTTGAATTTTATAAATTTTATATTTGGAGGATATGCGCAATAATCACTGACTGTGTTTTACGAGCTTAGAACGTTAAGGCAAAGCTAGATGTATCTAAGATCTTCTCCTTAAAACGTTTGGGAAATTCCCTCAAACAGTAACACGCTTTCGAAATGATTCTGGACCGAAATACCGTATTCAGTGTCTCAGGTTCCACAAAACAAATGAATAAATAAATGATAACCGATTAGCGCCTGAAGCTAACATTCACACCCTCTCCAAGACTCTGAGCTGGACGCCATACAGTAAAAATTTTATATTATTTTCAATAATATACATGGAAAAATTACTCAGTTCTGATTGGACAAGATAAATGCAGTTTTCAGGTAATTCAATGCAGAAGAGAGTTTATTCAGTGCAGAAGAGGGTTAATTCAGTGCAAAGAAAGAAACAAATAAGACATTCTGATTGGTCAATAATCAAAGAAACTCACAGATAGCCAATCAAATGCGAGCCTTGGATGTCGCAACAAAATTTGAAAATTTGAAAATTTGCGAGCGAAACAATGGCCGGCGTTTTAAGGAGGCTTTCTTTTGCCACCGCAGCTGAAAAACAGCTTAAACAACGAAAACACTGTAAAAAGCACTGCTTTTTGGTTGTCGGTTTGGAAAAAGTGGTGTTTAGAGAAAGGAATTGCCGAGGAAATCGAAAATTGCGAGCCGACCCAGCTTAACACTTTGCTCGAGCGATCCAACGCCGAAATTAAAAACAAACATGGTTAAACCTCGGAAACGACGATTCTATTTGATCGAAAGTGATTCGGACACAGACTGAACAATTCCTTGAACTTTTTTGCACCTTAAAGATGTGAAGATATCATTGCATAATTTATTATTGTTTTGATCGTACGCGGTTGTTTTGACCGAACGCGCGGTTTGAATAAATTATTTTTGCACTTGATGCGCACTTTGCTTATGTTTAATTATGATAAGCCATCTCGTATTTTTCCATGTATATTATTAACACGTAATCACATGATTTTTCTCGTGCATTTTGGAATAAACAAACACTTGTTAATTTTTTCAAAGACCACAAATTGCACGAGCCCTACGGGCTCGTGCAATTTTGTTAGTCTTTAAAAAAATTTACTCGTGCTTATTTATTCCAAATTGCACTCGAAATCATGTGATTACCTATACTAATAATATACATGGAAAAATTACTCAGTTCTAATTGGTTAAGATAAATGAAGTTTTCAGGTAATTCAGTGCAGAAGAGGGTTAATTCAGTGCAAAGAAAGAAAGAAATCAGACATTCTGATTGGTCAATAATCAAAGGAATTCACAGATAGCCAATCAAATGCGAGCCTTGGATGTCGTAACAAAATTTGAATATTTGCGAGCGAAACAATAGCCGGCGTTTTAAGTAGGTTTTCTTTTGCCACCGCGGCTGAAAAACAGCTTAAACAACGAAAACACTGTAAAAAGCACTGCTTTTTGGTCGCCGGATTGGAAAAAGTGGTGTTTCGAGAAGGGTATTGCCGAGGAAATCGAAAATGACGAGCCGACCCAGCTTAACGCTTTGCTCGAGCGATCCAACGCCGAAATTGAAAAAACAAACATGGTTAAACCTCGAAAACGACGATTCCATTTGATCGAAAGTGATTCGGACACAGACTGAACAATTCCTTGAACTGTTTAGCCGGACTTTGAACTTTTTTGCACCTTAAAGAGGTGAAGATATCATTGCATAATTTATTATTGTTTTGATCGTACGCGGTTGTTTTGACCGAACGCACGATTTGAATAAATTATTTTTGCACTTGATGCGCGCTTTGCTTATGTATAATTATGATAAGCCATCTCGTATTTTTCCATGTATATTATTAACACTTAATCACATGATTTTTCACGTGCAATTTGGAATAAACAAGCACTTGTTAATTTTTTCAAAGACCACAAATTAAAAGAATTTACTCGTGCTTATTTATTCCAAATTGCACTCGAAATCATGTGATTACCTATACAAATTCTCCTTGTCGGCGTCATAGCAAGAACAGAATGGAGAATAAATTTACTGACGTTAGGGTGTAAAGAGCTAAGACACATAAAGGAGTTTTATTTAATGTGTACAATACTGTATGACAGGTTTGTGACAGTGAGGTCTTTCCAGTCTCCATTTTCGACGTAGATTCTGTCGAACTGCAGCAGATTGATTCGCAGGAAAACGACGAAATTGAGCCTCTCCAAGGAAGAAGCGCTACTGAAAGGTATACGACTTATCGCATATACCAGGAGCGTAGCACCTGCAAATCCATCGGACAATTACCTTGTCGTATTTTGTATTGCCTACATTCTATCACAATTACCATGGTCAAACTGAAGTATCGTGACTTGATTTGAAACAGTGATTATTATGAAGCTTACCTATCAAACATGATATTTCTATAGCTCAGTTTAAGGGCAATGACATATATAACTTCGGCAAAATTCGGTGCACAAGCTTTGATTCCTTATGGTACTCAGATATTTTCCACGTTCCCGACAGAGGAAAAACATTTGTCTTCTTTCATTAGTGAGCTTTAAGTTACTATCTTTTTCGTTCTTTTTATTACAACAAGACATTTTTCTTTGTTATAGATTAGAAGACCCCAAAGTTACCACAGACGATATCACCTGGATGGATGAAATTATAAAAAACTATGGCTTCAAGAAACACCCCGTAGCTGACATGTGGACGGAACAACCTTCCTTTGAGGGTCGTCTTGGAACCGAGAATTTCAAGACAGCAGCAGAGAAGGCGGAGGAATTTTTTCTGAAATTTAACAAAAACCGTGGCATATCACCTTGGGAACTTTTACAAAAAGTGACAAAAAATCAGAACTACAAACTCCTTAAAATTACAGCCGCTAGGTATCTTTTAGTTACTCACATTCTTTGGCTTGTAAGTGGGAAGAAGTTAACAGCTTGCAAGGAAAAGAGAGACAATTACACCGGCATTCCACAAAGTTGGAAGATTCCCGAGGGTGGAGTGTGTTTTCCTAAACCATATGGCAGCGCCACTTACAAATCAGACTACGACGTCGGGCTTATTGGAAAAGATTCTGGAACCGTCACTCAGAAATTTAATAGTTATTTTCAAACAACCTTTAAGTTACCATCGGAGCTTGTATTCGACACAAATGTTTACGCCTACACTCTGGAGTTTGCCATGCCCTCAATGTTTCCCAACCTTCCCCCCTCATTTACTTCCGGTCTTCGCAAATTTGAGCAAATGGGGAGGTACAAAATGCAAGAACTGGCCAGTGCTTATTACAAGGTCTTCAAGTACAACGAAGGTTCCTTTAAGGTGATGAAGAATGGAGCTATTGGAAAAATAAAAGATAAAGAGGCGAAGAAAGAGTTGCTCGGTTGGCTTAGAGAATTTGGAAAAATGAACAAGCAGGTGGCCTTGAGAAAAATGAAGAAGCAGCCACTGGCTGAGTTCAGATTAGCCCACAATGAGAAGTACCAGGAGTACCTGCAAAGTATGTCACAGGGGAAAACAGGAGGTTACCAAATACAATCAATAGGTAATTAGATATCAGACAGACTAGAGATTTATATAACTGTTTATAATGGTAAAGGGACCGAGTGAAGCCCAATTCGGAATGTAATCATACGAGTGATTAACAAAATCGGACGTCCGATTTGGACGACTCGAAGTCCTTTTCCCAGTGAATCATAACCGTCACAATTTCCGAAAAAAAAAAAAGAACCCTAAGGATTTGGTATCATATACATGTAGGCTTGAATTGACAGTTATGTTCAATTACGCTATTTCACAGATTACCTCGCCAAGGCCCTCCTGTACGCTGCACAGGCATATCACACCCGAGGCGCCATTCGACATGTGGTACAGGGTCTTCAGATGAAAGCAATCTCCACGTGTCAATATTACACGCCGCTATCAACTTACGACCTGTGGGTGTCCATGATTGAAAACTGGGGAGAGGTGAATAAGGAGTACAAACACTGTAGAAACATTTCCGTGGCGAAGTGCTTGATGAAAATGAGCAAGTACCTGTCGAGGATGTTTGACGCGATGCGAGTGATCCGCCGTTCCCGTCTACCAAAGAATGACAGAGAAGGATTGTTAGACTTCGGAACAACCGACGACCCAGAGTTCGTGACTCACCTTCTACTGCGATACCGAAAGAGTGGCAAGGAACTCTCGCCAGCAGCTAATCAGTTTGTAATGCTTTTTTGGAAAAAGTTCAATTGTAATATTTTTAATCCTCATCTTTCGTATTTTTGGTGGGATTGTTTGAAAAAAATCCACAATGAAGTGAATGCCTACAACAAAAAGTTGGCTGCCAATGTGAACGAGATAGAGGGGATGGAATTGTTTGAACCCCCTCCAAACAATTTTTAACTATCGTCAGAAAGACAGGTGGAAATGAAGAAATTCACCAATTGAGAAAATTGCAAATTCTCAAACATCACTATAATATCTGAAGAAACGCTATAAAAACGGCGTATCCGAAAAAAAATTTTCTCCATTTACTCATTTCATAGTTACTGTGGATCAAATCAGTCTTTGCCTATCGTAGTAACTCGATTTAGAGCCCGGGCAGTTATTAACTTCTGGTATCTCAAGGGAAAGAGGTGTAAATAGAAACTCTTGTTTAGGAAATATTTAAGCGGTTCCTTATGCAACGAAGGAAATTAGAGTTCGTCATTGTGCTAGCTGGTGAAAAAGGATCAGGTGAGGCCCGTGGCGCTAGCGAAAGAGACAACTTTTAAGGGTTGGACTGCTCGAAGCATGCTTAGTTCTGGTCCAGATTTTTTTACCACAATGACAACATAACGTGTTGTTTTATGGCTAACTCGGGATTAAAGTCAAACGTGCTCCAACGATCCCGACCAAGAAAAACTACTTTACTCTAAGTACCTAACCTTAAAGCAACAAGCGAAGTTCACGAGTTTATATTGCACTTCGTCAAGTTATTTTAATCTCATTTATAGGAAAGAAAAAAAATTTAAAACTCTTCCTCAAAAGCCAACAGTTGCACTAAGTATTGTAACACCAAAGTTAGATTTACCGCTTCTGAAAACCCAGGTAATCATGCTTAAATAAAAGACTGTTGGAACCAATCTACTGTTTAGACTTTGTAGTAATTCCGATACAGCGAACTCTCGAGTGAGTCACCTGATATTGAGCCCATACCCTATGGGGTGGATTGTTCGCGCGGCCAAAGGAAGATAAGGGAAATTAGGCGTCAGTGGAGTCTGTCTCCCACTTAGAGTGCTCTCCGATTGAGTGTCAACAAACAAAACCAAAGTAATCACTAAAGCCAATCAGAACAATGGTTATCATCATTGAACAACGAGAACTCAAAAGTAAGACCAGGAGAACTGCTTCAACCCTTTAACTCCCAAGATCTCATTAATAATTCTCCTTACTGTCTGCCATAAAACACTCATGGTTTCAATTTGGAGAATTTGGTATTGCATCAACTTGAAGTCCCCTAATTGAGTTTTCTTCTTTATTCTCCTCACTTATCTGCTTGATTCTTGATATTGTAGGAAGAAATTCTGCTTCGATCACTCAGGAGTTAAAGCGTTAAGCGGAGAAACGCTATTAACCAAGCTAGGATTGATGTCAGTTTTGATTAGTTGAGATGGTGGTTGAGGTTTGAGACCAAAATCACAGAGCGAAGTAAAGCAAATCGAAGAACTCCAGAATTACCTTCCGACGCTCCATTGAAAATTGTTCTCGTGGGTAATTACACCAAAAATATTAGAAATTCTACCACAACCTTTTTTCCAGCTCAACATGCTTGGTATGATCCAGTGATGGTCGCATCAGATCTGACAGAGGTAGACGAAGGATAATGACTACTCCTAGATTCATCAAGAATGAGACCACCCAAAAATAAATTCCAGAGTCTTTTCAACGTCACTGTCCCCTTTATGAGTTTAGATTTTGACTTGGTCATGATTTCTTTCTCCACCAAGAGATCATTCGAGTGCTTTGAATAAATCGGAAAAGCCATAACAAACGAGGACGAATATCACGAGGCAAGACGCGTTAATTGCGTGTCGTATAAGTAGCTGTTGTCAGTTAGTGATCTTCCTTCGGGTCTGCTAACGCCAAACGCTATTCCACTGTTCTTTAGCATGAGCGACTCTGAGGAAGCTAGGGCACGTTCTAGTCGGAACGATGAAGTTTTAGATCCTTCTGTCGGTGCTGTTATACAGTCTGCCGTTTCTGAATCGATGGGTTCTTTAACCGATAACCTCACTAAGGTTATTGAATCTCGGCTTAGCGATTTCGCGAAGCGATTTTCCGCGGAGAACAGCTCGTCCGTTGAACAAGCAGTCAAGAGAGCTCGGCGCGAACAATATACCTGCAAAAGGAAAGGAAACCAGCAGCAGTTGAATCATTCCCTCCAGGTGCTGGATAAGCATCCGATGCTCTCAAGCAGAAATTGTACGAGAAAGTTAAAGTTGCCCTGGAGTCAGGTATTGAAGTAATTTCCAAGCGTGTTAAAGCCATTAAGCTAGCTGACAATAGCGAATTTGGATGGGCGACCGTTGACGAATATTTGTCTGACGAACTCGCCTCTGACTCCGACGACGAGAAGAGAATTTACCGGGCCGAGAGGAGAGCCAAGAGAAAAATCAATGAAGAGAGGCGTCGTCGTGTCCGTTCCGACGAGAAAGGAAGCGGTTCCTCCTCTGTATTCCGTGCGGCTTCTTCGTCAAGATTCTCGTGTAAGGATTTGGCTTCTCTTCCAGAAGCTAGACCAGCTCGTCGTTTGGGGCCTTGTTTTAAGATAAGTAGCCTACTATTTCTCGTTATACTGACTTTGTTTTTACTTCGTCGATTATGGCGTTATACTCAGGCCATAATCCAATATTCTGCATGAATTACTGTTTTGCTGTATGTCGTTCTATAGACTAGGTTAGTGCAGAATATCAAAATATATGCTGTACGTAGTTTAGTAGATATTTGTTTTCTGCACGTTCTCGATTTGGTATTCTTATTGCGTTATACAATTAGGTGTTTCAGTTACGCGATACGCGTTAATTGTGTGTCGTATATATAGCTGTTGTCAGTTAGTGATCTTCCTGCGGGTCTGCTAACGCCACACGCTTCTCCGCTGTTCTTTTATTTTTATGCTGTGGATTTTATTTTCATGCTGTTGTGTGTTCCCCTTTTTTCATTGTGGTGGTTTTGGTCATTTAAGCTTGACATGCACAAAACCTGCGGACACTTCAAAGAGTAGCGCTCGCCGTGATTGACTAGATGGCGCTTTGTTGACCACTGATGATGCTGATGCCCAGCAAGTTGAGTGTGATTTTTTAGATTTATTGTCTTCCTGTAGCGACGAATTTAGTGTTAAAGGCGGTAGCAATGGCGTCAAAGGTCACTTGTATTCCTCCTTAACTTCTGGGTTGAAGTTGCCCGGGATTGTAGAATGCCCTACTAGTCACCCCCTTGTTAAGTCATCCTTAGAGGGCGCTACAAGGAAACTTGCGCTTCCCGTTCAGCCCAAAGAGCCTTTATCCGTCAACACAGTTTGTAGAATCGCTGATCATTATATTTCTAGTAGTTCTCTCGCTGTTATTCGTTTTCTTTTCATTGTCTTGGTTGGCTTCGCTGGGTTTTACCGTATGGGCGAAATACGTTCTTTGTCCATTAAAGATGTCTCTATTTGCAGTGAATACATGTCAGTTTTCATTCCGAAACGCGAGAATGATCAGTATAGGGAGGGGCATACATCCCTCCTAGCAAGGTCTCATTAGGCTACTTGCCCGGTTTCTATTACCGAGAGGTTACTTAAGCTTCTTCCTTTATCTACTGAGTCATCCTACCCCCTCGTTGGACGAATTGTTAAATCTAAGATTAAGGAGTATTTTCATGCTACTAAAGGCGTTTCATACACGACGCTCAGAGAGGAACTTAGGAAATACGTTAAGCCATTTGTAGATGACATCGCTAGTTATGGCACGCCTAGTATCAAGTCTGGCGCCGCTTCAAATCCTGCGTGTAGGAGTATTTCCGCTGATCTGCTGAACATAGACGCCGGCTGGAAATGTGCCATTTCAAAGAACAGATAGCAGACAGAGGAGAATAAAGAAGAAAACTTAATTGGGGGACTTCAAGTTGATCCAATACCAAATTCTCCAAATTGAAACCATAAGTATTTTATGGCAGACAGTAGGGAGAATTACTTATGAGATCTTGGGAGTTAAAGAGTTAAAGCAGTTCTCCTGTTCTTACTTTTGAGTTCTCGTTGTTCAGTGATGATAATAACCATTGTTCTGATTGGCTTTAGTGATTACTTTGGTTTTGTTTGTCGACACTCAACGCAGAGCACTCTAAGTGAGTGACTGACTCCACTGACACCTAATTTCCCGTATCTTCATTTGGCCGCGCGAACAATCGACCCCATAGGGCATGGGCTCAATATCAGGTGACTCACTCGAGAGTTTGCTTTACCAGAAATACTTCTAATAAGACTGAACAGTGGATTGGTTCCAACAGTCTTTTATTTTAGCATGACTATTAGGGTTTACAGAAGCAGTAAATATAATTGTGGTGTTACAATGCTTAGTACAACTGTTGGCTTTTGATGGAGAGTTTAAAATTTTTTTGTTTTTTCTTTCCGATAAATGCGATTAAAATAACTTGGCGAAGTGCAATATAAACTTGTGAACTGAACATATTGCTTTTAGGTTAGGTACTTAGAGTAAAGTAGTTTTTCTTGGTCGGGCTCGTTGGAGCACGCTTGATTAACCGTAGTTCAACTTCCCAGCATTTTTCACTTAAAGCCTTAATAAAATAAAAAGTGGTCCACTTCACAGTCTCTCAACCATTATGTCTATGTGGGGTCCTACGTAAGTAAGTACACAGTTCCTTAAAACGAATAATCACGTCTTAAAACTTTGTGACTAGCCAGCAAGGATCCAAGGAAAACAAGTTTTTTGAATTCCAGTCATCTTAATTCCTGTCAAATAAACATAAAAGCTTTGTTTCACACATTCCGCTGTTTCTCAGAAGAGAAATAAACGCCCTGTTTTGAAAAAGCGCCCTCCCTTGACTTGAAGTACCAGAAGGTTTTAAGTGCCCGGGCTCTAAATCGAAGCATTACGATAAGTAAAGACTGATTTGATGCACAGTAACTACGAAATGAGTAAATAGAGAATATTATTTTGGATACGCCGTTTTTATAGCGTTTCTTTAGATATCATAGTAATTTTTAAGAATTTGCAATTTTCTTAATCGGTGCACCACCACCGCTCCACCTTTCCTTCTGAAGATTGTTATAAACGGGGGTTCAAACAAATTCATACCCTCTGCCTTGTTCACATTGGCAGCCAACTTTTTGTTGTAGGCATTCACCTCATTATGGATTTTTTTCAAACAATCCCCCAGAAAATTCGAATGCACTCGACTTGAAATACGACATTTGAACTTATCCAAAAAAAACCTTACAAAATGATAAGCCGCTGGCGAGAGTTTCTTGCCACTCTTTTTGTATCGCAGCAAAAGGTCAGTCACGAACTCTGGGTCGTCGGTTGTTCCGAAGTCTAGCAATCCTTTTCTGTCTTCCTTTGGCACACGGGAACGACGGATCACTCGCATCGCGTTAAACATCCTCGACAGGTACTTGCTCATCTTCATCAAGCACTCCGCAACGGAAATGAGTTTACAGTGTTTGTACTCCTTATTTGCCTCTCCCCAGTTTTCAATCATGGACACCCACAGGTCGTAAGTTGATAGCGGCGTGTAATACTGACATGTGGGGATTGCATTCATCTAAAGGCCCTGTACTACATGCCGAATGGCGCCTCGGGTATGATATACCTCCGCAGCGTAGAGGAGGGCCTTGGCGAGGTAGTCTGCGAAAGATCATCATGATTGTACATAACTATCAATTCAAGCCTACATGTAGATGATACCAAATTCTCGGGGTCCTATTTTTTACACTAAAATTCATCAAAACGCGCTTTGCGGGAAGTGGCACTTATTTTTTTCATTTTTCACCGGTACTCTTTGTACCACTGACAAAAATGCAAAAGTTAAAGTCTATTTAGTCGCTCACATCATCGATGGGAAGTGTCAAATGGACTTGGGAAGTTTA